TTATTTTGCGTTTTAGAAAACTGTTTTAATAAATTGTAATAACAATTGATTAAAATACTCTATTTTGATAGAGTTCAGAAAAGATTTTGGAAAAACATAGCTGTTTTAAAAAAAAATTCAACTGCAATTTTGAGGGGGGTTGTAGGCTGAGGTGTCTGGCTTTTTGTGACGACGTGTGACGGAGGGGAGGGGGGAGGTAAAAATCGTCAAAAAAAAGCGTGACGTCATTTATGAATGACCCCCAAGTACTGTTTAGTTTTGCTGACTACCTCATATAGGCCTCCACCATGCATATTAAATGATTGAATATTTCCTTTATATGCAGTAGCACATCACATTTTCCATCTGCTGTTTCCTACTGCTCCCCCACCACATAACGACTAGCAGTACCATCCAAGCCAAGCTCGGTTGTCTGACTTGATGAACTCCCTCTACCATGCAATTCTATTTGTGTCTGTCACGTGACAACTGCTCTCAAGATGGCAGCCATGATAACTGGTGTGGTGTCATCTTGTGGTTACCAATGCTATGTTTCACTACAGTAAAACGGGTGATATAATTCCTATGTACATTTATTTTTTTCTTCACGTTTTCTTTTATCAATGAAGGCATTGTGATACCCTAAGAAGATTATACCGTTGTGGGTGGTTTTGGTCTGTTGAAACAACTATTGAAAGTCAACTCAATCATATCACTGGTCATCATCATGTGTTCCATTTTTTAAATAATAAATCTCATTTGTTTTCTGCATGGTTACGAGTTCACTGTAATAGTTTTTCATGCAATCTTCGATCTTTTTGCAATATAAAATAAAATGTAATTTAATTTAGAATTGACTTTGTTTTTTATTTAAACTACTAGCCGGCCAGGCCCTGCACTGGCCTCTGTGAAAAACCTATCTGTAAAGGACTATGACATGTGTTTTTAGTAATCAGCATATACCCGGCATATAATGAGATTCAAAATACAATCATTTATAAATGCATGCATCAGAAAGATCCTGCGAATTCGCTGGCCTAAACCCATCAGAAATGATGTTCTATGGCAACGGACAAATCAACTGCCAATTGAAGTAGAGATACTCCAGAGAAAATGGAAATAGATTGGCCACACACTCATGAAACCTGTATCCAGCAAACAAGACAAGCCCTCACCTGGAATCCACAGGGCAGGAGGAGGAGAGGCAGACCAAGAAAGACCTGGAGACGTGACCTGGAAGAAGACACCAAGAAGATTGGATACACCTGGGGACAGTTGGAGAGACTAGCCCAGGACAGAGACGTCTGGAAAGCTCTTGTCAGCGGGCTATGTCCCAGTAGGGATGACAGGCAAACCTAACCTAACCATATACCTGGCATTGCCCACCCTAACCACAACCAACCAAAACAAAAACACAAAAAAGAAACGCAAACTTAACACAACCGCATACGCAAATACAAACGCAAACACAAAGAAAACACTAACACAAAAGCAAACTCAAACAAAAAAGTAAACGAAAACAAACCAAATCCAAACGCAAACACAAACCCAACCCAAACACAAAGAAAACATAAACCTCTGTGCGTGAGTAGGGGTTGTAGTGGCACCAGTGGTCATCCCCCCCCCCCCCCCCACGAAGTTTGAATTTGAAGTTACACCCGAAAGTTTCTCAAATTTTCAAGTGCTTGCCCCCTCCTGGAGCAAATTTGCCTGAAAGAATCCTTGATAGAAAATAGTCACGTAGTCAGACACTGGTCGTTTGGGCAATTTTTTTCTTGCCAAACGGATCATGGCATAGTAAACAAAATAATTTGATGTCGCTTGTTAGCCTGATGCCCTCTGATGCCCGCTTCTGCCCGCCCCTGTGATGGGATGTTTCCTCACATTCTCTTCCCACCAGGGTTCAACATGGTTCGCTATTTGTGTACCAAAAAAAATCATTATCTGCCCCTGTATTGCTACATGGCTTGGGTTATAGTGATGCTTCATCTCATTGATCAAAGGTTTCCTAAAACATGACAGTAAATATATTTTTATATTCTTATATTGGCTGTCAAATCATAAGGGGAAAAATACCTAAATAAGTGTGAAAAGAACTTTTTTTTTTAATTCATCAAACGTATCATACTTCTTTCTAGTGCAGTTCATATCACTTATATTAAGGGGGGGGGGGGTCAAACAAGTGAAGGCCGAAGGCCAAAAAAAAAACCTAGGATCTCATATCGCGCTATGTGTTTGAATAGTTTTAAGTGTACATATCTAAGTTGGTCAACGAATATCTCGCATGCTAGGAAAATGTTGGCAAGTTATGTAGCCGTGTTGCTGGCAAACTTTTTTGGAAACTGGCAGATTGTACTCGTGTGCCTGGTAAACTTGCTAGAAACAAACTTGACATATTGAGTGTTCTATGAACGGTTGGCGTGGTCGGCTGATGGCTGCTAAACCCTTAAGTCCCGAGCGCGAAACCCAGGCAGATGAGACTAGATAGCTGGGGACACAAACAGCTGCTGCCTTGCAGTTTGTCTTTGGAGAAAAGCTATGGAAGCGAATCCAGAAAAGAAGGCTGAAATTGAAATCCACGGACCCAAATGGCGCATAATAAGGAGACACGTAATGCTTGTTTTGGAGGAAACCCATCCTAACATCACAGTTAAGCAGGAAGAGACTATTCTACGTAGACTCCCCATGACACTACAATCATAGTAGACAAAAGAAAATTTGAAGATCATTCCTTAAGCATAATAACTACTTTTTAAATCAGTAAGTATAAAACAAGAAAAGAGGGGGGAATTTGGCCTCATTTCAAACTATTTCATGCAATTTGAAATGTTTAACAACGCTTTTAAAAAGTCTTTGTGGAATCTAAGAGAACTGATAAAGGTGTAAAACTTGTAAAAAACAATATTTAGCCTTATTCCTTGCGGCCTACTCCGATAGGGCAAACGGTTTGACTAGACATTACAAATCTAATCCCTGGACTATATCATTAGATACACCCTCTAACTCTAATCAGTGGCGTAGCGAGGTCGGGTGTCACACGGTGCGGCACTTAATGGTGTCACCCCCCAGAGGCGTAGCAACCCTTCCCGGGGACAAATTTTCGATTTGCACCCCCGTCAAACTTTCTATTCTCACCCCCCCCCCCCTCAAATTTTCGATTTGCACCCCCCTCGAACTTTCCATTTGCACCCCCCCCCCCTTCCCACCCTCAAGTTGGACAGTTGATATAAGCTCGCTGTTCGCTGTCTAATGGTGGACTTGCACCAACGCATGACGAAAAAGCAGCAGGCTACGACTTTACCGTAACAATTATCGTGCACACAATATAATGCAATATAACGCAATAGGCCCGCACCATATATAAGTCAAACAACAGACCTATACACCATTCCCATAAACCATCACCCCTCCTAAAATGAAAGATTTCAAGGAAAACCCCTCCACACGACAGGCTTGCTTACAACATTTTGCAGCTTTTAGACTACGTATAGGAATAAAATCATCCAAATCATGTTTTTTTTTATCGTGTTACACTTCAATAGAAACAGGTGAAATTGCAACAACAAAAAATTCCTATTATGCTTGCAAAAAAAGAGATTGCATCAAACCATTTTTAAAGCTGAAATTTAGGGAAATAAGAATTTTTTTTTAAAAATCAGTGGCGCTATTATTATAAAGTTGCTCAATATTATAACACCCACACTACAATGGAAATAAAGTACCTTTCCCCGTGGTAATACGCCATTGCTTCCCATCTTTTGGTCATAACCAAAGCAAGGGAGACAACATACTATTATTTTCAAAAGTTGTAAGACTACATTAATTAAATGATTGTGTTAACCAAACAACAAGTGGCGTACTACCCAGTCAGCACACATATATTGGCCCAATATTGGCTAAACATTGGTTACCAATATTGGCTACATCTTGGTGCAACATTGGCTTAACCTTGGCCAAACATTGGTAGTGAAACTCGGCATGATGTTGGCGCAATGTTGGCACAATATTGGCTATATCCCGGCTACATATTGGCCCAACATTGGCTAGATCTTGGCCAAATATTGGCTATATCTTGGCCCAATATTGGCTATATCCCGGCTACATATTGGCCCAACATTGGCTATATCTTGGCCGAATATTGGCTATATCTTGGCCCAATATTGGCTATATCTTGGCCCAAAATTGGCAATATCTTGGCCAAATATTGGCTATATCTTGGCCCAATATTGGCTATATCTTGGCCCAATATTGGCTACATCTTGGCAGAATAATGGCAATATCTTGGCCCAATAATGGCTATATCTTGGCCCAATAATGGCTATATCTTGGCTATACCTTGGCTCATTGTGTATTTTATCCTGGCTACATCTTGGTCCAATATTGTAGTTTTAGGGGTCAGGGAAGGCCGCGGCCTCGGGGTGCCTGACCATAAGCGTAAGCGTACATAAAGATGTAGAAAAATGAAGAGGGTTGTAGATCTACGAGTTGGCTGTAAATTTGTTTTGTAATTTTGTCATAATTTAGTCCAAACTCTAATATATCCTGGAAATTTGGTAATGTGCAGTTTCTTCCAAGCATCTCTTCGCCCCCCGAACGAAATGAAATTTATAAAATTAATTTAGAAAATATATACTTTTAACAGTGTCCGCCCCTCCCCCCCCCCCCCCCCCCCGAAGTAAGTCTACCGCCCCCCCCCCCCCCCGAAAATTTCAAGTGCCCCCCGGAGAGAAAAGTCTGGAAAAAACACTGTACCGCCCCCGAACGAAATGGATTTGGGGTAGAAATTAAATACTTTTAACAGTGTCCGCCCCCCCCCCCCCCCCTCCGGAGAAAAATGTCAGGAAGAAACTGGTGATGTGGGACGGGCAATTTAGGGTCGAGCTATCTTTTTACAACTTGACCATAATATGTAACATTTGATAACAGATAGAGCTGTTGGATCTGGTAAATTTACGTTATCATTTCTTTAAAAATTAAAATGTTATATTTCTGCGGAAATGTGCAGTTTGTGCGAAGCTGTGCTTGCCGAAAACTAAACTTCCGTTGCTCACTAAACTGCATGATTCGGTAGTTTTTCATATTCAACGTTGCCCTGCTATTATTTATTTAAATATTCAGAAGCTTAGAAAACCTTTAAAATGCCTATTTATAAAGGTGACTATAATTTTATTATCTTTTTTTTTAAATAGCTTTCTTGTGATTTGAAGTTTGTAATTTAGAATACTAGCCAAATTTTTTTTGTTGATTCTTCATTCATTGAACTCTGTTGTTCTCAGACTACTGTCTCACTCTCAGTCTGTAGTCTGTAGTAATCTGTTGGCTCTATGCCGCCCTATGTAGACTATCTATTCTATGGATATTTAATTCAATAGATTATCAATAGAATCCTTGATTCTATGAGTCAATTCTCTACCAATCTACTAACTACTTGGCACTTGGGTTTTACTTTTACTGGCCAAACTCAGTATGATGAGTCACTAAAATGACTATGAGTAGATCTAATAAAATTGTAGTGTAACAGACTGATTCAGTCACTGATGATGTGTTTTGTGTAGTATTGTGATAGTTTACCAGTTTTTCTTTCTTTGCTGATGACTAATAGTTAATACTCTTGTTAATACTAATGATGATAGACTTTATGATAAACTATCATAAAATAAATAATCTAAAACTAGCCAGATCAAGCTTGCTAGAATCCATTATGAGGTTGATTTTTTTTATACCTTAGCCCATTGTCATATAATAGATTAATACTATAGTAGGCCTATAGACCTATAATTATATAATACTATAATCTTCTTTTAAAAACGGTGTAGTGTTAGGTGCTGACTGGTTAGCTAACTAAATGCACATTGCTTGCTAATGTCAATGCTAACCAAATTTTGCCTTAATCTAACCCCAACCCTAGTCCTATCATTTGCCTTATACTAATTAGATTTTCTCCCTAAATCTAGAATTTACACAATTTTCAATTTAAACATGACCACTGAATAATAGACATCCATATTTAATCCATAAGCCACTAATTTTGAAGTTTTTAGTTTGTTTTGAGCTAAATTACTTAATTTAATATTTATTAACACTCACTGCCATGGCCAACACACCTCTCCATGACAACTCTTCTTAAGCTTGAACGTAAAGAAAACCACAAATCATGTTAGACTTTTTAAGTGGTCATGCACCCACCAGAGTTCCTCACTAGTAATCATCAAATAGCGGTCACATGGTTTTTAAAAAATAAAAGTAAATTGGTTGTGATATGAGAGCCGATCTTATAAAAAAAGTGCCGACAATATTTGCTTTCTTTTTACATAGACTGATGCTTTACTTATATGATCATTTTTGTACCTACATAGTTGATATTTTTCAAATTCTATTAATTTTAATGAAACCAACTTTTGAATTTAGCCTCCGTTATCCAAACCAAATTTTAAAATGCTTTTCTGGCATATCTAACCCTGCCACCTATGATTTGTTGTTATGACACGGAAATACCGCCATTTTGCGCGTGGTAAACATTTTTAAATGTAATTAGTCGAAGGTCTCTGGAATTTGGCCGAAAAATCGCAGGAAGTCATGTTTCTGGTCTGGGCGCCATATTGTTGTTAGCAACCGACCACGCCTCCAAGTTAGCGAGAAATACTATTATACTTTATACTTTCTAACCATAAAGGCATAAAACTAGTTGAATTACAATACTACTAACAAACCAACACAACTGTTTTTTGAAGAGTCTATCATTGGACATTAGTATCTCAGTCTTCTAGTCTATAGCCTATGAGGTAATCTGTCATTTTGGGACAGTAAAATCATCTGAAGCCAGTAATGTGAATGAAAGGTGCATTCAGTGGGCTGATGTGACTTTTTTTTTTTGTTGATTTGCTAGTACTTTGTTTTTATCTTGGCCCTAATTAATTAGATCCCTAGCTAAAATTCAATTAATTCTGTATAATAAATGTATGCTTGATATGTTTGAAACAGTAAATGTGAAGTGGGGAAAGGAGAAGTTTACAGATGTTGAGTGTAATACAGATGAAGCCCCTGAGCTGTTCAAAGCTCAACTTTTTGCTCTGTCTGGTGTTCAACCATGTAGGCAGAAGGTCATGGTGACAGGATCTATCCTTAAGGTAAAGCATTTAGCCAATGAAACAAAAAATTAATTATATTACAATCATATGTAAATACATTTGCGTAGGGTTGAATCGGATTTTTTTAAAATTCTAAATTATGTATTTATTCTTACACCATAACATATTTATGACATCCATTTGCATTTTATTCCCAGGATGATGACTGGGGCCCAGCAAAGAACAAGTTAAAAGATGTAGGATACTTTTTTCCTTACTGCTCATTTTAGTCTTAATATATTAGTTAAAAGATGTAGGCTAGTTTATACCTTACTGTTCATTTTAGTGTAGATATGTTAATCATTATTTTCTGCTCTGTTTTGTTACTTTCTTATGTAATTAAAGAAGACCACTTAATTTTGTTAAATTCCATGTTTCATGAATACATAAATTGTAAGTACTTAATTTTGTCTGATGGTGTAATTTATTTAGTAATAATTAAATGACTGTTAATTAGGGTGTTATGTTGCTGATGATGGGGACAGCAGATGAGTTGCCAATGGAACCAGCAGACAAGCCTGTGTTTGTTGAGGACATGAGTGAGCAACAACTTGCCTCAGCCGTGAGTTAATTCCTTTTTAACCAATCAGCAATGCCTCATCAAATTCCATCCCCACAAGTGACTGACAATGTGTATAAACACATTTTGCATGTGGAATAACACATGCTGTACAACAACCACTTTAATTATAATAGTTAAATCACGTCACTAGCAGAATTTATCTTTAGAGTATACACATTTTTTTTTAACTTTGCAAACATTATTTTTTTTTAATTGGCAATGTTTGAAGAACAATCACAATTAATGAGCTAAATCTGAAGATTTGCTGCTAATAATTGGAAAGTGGGAGAGGAATATTTTTTGTGTTGATGTGCCAGTGTTTAGTGTAAACCCTTAACTCGTTTTCTGTTATTTTTCTAGCTTGATATACCAGCTGGATTGACTAATCTTGGCAACACATGTTACATGAATGCTACTGTACAGTGCCTAAGAGCCGTCCCAGAATTAAAAGATGCACTTAAAAGGTATTTGCCTTGATCATTTTATTTATTTAGATTGCTTAAATTACAAGAACCATTTCTAACTGAATGATTAGCTTTGACTTAAACTAAGAAATGGATTCTGTATAGCTTGAATAGAATATATTTTAATGTCCTGCTGTTCTACCCACAGGTTTACTGGAGGGTTGACTGTGGCTGGAGCTATTTCACCTGCAGATTCTATTACAGCAGGTTAGTGCTCCGTAAAACTGATTGGTTTTGAAATAAGTATTTCAGGCTGATAGTTTACATATGTTGATGGAGTAATTATTACATGTAGTATGTTTTGTTGCACTTGAAAACTGCTTCTTTAATTAAATTTTGACCACTTGACAGCATTGCGTGACTTGTATGGGTCCATGGATAGAACATCTGCTCCTATTCCTCCAATCATTTTCCTCCAAGTGCTTCACATGGTTTATCCAAGGTTTGCAGAGAAGGGAGAGAATGGAGGCTACCAACAACAGGTTTGTAGTCTTACTTAACTGAAAAATTGAGGCTTCACCAATTTTGTTTCCAGAAACATTCAACAGCTGAGAGATTTTTTTAAAAAGTGATTAACTTAGGGCAAAATATAAAGTTTCCTCATAGATAGTTTTTTATGCTTTTCTCTTTGTTGAAGTGATTGACCTTCACACTAATATTATAAATAGCAACTTGAGACGTTACTTGACCTGCTTGTCTCAGTACATCAGGGTCATTACCTCTTCTTTCAATTTAAAGTTAAAAATTAGTTTAAGTTAGTTAAAGATAGAACTAACCAACAGTGATTGCTGTAGCCTCTGTGAACTTCATACTAATGCTATCATACCACCAACCCGTCCTGTTTCTCTTTCTCATCATGGCTGCAGAACAATTGTTAGGACACTATGTGTAAACTTAGATGTCAACTGCTATGGTTTGCATCTATTGAAGTTTTTGACTGGTCATTTGCATTGCATGTGACATTTTGTTAATCACTGGCTTTTAGCACCAATAATTTTGATTCAAAACATGTAGCTCTAAAAGTGTGCATTTCCAGTTTACCAAAAAAAGTAGAATTCAGCTGGTGTCGTACTTAATTAATATATCAAAGTAATTTAGGTAAAGCGTTTTAAAAATAATAGTCATGCAAAATCTTAACATAAAAATACTTAAATAATAAATTGTTCTGCCAAATTCAGTTTTGAAAAGCTAATAATTGTGTACATGGTAAAAAAAAAGCATATTGGCTTATTTATGGTATACATTTTTCACATAAGGTCACAAAATAATCATACTCAATACATCTTCAACATTATTATACATTATTGGTTTATGCGGTTGATTGATCGGTTTAAGGATTATTGACCTTAAAAAACTAAAAAAATTAGTTTGAAGATCTGCAATGGTAGATTGAGAATTAGTAACCGGTCTTGGGAAGAGAGAAAATTTAGGAAATGGAAGGGAATTTTTCCTTAAAATAAAATAGGGAATTTGTTTTTAAAATAAAAAAGGTTGTTTAATTTTTAATTTATTTTTTTATATTGGCTTTAATATTTTGTGTTTAGACTAACTATATTTGACTTTATGTGTTATTTCTATAAACAGGATGCCAACGAATGCTGGACAGAAATTGTCAGAAGTTTGCAGCAAAAGTTAAAAGGAGCTTCATCCTCATCTAGAAGCATAGAGCCAATGGTTTGTACTTTTTTACAAAAAAACCTAAATGATCAATATGTAAGTGCACATGGAACAATTTTAAATAATCTTACAATATAAATATCTCCTGTCTTTTATTTTAGGAAACAAGTTCCACAGAGTCTGCTTCAACATCGTCATCTTCACTCTCAGTGTCAGACAAGGGATTTATTGATCAGTATTTTGGTGGAGAGTTTGAAACTACGTATCTTTTTCTATGAGCTTTTATATTTTAACAGTTTGGATCTTTATGGCTTGTGTGTGAAGTAGGAACTTGCTCAATCAAAACAGATCTCTCAAATATTTTTTATATGATTTTTAGTGTATTCGACTTCTTTTCAAGCTTTAATTTCTATACTACAACAACCAGGTGTAGCGGAGTACCTGATTGAAGAAAAATTGTGGTTAACTTTATGATATACATGTACTCGACTACATTTGTCCTTTTGGTTAGGGCTAAAACATTTTTTATTGTTATGAATTTTGTTTGATTCCTTAACCTGGGTGACCAGGATGAAATGTAATGAAGCTCCAGAAGAAGATGTGCTAAAAGGAACAGAAAAATTTCTTCAACTCAGTTGTTTTATAGAAAAAGGTAACACTATAATTACATTCCCTTGTTTTTGTGTTACTATCAGCTGTAAATTTTAGCTACTTGTTAATTGAACAGAATTACTTGAGTTTTTTGCCGCTTGACAAAAAATTATTTATAAATTTATCTGGATATTTCAGATGTTAAATACATGCATACTGGATTACACAGTGTAAGTACATAATGTAATTTATGATAAGATAGTTTATTTGCATTTAAGTTTACTGTTTTTAAAAAATGTCATGTTATTATTTGAACAGAGGCTAGAAGAGACAGTTACCAAGAATTCTCCAACTTTAGGAAGAGATGCAATATACACAAAATCTGTAAGTGTTTTGGTCTTCTGGGGTATTAGGTTTCATGCTCAACTTTTCTAACTTTAGATACACAATTTCTCACAATTGTTTATAAATTGTCTCCACAGAGCAAGATTAGCCGGTTACCTGCTTACCTAACAATTCAGTTTGTCAGATTTTTTTACAAAGAAAAACAATCAACTAATGCTAAAATTTTAAAGGTAATTAGTTTTTATTTTACAAATTTTATTTCATTTTGCAATAAGTTTGTTTCACCATTATATTTTTTGTTGTTGAGAATAAATTGATTATCTCCCATTATTGAGCTGCACCATGTTAAATTTCAGGACATCAAATTTCCACTGTCGCTAGATGTATTTGATTTATGTACTCCAGCTCTGCAGCAGAAGTTGATACCCATGAGGGACAAGTTTAAGGCAGCAGAAGACAAAAAAGTAGAACAAGCTCAAAGCGTGAGGTTTTTTTTTAACCAGTTTTGTTCTTTAGCTTAATGTAGCTTACATTTTTGTGATTGATATTGCAATGGGGTAGGGCCTGAACGTTTTATACCTTTTTGTTTTTTATAATCTAGTAACAGAAACTCTGCCTAACTATTTTTTTTTTAATCTATGGCAAATACTTGCTTTTTAAGGCCAAAGGCAAAGCACCACTTGTCAAAGATTCTAAGAAAGATCTAAAGACAGAACCCTATTGGTTTCCCGATGGTAAATTAGTTTTATTTTCATTTTCATCATCAATTTATTTACTGATTTACCGATTGATAGTCTATTACCTTTTTACAGAAATTGTTAATCTATATTATTGGCTTGCTTATTTTTTATTAAGATTTTCATACAAAAAAGTTATGTTTCTAATTAATTCCCATAGATACTGGCTCAAACAACAGCGGCTACTATGAGTTAACTGCTGTACTCACACATAAGGGAAGGTCCAGTTCTAGTGGTCACTATGTGGCTTGGGTTAAAAGGAAAGGAGGTTAGAAAATATTACATTATTTTTTTTTGTAGTTGGTTAGAAGGTGGTTTAGGGTTGTACAGTTTAAAAAAATGTGTTAACTTTATGTTTCTACAAAAGTGTTATCTGTTTGAACCTATAGATGAGTGGCTGATGTTTGTGGTTATACAGTTAAAAAAATGTGTTAACATTTATGTCTCTACAAAAGTGTTATCTGTTTGAACCTATAGATGAGTGGCTGATGTTTGATGATGACAGGGTTACCCCTGTTATGTCAGAAGATATTCTCAAGCTATCAGGGGGAGGTAAGCTACACAATTTGTGTTTGAAACATTTTTTTTTAACCTGAATTTTCTTCCTGTAATTGTTTTGTTTGTGATTGTAGTTAATGAGAGTTAGGTTTATTAGTTTTTGATGAGTATATTTAATCTCCGGCAATTTTAGTCTTTCATATTTAAAAAAAAAGTTTGCCATGATTTTTCAGGGGATTGGCATTGTGCCTATGTGCTGTTGTACAGTCCAAGACTTTTAGAGGTGGATGAAGACACCCAGGAAAAATAACCCCTAGGACATTAGAAACCAATTTGTTTGAAGTTCATCTCTGCTATTTAATCTGTTATGCCACTTTATTTTCAAACAGAATAAATAGGATAATGATGGGACTATTTTAAATATTTGATTTCAAATCTGAACAAATGGTGTATTTTGTGTTCATGAAAATGCTAGCAACATTTTTAAAAATCATTTTTATCTGCGCTGGTAGAGTGAAATGCTGAAAAACTGATAAAGCCTTTAATTAACACCAGTATATGACATTGTTTCTGTTAGAAGTTGGATACAATTATTTTTTAAAGGCATTTATTTATAGAAAAATGTAAACAAAGTAAAAGCATGGATGTCCAAACATTTGTTTGTCTTGTGCCACATTATATTTCCAGGTTTATGCAGTCAATAACATCTTCTTTTATAAATTGGAACTTAAAATTTTTTTGAGTTAATACTTTAGTGTAGATGCTATCGGAAGTAGCATGTACTATTATGAAACAATTTAAAATTATTGATTTTGTTCTTATTTTTTGAAAATGTACTTGTAATTAGCTTCAGTCAAATAAAACTGGCAACTGTTTGTTTGTTGGTACGACTTAATTTACTCAGTTATGTAAAATATTGATTGGAAAGATGTCTTATTTTTACCTGCGTAACTCAGTAACTGAACATACGCTGGGCATCCCTGACTTATACAATTTTATTTTGTTTAGATTAAGAACAAAATGTGGATAAGACTTGCAAGCTAGTCTTTGTGTTTTGTTACATAGCGCTTGAGACAAGAGAGGAAGATGGTTTTGTTTGCAGTGATGTGTTTGCATTGTCTTTTGCCTGTTTATAGTACATGTGTTTGTGTATTGGGTAAGATAATAAAACTGTTGAATATATGCTGTATCCACTGATGCTTCTTGATTGTGATTAAATTTTTTCTGCCAACCTGATCTATTCAGTTATGCTTTACTATGGTGTTACTGTAAGATTTGGGATGGGTGGTCAGGTTGTAGAGCCCATTCTGATCACCCAGTTGACCTCAGTTCATGGACTGGAGCCTGTAGTATGCCCTGGAGTCAACACAGCTCAGATGGGTACCTGACTCAAGTTAGGGAAAACTTCTGCAGCTGGGCATAGTGCTGATCAAGGTGACCTACTAATTCAAAACAGCTGCAATTATCAATGACCACAGTTGATTTCATCCTGAGGAACACAGAGCTGCAGCTCCACCTCTTCAATGGACTGTTTACGACAGCTGTTTAATTGTGCCTATGTAAATCCCTCATTGACCTGTTCCCCTTTACATAGTTGCTTCAAACAAAACCACATGTGACTTCATTGTTTCAACAAAAAAATGTTTTATTTGAAAAAAATGTGCATTGGTACAATTAAAAAAGGTATAGGCCCTGTAATACAAAATAACATGAACAAATGGTAAACTATCATTATCAATCAGAGGTTTGGTCTAGGGCAAATGGTGAGAAAAATATTAATATGGGTCACAGAGCAAGGCCAGTTTGAGCTAGGAAGCAAGAGTTTTTATCTCTTGTTCATCAGTGGTTCATGGTGACAAGAATACCTACTGCAGCACCATGAATGATGGGATCCTTGCACTACATTGACAGCACCATGAATGAGATCCTTGTACCACATTGACAGCACCATAAATGATGAGATCCTTGTACCACATTGACAGCACCATAAATTATGAGATCCTTGTACCACATTGATAGCACCATAAATGATGAGATCCTTGTACCACATTGATAGCACCATAAATGATGAGATCCTTGTACCACATTGATAGCACCATAAATGATGAGATCCTTGTACCACATTGACAGCACCATGAATGATGAGATCCTTGTACCACATTGACAGCACCACCCATGGAGGATGAGATCTATGCACCACATTGATAGCACCATGAATGAGATCCTTGCACCACATTGACAGCACCACCCACAGAAGATGAGATCCATGCACCACATTGATAGCACCATGAATGATGAGATCTATGCACCACATTGACAGCACCATGAATGATCATATCATTGTACCACATTGATAGCACCACCCATGGAAGATGAGAGCTATGCACCACATTGACAGCACCATGAATGATGAGATCCTTGTACCACATTGACAGCACCATGAATGAACTGATCCTTGTTCCACATTGATAGCGCCACCCATGGAGGATGAGATCTATGCACCACATTGACAGGACCATACTTTTCTACAGGGAATGTATCTTAATTTATTTTAAATTGTAAACATAAATTGTCAGTACGTGTAAAGTGTAACTTAACATGAGACAACGTTCATTATGGGGGTTCACTGTGTGTTTCTCTATTGACCTTGACTCCTGCTAAGATCACATTAGCCATACAATTTAACAAATGTAAGAAGTAAGGATTGAGGTTTCAGCAACATCAGGTCATTAGCCTGTTATAGCACATGTTCTGTAGTATGCATAAATCTTAACCTTGATATCAGAACACAGTAGGCCATACAATGCATATGGCCTTAACCTTTGTATCTAGACATAATAGGCCATACAATCTGCATGACCTTAACCTTGATATAAGAATACAGTTGGCTATACAATATGTATGACCTCAACCTTGATATCAGAACACAGTCATCTTAACTTTAAATTTAGGACACATTTAGCCAAACAATCTCATCTGGCCATGTTATCACTTTCATATATTAAAAGCCCCGAGAAATTCACTCAAGTTACATAGGTCTACTCTATAACTTCAAATCACAAACTGGTTTAACATAATATCTTCTTTACCACACCAGGTAGTTTTAAATCACACTTTAGCTGTCCCAAAGAATTAAATCTTTAAAATATTCAACTAAATAAGTTCGTTTTGTAGCTTGTCCATGAGAAGAGGTTTTGCGTTTAAAATATCTCCTGGCTTGTGTTTAGCACCTTTATACACAGGGCTGTCCGTTCTAGTCAATGTCAGATCTTGTAGTTTGATATCCGCTTTCCCTTTGTGTCTTGTTGAAGTTTTTCTCTTGCGTTTCAACCACTTTGTCAACAGAGTAAGGATAAGAGGTCTGAGAATAAAATACCCTAGACCGGAGCCGAGCGCTTGGGTCAGGAGGAACCATATGTTGTAAGTCATCAGACTCAGCATGACCATCATCGTAAAGCCCACACGTAACATGTGCAGAAGTGAGCGTCGCACTTGGATGAATATCACCTGTCTTTTACTTAGTCTGAAAATAAGATTTTTGTTAAATCTTGTTTTAACTTCTGTATTGGCAAGTGGTATCACTAAACTAGTCTTAATTATTTGGCAATTTTTAGATTAAGTTAAAATTTTTAAACAGCTGTCTAAAATGTGTAGCCTTACTTTGGTTGTCCTAATATATAAACATCCACATGAAGAGAGAAGATTATAACCTCATGGAGTAGAACAAGCAACAGTGCCAACAGTATTGCCAGAACAAAACCTGGTGTAATAAGAAAGAATAATTAAGCTGATGAATGTAGTTAAGATACAGGTAATCAAACTGTAAAGTTTCATGGTTTATATAACTTACATAAAATGGAACATATAAATAACTAAATATATGTTGCTTAATGTTTATCACATTTCCAAATAGCTAATATTTTATTAATTAATTTTGAGGTTTGAACAAAAAATACCCATTGTTTTGTTGTTGTACAATGATAGGGTGTTAACACAAATTTGAATAGTACAAAAAATCAAAATTACCTTCTCCTTAGTTATTTCAATGTTAAACATGCCAGCATTATCACTACAATATTGGCTATCACATAATATATTTATTACATGGATTCATTAGTTATAATTTAAATCAATAAATAGGCTATCCCATTATAAACAATGTGAGGTTATGGCTAATATAACCTGACTGTAATCTGTTGTGAGATAATGAAGAAATTAGTACAAGAATTTCTTACAATCTGCTGTATTGATGTTCCATCCTATGAACTGAAAGTCCGACCAATTACTGTGAAAATAGTTCTAAAATGAAAGAAGAACATTCACATTAATAAAATTATTTTAGCATACCTTTCTAATTGTATAACAAGTCCACTGTTTAATTCTAAAACCTAATAGTCTATAGAGATCAAAGATTTACTATTTGTATATAATTGAACTCTGTTTTGACACATTGTACTATCCCTATTCTGTTTCTTTTTGTACAAGCTATACTATATATATATATATATATACTAGTAGTATATATATTCTAGATGTTGAAGAATATCCCAGTTGAGAATAAACAGAAAAGAAAGCTTAGAAAGATGGATACCAACAAAAAATAGGCATATCTGCCATTATTGGTAAAAAAAAAAAAAAAAAAAAAAAAAAAAAAAAAGACCTAGGCCTATACAACATAATATTAATACAACAAGTTGTTTTAGAAATGTAAATCCGACCAAAATAAATAATCAATAAAAAGCAATCAAAATCTAAAAACTTGGAAGATCATTCAGAGAAGAAATTAATTGGTGTAATACTAAGACTTGGAGTTGTAAAAAGTTGAGTTCAACTGAGAACAACTCTAATCTGGGTATCTGGGTAATTTGATCCTCAGACAACAACAAAATATAACAAAAAGGAAGTTGATTTACTTTATGAACACTTTGTTTACTTCTTCTTATGGCATCTGAATTCATTCCCTGACCATGATGCACCATGCTACACTGTTACGACAGCTCTCTATAGTAATCATTTGTTGTTGACATGAATGGGGTGGAAATCAAATTCTAGCATCTAGTCCTGTGAAAATTTTAAGAGCTGAAAATCAAAATATGAGGCATGATTGATGTGCTGAGAAAACCATGATATAGCTGATTGAAAAATAGCTTACTTTAATTGATAATAGTCTATGTAAATTCTTCTAACAAGTAAAACGATAACTAGAACATGTTAGTTTACATAACATGAAAATTATTAAAACCTGGCCACTTGGTAAACTTAATGCACGCAAACGACAAGCACACTATTTTTAAGTTAGCAATGAAATTATAGAATAAATCATAGATGCATCAAGATTTACATATTTATAAAAGGATGTTTTCTATGTTTACTTACTTTTATAGCTTTATTTGAGAGACTTAAGCACTAAGCAGGTTAAACTGTAACAACTTTTCCCGTCTAAATAAATGTTATAGGCCTACTTTACACCCATTTAAATAGTCTATGTTCACAAATTATGCTGATTATTCATGAAGTTTTACAAGAAAAAAATGGAATTACTAAAAAAAAATAACGAATGTTTGGAAAAGGTAGATATGATTTAATAATGAGGACTGGCAAATACAAATGAGAATACTAATAAGGCTCACGTGTTTAGGGCCTAGTGGTTGTCTAACATTACAATATTGACGATGCCCGCGCGGCCGCATAATTATCAAACGTTTCAATGTGTATTACAGCTAGTTATAGTTAATCTAATTCTATTCTATAGGGCTTTGGCCTATTTTTAGTCGTGCTTTAGCTTTATAGTAGTTGTGTTTTTTTTAACATACCCAACCCACATTTTTTAGGAAATATGACATTTCAGGAAAGTACATTTTGACACGGCTGGCGTAAATAGCCAGATAAATTGCCTGAACGCCTGACAGTACTGTGAGAGGAATTAATCGATATAACGGTTTCCCTTTTAACCGGAACTTGTTGTTTTATTAACCGGATAAACTAAGGGGACTGGTCCTTGTAGAAACCGTACTTTTAAATTACTTAATAGCAGGGGCGGAACTACAGTGCCGCCAGACCCCGCAATGCGGGGGGGCCCACGCCATTTAGGGGCCCACGGCCGACCCTAATTATTTTTATTATTGTTAAAAAAATCTAATTTTCTTGCAATTTTTTACTTTTTGTAAAACGATTACCATAGCTGTGGTTTGATTATCTTTATTCTATAGACAACATCCCCACGCCCTTGTATATTCTTTTTCCCTTTCTTTTTAAACCACTGTGAAAGCCAAGTCCTCTCTCCTCTACAATTAAACTTAGCAAAGATAAGCAAACGTTCAAACCACTTCCATGACTTATTTCCCTTTTTAAATAGTCAAATTGGGGTGCTCATAAGCTCCTTTTAATAGATTTGTACTAAACAAATTAAAAAGCAATTACTTCTCTTACTAAATATTTTTTCATAAAAAAATTACTAAAGAATGACCTTGTATAAAAAGGAAATGTATTTAAAATTAATAATATAAATACAAAAAAACATAAAAATAATCATAACATGAGACACCATTACTTCTACAAAGATTTCGTGTTTTAAATTCGTTTGGCCAGATAGACGTTAAGAGAGCCAATAGCAGATAAAATGAAACTGATTTTCGCAAAACACACTAATGCACTTTTACACATGACATGATGTAGTAATTTGTAGTAATTTGTTTTAATTGAAAAAGATTAATTTTTTTTTTCGAAACCCCAACAGGTCAGCAATGAGTATCCTATGCTCTGTTCTTAATTATATATATATATATATATATATATATATATATATATATATATATATATATATATATATATATATATATATATATACATACATATATATATATGGGTGGGGGGGGCCTAAAAACTTTTTTTGCGGGGTGGCCATTTTTTTCTAGTTCCGCCACTGCTTAATAGCATTGTTTCTTGATGTAGATACATTCAATTTTTATTTAATAATACACGGTAGTCTTCTTGTCCCTCAACCTTAAAATTAAGTCACGCCTTTAGCTGATATGGACAAAAAATGCACTATTTAAATAGATAATAGACAAACAAATATAAAAAGTTTTAAATCTTACCTGGAGTTGAATTTTTTTTAAACATACAAACTGGCAACATATGTGTACTTAAGTCGTGTTTGCACTTGTCAAGGTCGAGATCATTTAGCTAAAGTAAGCCAAGTTCATGTTGATGGCTTTTTAGTCACGTAGTCCAATTTGTTTTGTAGAAGAAAACATGTGGACAAAAGGTGTTAAGACACTAATGGGGACGTATGCAAACAGCTATACCTGTCAACGGCTGAAAGACAAATCCGTGTGGTCAGGGTACACGGTGTGTTAGCACAACACGGGTGGACGGGACAGAGTGACCCAAGTACAACGTACGGTGTGCACCGAGTTATCTATAGTTTGATAACTCCATCTTAAGACGCGCTAATCTTCTTGTCAAGTGCCGGGTCAGGTTAAATCTAATTAGGGTGACCTTGACATTACGGTCAAACTGTGATTATCAGATGACCTGGGGTGTTTTTTAGGCTTGATTTGTATACTACAACATCGTGTTGTATAGGCTTATCGTGTAGGCTACATCATATTGTCAATACAGGTTATATAGGCTTATCGTATAGGACACAACATCACGTTGTAAGACAGGTTATATAGGCTTATTGTGTAGGACACAAATCTTTTTGTTAAGACAGGTTATATAGGCTTGTCGTGTAGGATACAACATCGTGTATTATAGGCTTATCGTGTAGGACACACCATCACGCTGTTAAGACAGGTTATATAAGCTTATCATGTAGACAAGATCGTGTTGTGGTGTTGGGACAGACCACTGCTCACTCCTCCAGTGTTTTTTTTTTAACCAAGCAGCTACAGAAGCTTCTAAAAATGTCTACTGTTTAATAACCTACAGAGTGTGTTGATTACTATCAGTTTAGTTGAGACGATAGGTCGACATTTAAAAAAAAGTTGTTTTCATTGGCATTGTGACAAAACAGTTTTATTTTTTATGCTGAAAGCCATGAATAGAAACGGCCATTAAAATTTATTTTTCCCTTTATTGCCAAGTTGCTAGAGCTTTATTTATTAATTTTTAAATATTTTCCAGATTTCTCCATTCTTAACTATTTACTAGTTTGAGACTCCCCTAGTTGTGTGGTCTAAACACAGTGTACTCTGAGTGTAGGTCTACACCTACACAACTTGGTATGACACTCCACATGGGAGACAATAATTATTTATCAACAAGAGCTGGGGCTGTTTAATAAAAATGTATGATGTCACATCATTCAAAACACGTGGCCTTTAATTAAGGTCGTGTCTTCACACTTTCTCCTAATTTTTTACCTAATCAAGTCAGCCATTAATTTTAGTATGTCAAGTATGTTTGAAAATGTCTATGTTTGTGCCGACTTATGTGTGACGTAATAGTCATTGTAAAATAAAAAAACTACATTGTTATTTCTCAGAGAAGGAATCCTTTAATCCTTAAGGTTTATTTTGGGTGGGAGTGGGATAAAAAATGAACTTATTTACTTAATTCAAACAACTTTCTCACACAAAAAACACAGAAGACAATGCACTGAGAATTCTTTATTTAGCAACATTGTCCATGTTCCCTGGCAGTTTGTTAACAAGTCAAAAATCATCACCTTAAACCAAACAAAAACAAACAAAAAAATCTTGACTGCTTGATGTGATACAGCAGAAATGCCATAACTTGTGGAAGAAGTTTGGATACAGTCTATGCTGTATAAAACTTGGATGAGTAATTAAAAATTTAGCAACAATTTGCGGAGATAACACTGGTGAATACAATTAGAATAAAATTAACAATAAATAATTTATAACACTAATTTCATGTAAGCACTTACATATTATATTGAATTTTAAAACTTACATAAAACATACATTTATAAAGTTTATTACACATTTTTGATTTTTTAAAATAAATAAGTCGCGAATTGGCAAATTGGTTACACAAAGCATTTAAATATTTATGGTTCAGCAATTGACACAAATGATTTAATAGATTGAAATTAAAGAAAATTAATTAAAGAAATAAAACAAACCAACAATTAAGGAGATCACACAAAACATTTTTTCAATTGTCTATTGCTTTTTTTTTGTTGCAGCTTGTTTATAAGAAATATTTTTTAAAACAATACCTTCATAAAACATAAACATCATAATATATTTAATAAATAACACAAATAATATACATCACAATGAATTAGTGTTACAATATGAAAAGTGAAATGCTTCTTACAACAAGAGCTCAACTAGTTTACCTTATCCATGATACGAAGGACAATTTAAACACAAATCTAACTACACATGTGAGTGTTGGTATGTTTTACAATTTATACATAATTTTTTGTGCATGTACACTATCATAAAATTAAAACAATGTTAAAAAAAAACTTTAGCTAAAAGTAACTGTCTGTCATGGATTTTTAAAAATCACCACAGAAATCCTGTTTATGTCGGCTTTCAAACTGCTCACGCTAAGTGATAGTTTATTTAAATAAAAATATAGCTAGGCAATAAAACTATTTCTTTGGATAAAACAACACACCACGATAGCCCTACTTTTTATAATTAGCAAATAAGAGTAAATTAACCTTAAACTCATTATGTCATCAGCATCTCAACACTTTATACAAAGAGAAGGAATTGATTTTGTCACCCTTACTCATACAACATGCTACTTCATTTATTAAGAGAAATGAATGAATGTTAACCAACCCCCCCACCCCCTTACACCACTTATTGCAGTGTGCCTGTGACACATTGTGGTAAACAAACATGCTCTTCAACATGATGGGGGACTCTTTATAAATTATTTTTTTAGTAGTAGTTTCCCTTGTTGGTTGAACTTATGTATTTTATGTCATTCATAAATCATTAATAGTTAGACAATAACACAACAGATGTATGTCAGACAGTAACAAAAGATGAAGATAGAAACAATTTTCTAAACAGACAGAGCAAGTCAAAACTGGAAAAGAAAGTACACATCTTTTGATTATCATACAAGTTGAGACATGGTACCAAGAGTACAGAGCTTGCATGCACAGCTGAGCTGTTGACACATGCAATAAATGCACAGAACAATGGTTGTGCACCAATAACACACAATCATAATACATGTATTTGTCATCATATTTGTCCTTAAGAAATATTGAGTTAATGCTGTTGAATATCTGTATACCAATCTGTATACAATGTTAACTGGCAAAAATTTCCCAAACAAAGCCAGAGATTCAGTGAAAACATTTGTAAGATACATTATTGTGTCCCTTAGTAGTTCAAGTGATGACAAATTTAAAACAGAAAATATATTTACTCCTTGTTAAAAACAGATATAAAATTAAACAAATTTATAAACATATACCCTGATTTGACAAAAAAAAACCTTCACAAATGATGTATAATCTCTTCCAATTCTGGACAAACAAATTTATAAACATATATCCTGATTTGACAGGAAACCTTCACAAATGATTTATAATCTCTCACAATTCTGGACAATAATTATATGGATGAATAAATGATTCCACATTTAGAAGTATTCAAGTGAATCCTGCTGTGTGACAAACAGGCAATGTTGAACACATTCTGATGGTCCCAACAAATTTTGTAGATGTGGTGGTTCACTGTGGTGTTGTGGGCTTGAGTCCTTGAGTTTGTTTTCTTTAGTTCAGGCATCTCTCAACAAACCTGATGGGTTCTAAATATGCTGGCTAAAGAAAAGAGTGGCCAAAAACTGTTCTGGCCACAAAGTAGACATACATGCTGCATACGGCTAGGGTCTAGACCAGTAGTACCCCAGGGTAAAGCAACATTAAGATTGGTAATGGTTGAAATCCTCAATAATAAGATAAAAGGCACAAGAACCACAAGAGTTTCCTTATAACAAAAAGGAAGAGACGTCATGTTCTTACATTAATAATAGAACAAGTAGATTTCTGTATTATAAAACATTAATATTAGTCATAAGATGTATGGATAAGTAGTATTGTGTAGCACTAAAGTGGATGAAAGCCTTTACCCTATTTAGTTAACTAGCAAGTCCAGTTTAGGATTATTACAGAAATAACATGGGGAATAAGGGTTGGGAACAGCTGATAAAGTACTGTCTAGTGCTTCACATTCAAAACATTACATGCGACTTCTTTAAAGGTATTTTTTTAGCCATTAATATACACAAGTTATTACTGTATATAATGTTTTTCCCTACAACGATGCACTTTTTGTAAAGATCACAACTGTGAAGTGCCACAGGTACAGCGTACACTGCTGCTGTTGTTGGTGTCCTGGTATTCCGTATCCTCACTAGACTTGTTGAAAGACAGCAGCTCTTGCGTGGCGCTGCTGGACGCGCTGACGGTACCACACGTCTGCAGGTAAGACTTGGGTACGTGAAGGGCAGCCCTTGGCTCCTCGTACTCCCCCCAGCCAAAGAAGAAATAGCCCAGGCCTAGGCCAACCATGACAGCGACTGCCACCCACACGTTGTAGGTCATGACGGATAACATGAGGATGTAGCCCCCTACAAACTGCATCAGGTACATTATAGTCTGGAGGATGTGGCCTTTGTTTAGGATGTAGCGTCTGTTTAAGGGGGAACAGACAAACATGTTAGGTTCAGTTCAAACAAAAAAACATTAGCAATCAATTTAGGTACACTTTTAACAACACAATAAGACAAACATTTTAGGTTCAGTTTAAATAACGCAACATTAGGAAAGATTTTAGGTTCACTTTTAACAACACAATATTATAAAGGATTTTAGGTAGATCTCAAATAACACAATATTAGAAAATATCTTAGGTACAATTCACAAAACAATGTTAGAAAATATTTTAGGTACAATTAAAATAACACTATTAACACAAAATTAGCAAACAGAACTTATACACAAATGTGTACTAATTATTTGAACCAATTAAAAAAAACCTATTCTATTGAAGTGAGATTTATGAAATCCAAACAGATCAATATTAAAAAATACCAAACATTCGCATCAGTAGAAAATTATAAGGTAACTATGTGAGTATTCCTTTATATCTGATTACAAACTTTTATTTTATTTTAGAGGACTAATTTTCTGCTATTTTATTTTAAATTCAAAGTAAAAAATATTTTAAAAAAAAAACTTACTTGCATGTCATATTACGACACTTGCGTCCATACTGTTGTCTGGCAAATTTAATCCCTTGATAAACAACCCCCATTACCACAAGCACCAGACAGGACAAATACATTTCTGGAACAGTCATTAGGATGCTAAGTCATCTTAAGAACTTTGATATTTCTTATTTTAGTGCAAAATATTTACAGCACTGTAGCCTCTTGAGTACACTACACCATATCATACTAACCAGTTAAATAGAACTAACTTTAGTCTTAACCCTGGGGTATGATATGGCAATATAGGGTACTTGTCAATGGGAAGGAATTTGTTTTATATCAAAATAGTTAACTCCCTTACCTTTCTTTCCACGCAGGACCCATTCTGGGAAAAACAGAATGTCACCAAAATTTGTGTGAAATGCTCTCTGAAAATTAAATTTTTAAGTAAGTCAACACTGACTTAAAAAAAAGCAGAATCATTTAAAATACATCATTCATCACTATATATATAAATTGCTCTATTATTTTAACATTTTCACACAAATTTTATGATTGCAAAAAGTAAAAAAATCTAACTCTTAACCCACAGCACTGTTGCTGAACTATAAACAACGTAAAAAGTTGTTTTTTAAAATAACAGTTCATTCATTAAAACCCAACTCACTGAACAACTAGATTTTAAAAAAAAACACAAGACTGTTCTAAACAAGCATATACAAATTGTTTACCTTGTGCATGATATGTATATTAAAGAAGGCTGGCCCAGAAAAATGAAATCACAGACAACAGTCTATGCCTGTGCTGCTAACAATCTGATGAATGCTAGAGAAATAAACAAAAAGAACACAGGTTAAAACCCTACATCACAGTGTACAAGTTATTCCACATTAACGAAGCTACCAATCTGATGAATGCTAGAGAAATAAACAAACAGAGCACATGTTAAAACCCTACATCACTATGTACAATTTATTCCACAATAACAAAACTACAAATGAAATGAATGCTAGAGAAACAAACAGAGACCAATATGTTAAACCAACATCACAATGTACAATTTATTCAACAATAACAAAGCCACCAATGAAATGAATGATAAAGAAATAAACAGAGACCCACATTTGAAAATAAACATCACAGTGTACAAGTTATTCCACAATAACAAAGCTACCCATCTGAAGAAAGCTTTAGAAATTTAACAAACAGGACACATCATCAACATCACAGTGTGCAAGTTATTCCACAATAACAAAGCTACCAATGAAATTAATGATACAAAAAAAAACAGAGACCCACATTTTAAACCAACATCACAGTATACAATTCATTCCACAATAACAAAGCAACAGCAACTAATGAATACACATCAGGGTTTGCTGTAGTTAATTAAAATCCTGTAGATAAAACAAAAGCTCTATTGATCACTACACACTGCCTGGTGACAGCTTTACATATAATTTAGTGCTAGCTGAAACCACATCATCTACACAGGATAGCTGAATACTAATTTAGATTTAGTATGGATAATCTTGAAACAGATGTTCTGCTGTTTGGTTAGCAAAAAAAACAAACAAAGAGAAATGTACCAGTATGAAGATTTAAAGCTTAAATTTAAAATATTTAATTAAGAATACTTACCATATGTTTGTCAGATAAGTGGAATTAGTTTTTTTGTAGACTATTTTTAAGGCAACTTCTACACGTAGGCAAGTGTTGTCAGTGAGGGTAGATGATACTGGACACCACTTTATCATCCTTGTGAGTGTCTACAGCTTGAGTAACCAGGCCATGCTGGAGAGCTGAAATATGAGTTGTACTGTAAAACTTAGCATTGTTTCACATTAATTAATTATCTTTAACTTCTATTTAAAAAAAAATATTTCAATACATTACATTATTCCTTAAGTTTTTGGAAAAAAAACAAGCAATTTTTAAATGTATTTTACTATGAGTTTTATTATGAGCATGAGTATACTTTTTCTTCTTCTTTTTCTCTGATAAATTTTATGAGTAAAATGTTACTATATCACTGATGTAAAGCTACCTTTCATCAAACTTAACAAGAAACAAAGAAATGATATTGACTGGCCAGTTTAGCAAAGTTTACCTAACCTTAGTTTCATCCTTAACAAAGTAAATTCACAAGGTAATGAACTCCGGTCCACTTTCAATGTGTAACCAACCCACATAGTACATCCAGAAACTTATTTATTCTACTAGATATTAATCTGACACTTTGATGAGAAATTTATCCTTGCCAGGGGAAAGATAGGTAACATCATGACTTTTAAATATTTGCATGGGAGAGAACTGCTAAGTCAGTGACACTAAAATCTGGTTTTCCCCCAAGATAATACATTTGCTTCCCCTTTGTTTGCCTACTTCCCTTTTTAAACCTAATTTTGAATACAGATAAATGCTTTATTTGTTACTTCTGTTACTTCTTCATTCATATAAAGCAGGGTTCATGTGCTCAAACCCATACAATGACAGTCCCATTTTCATGAAAAGGTTCTAAGCATAGGCATAGAGACCCATTCCTGCACCTGGGGTGAGCTATAAAATGCGTGCCCCCCCCCCCATTTATTTATAGTTATTCACAAGGGTAAGCCCCCACCACCCCATTTTACTTACTACTCAGTATATCTTGAGAGTTTGGATTATAATGTCACAAAATTGAAAACTTAGGAATGAGGAAAGCAAAAGAGTATTTTTTTCTCTTAACTTTGACTGTATATCATTCAGTAATGCTGCTCAGAATGAGCTTTTTAATTGGTTTTTTAAAACCATTTGGTGCCTCTTTAAGGTCAGCACCTGAGTGAAGCCCCTACCCCCTCCCCTAGTTACGCCTCTGGTTCTGTGTGCTGAAAAAAATCACCAGACTTTGAGTTCTAGATTTTAAAAAGTAAATAACATCACCCTGATATTTTTTAAAGTTCAAATTAAATCAACTTTATCAAATTAAAGGAGGGGTGAAGGTCAGGTCTATAATTATATCAGACTAATAAGAGCTAGATTTTAAAAATTTAAGATTATGATAAGATTTGACTGGTATGAAACGCATTGAGTTTGACATCAGGATCACCTAGCCTATAGTTTAGGGGTGGTATCTAGAGGAAGAAAGTGCTTAACTAACATGTAAGTCATGAATTTGTTACTGCCCCTGGCATCCAAACCAGGTCATGTGATATAATGGGGGAAGGTGGGGCTAAAGCTTATGTAAACCCACATGTCTAACCCATGGTCATTTTGTGAATCTCTTTGGTAACTTCTCTCTTACTACATTCACTACATAAAAAGATTCTATGTTTATCTTCTTTTAATTCTTACAATCTTGTAGAAATCTACATGAGAAACCGTTTTTATTTTACCACATAACCATTTCACATTTTACCCACACTCACACTCGGAAAAAAGATCTATCTCAAATAAATCTATATATACATATTAAGGACTAGGCCCTATAACTAAGGGTGTATATATGTTTTAATTTTTTTTATAACTGTACTTTAGTAGATCTATCAGGGTCTAGGTAAAATGCGAGACACAAAATGGCGAAGCTGTAATATTTGAGAGGGCTGTGAAAACAGCATGTCACGTGACATTTTTGTCTCGCATTTTACCCTATCCGATTGGTAGGCTTGGTTGGGATAAATTGCACTGATATCTGCCAAATTTTACTGCACTGTTTCATATCCTCTTTTTTATAATCTTTTTTGGGTGGAGAGGTTTATCTGGATAAAGATCCGCAATGATTTTTTAAACCAATATAATCTCAGTGACCCCTAAGCTTAAACCTGGTAAACCATGTTGGGATTTTTCTCCAATTGAAAAGAAAAAACAGCAGCAAATATAGGAGAAATGACTTTTGTAATTTCTTGAAACATTTTTCTGACCTGGATCTAGATTTCTAAAAAAAAACGTAGGCCTACAACACTGGTGAGTGATCTATACTTAACTATACTAGATTTAAATAGGCCTACTAAATAAATAAAAATAGGCCTACATGTTTAGTTGTAAACTTTCTTTCTAGCACGTCGCAACAAAACTAAATAAATAATTAAAAAAAAAAAAACAGCAACAAAAAGTCTCGCCAAATTCGACAAGTATGTCTTGTATTTTCTTCTCATGTACGCCTTGCCATGATTTCTAATTTTACCAAGACCCAATCTAAATTTCATTATAACAGCATTCAACACATCAAATATTTAGGTCATAGATTATAAATCTAAATTATTACATTACATTTAGTATTATTCAATGATCATGTTTAAATTGATTTAGTGAGAAAATCTACATATTACATTATTTCTTGATTGTCTACATACTACTTTACTTACTAGTACTACTTTACTTACTTTTATATTCTTTACTTAACTTTACTTACTAGTAGATCTAGATCTAGTAGTATAGTGTACAGACTCAGAGAATTTAACTAAAACAAACTCAAACAATTTGAAACAATTGATGTCGATTGATACAAATGTACTAAAAAACCTCAAAACTAGTGCTTAATCGATTAAATAATTATATATGGATGTTTATTAACTACGAGATAAATGGCCGGTTGATGGAGAGATACAACAGGCGCTAGGTTGATAGTGTTGTCTTTTCCTCTAAATTGAAACTAAAAACAAAATCACCACCTCAACTTTAATTTTAACAGGAAACAAAAAATGTCATTGAAAACAGATTTCTAAACATAGTCGATGTCATACCCCTAAACCTTGCACCTAATCTCAAACACGACATAGGTCGCATTTAGGGGGTGGGTGGGTCTCCGCCACGTGCACTCTTCCTTCCCCCCCCCCCCACACCCTAATGCACGTCTACCGTCTCATTCAACGAAATATACTTTTTATCTGTGTCCGCCCCCTTTCAAAAAATTTAGTCCACCCTCAACCCCAAAAATTTCAAGAACCCCCCTCCCCCTCTTGGGAGGAATAACTTTGAAAGAAACACTGGTCACATTTGTAACTCATAAAAACTAATGGTAGAGCCTACTTCTATAATATAGACCTGTTTCCTACTTTCAACCAATAAATTTTACTCACGCAAACAGTGTTCGTTTGAGGCTTTTTTTTACGGGGGTGGGGCACTTGAATTTTTGCAGGGGCGAATAAATTTCGACGGGCCGGGGGAGGACGACTTTGGTAAAAGTATATATTTTCTATATAAATTATATTACGCCTTTTTTTAAGGGGGGGGGGGGGGGGGGAATAGACGTTTTACCATGGGTTTTGCCTCTACCAGAAGAGAAACTCTTCACGCAAAACACTTTTAACATCAGACACATAATTTAGGCCGTAATGACAATATTTTTATTTTCAATTCATTGTTTACTCGAGAATAAGTGACATCATATTACTGTGTGTACTCTTCCGGCTTGAGAGTATTTCTTACTATATGCTCCATGTGACGTCACGTTTCGTTTTTCGAAATACTATGCATGTTATTACTCTGCTTGTGTTTTCTCTATAGTAAAAGCATTCCCAACAGATACATAGACGGACAGCGAAACTATTATTATAGATTAATTATTCAGTGATCATGTTTAAATTTTTTATTAAATTGAAAATTGAATAAATTTTAGATTTAGAGGTCATCTATAAATGTCAATAAATGATGTCACACTCAAAGGGGAGAGAGGGGGGGTCCGTAATTTTGTGACAGTGTGAGTGTGTGATGAGGGGGTAAAAAAAGCAATGTTAGAAAATTAGTTTTAGCCCTTATTTCACATTTTAGAAAACAGTTTTAATAAATTGTAGGGCCTAATAGAAATACTACTAACTACTAGATCTATATCTAGAACCTAGGAATTGATCAAAGTAGGCCTACTCTTTTTTTTAGATCTAGAATCTAGATCTATTTTGGGTAATCTATCGTTTTGGGTACGTAAAATCGCCCGCGGCTATTAATGTACGAAAACGTTACCTCATTGTCAAGGCTTTAATAGAAGTTTATTGTCATATGTTTGTGTCAAATATTATAGATAAATGAATAATAAACCTAAATCAATGGCTAACTATATCGATATAGGCCAGAAATTAACTTTAAACAGCAGTGTCTGAGAGCAAGATTTGCTATATAAACAGCAGCCATTTGTAAAATAGAGTGGCTCCCCCTGAATCTTGCGCTATAAGCTTATAAAAATAAAACTTAAACAAGAAGGCTGCTATAGTAAATGAGCATGGTTGCATCTGTTGGAAACATCACTAGTCTTCATTTATAACGGAAAAGTTTTAAATCAATTGTTTAAAAACAGGTACATAAATGAAACAAGGAAACATTTTTGTATTTTAAAAAACATAAATCCTCCTCAAAATGTGAAATAATTATTAAAATTTAAGGAGTCACCTGTTTTTCACATTACAAGTCGCGGGCGATTTTACGTACCCAAAACGATAGATTACCCTATTGCCCTATTTATTTTGATTCTATGATTGTTGACAGAGCTGAGAGTTCAGACAAGATTTTGGAAAAATCTCTAACTTTTAAGAAATAAAACATTTTCGAGGGGGGGTTGTAGGCTGAGGTGTGACGTCATTTTAGGGGGGGGGTCTGGCTTTTTGTGACGGATGGGAGGGGGAGAGGTAATCTATCGTTTTGGGTACGTAAAATCGCCTGCGGCTATTTATGTACGAAAACGTTACCTCATTGTCAAGGCTTTAATTAACTTTAATAGAAGTATTTTGTCATACTTTTGTGTCAAATATTATAGATAAATGAATAATAAACCTAAATCAATGGCTAAATATATCGATATAGGCCAGAAATTAACTTTAAACAGCAGTGTCTGAGAGCAAGATTTGCTATATAAACAGCAGCCATTTGTAAAATAGAGTGGCTTCCCCCTGAATCTGGCGCTAAAAGCTTATAAAAATAAAACTTAGACAAGATGGCTGCTATAGTAAATGAGCATGTTTGCATCTGTTGGAAACATTGCTAGTCTTCATTTATTACAGAAAAGTTTTAATTCAATTGTTTAAAAACAGGTACATAAATGAATCAAGGAAACATTTTTGAATTTTTTAAAACATAAATCCTCTTCAAAATGTGAAATAATTATTAAAATTTAAGGAGTCACCTGTTTTTCACATTACAAATCGCGGGCGATTTTACGTACCCAAAACGATAGATTACCGGGGGAGGTATCGTCCAAAAAAACGTGACGTCATTTGTTGTCTATTGAATGACCCCTCCCTTAGTGAGAAAATTTAATAAAGATCTAGAGTTTCTAGACTCTAGCTCTAGATCTAGCAATATTATATCAAGAAGTTGAATTTAGATCTAGAATCTACAAAACTATCCAATTATAACATAATTAAATAACTTTACTCAGTATCGTATGTCATGTCACCATTCACTATGAACTACAGAAGTATGAATGTTTACTGTTGCGTCACTTTTTAATCCTAGTTTTTAGTGTAACAATACTATACTAGATCTAGATCTAGATCATTATTAGATAACAGATCTATTTTACCAAGCTAAAAAAAATAAAGTGATAGTTTAATTCAAAAAATATTGTAATGTAATATTAACATATTAGCTGATCGATTCCTAGCGATAAATTATGGCAATTACTAAAATAAATTTTAATTACTGTCGTTTCTTTACACACCGTCGTTTTTACCGTCTCTAACAGCATCTTCGGAAGTTTATATCACGTGATTGGAAACGACAATATTTTCTGTACTTTAAATTAAACAAATATTGTTTGAACTGAGCTTGACAATCTAGATCTAGACCTAGATCTAATTTCAAGATGTATCTTACTTTGTAAACATGGTAGTTTTGACTAGGACTCATTAAATTTTTATTTAATCCAAGTTTAGATTTATAATTAGTAATTAGTCAAACTTTATCTCAAATTACTTCTTCCTACACTTTTTGATTTGACTTACTAAAAAACTTACTTTATTAGTAATATTACTTTATTATATTTTATTTATTTATTACTTTAGTCTCTTTGATTTTTTATTTTGTTGAGTTTGCCGAGACTGCTTGGGACGGATGTCTGTTAACTTTGTAGTTATTTATTTTACTAAAATACTATTACTACGCCTAGGGCCTAGATCTATTTATATATAATATTAATTGCTAATAACATTTTTAGAAATATTTTATATTGTTGTAGGCCTAGGGCCTATGCCTATTTATTTATTTAATATTTAGGCCTATTAGTATTTATTTAAATTAAATAGAATCTAGAAGATTCTAGATCTTGATATTAAAATATTAATAATTATTAATTAATTTTAATAATTAGGGTATACCTAATAATCAATGGGTCTAGGCCTAAAAAAATTTAATATAGGCCTAGATCTATATTTATTATTTTTATTAAAAAATAATACATTGAAAATGAAACAAAACTAATGCTCAACAAATTTTTGTACATAAGATACTAATTAAAGTTTTTATTTTGTTCAGCCTTGTAATCAAATTTTGAATTAAATCTATTATTTTGTTAAAATGGTTAATAATAGAAAATGAAATGAGCAATAAATTGAATTTTTTTAAAATTAGGCCAATTAGGCTAACAATAAATAAATATTTAAAATGTTGTTAATATAAAAATAAGGTTTATTGCGAAATGAGCAGACAGAACATTAACCACTATATTCTAAATCTATGTTGAATGTTTTTCAAAAATTAAATTAGATGGACCATTTCCCAGCTGTCTGCTTCTTCTTCGTTCTTAATTTTTAGTGTTGGAAGGGATCGAACCTTATCTGCCAGAGGGTTTGAACTCGAGACTTTTTTCAGCGCCATTGAGGCCATTAACTTCGATTTCAGCCTGCTTTTCTTTTTGGATTTGCTTCCATAGCCTTTATCCAACCAAGAACAAACTACAAGCTTGCAGTTGTTGGATTTTGGAGTTGTCTCTCGTAGAAGAGTGGCTAATGAGCCTCATCTGCCCGAGGGTTCGAACTCGAGACTTTTTGGTTTAGCAACCATGGGCTTTACCAACTCGACCACACCGATCCCTAGCTGTATCTGTAGTCACTAACCATCAAAGTATACATGTACATATTCACACATATATATATATATGTATTGGCCAAATGCTTATAGAGGTGTTTTTTTTTAATTAATCTGTATTTCTCTTTTTCATTGAAAAAATTCAGATTGTGCAAGCATTTGGTGTAGGATAGTGCATCATTTTTATGTCTTCAAATGTATGATTCATCCGGCTGAAGTAGAGGACAGTAATTAGATTCCAAGAGAGACTCAAGAATGCCAAGACAAAAACGCAGCCGGTCCTATAGTCCTCAAAAAAATAGAGGCGACAAGAGCTATTCAGCACAGCCAGATTCATACAGAAAAGTTTTACAGGAGCCCACCAGGGCAAAAACTTGTTTCTTTTATAGAGATGGAGACACAAGGTTTAAGGCTGTTAAGATATGTGTTCATCCTAAAAGATACATGAGAATAGAATCTCTTATTTCTGGTCAGTTGAATGTCTTTCACATTTATGTGGTTAATTTTATTTTTAAATTATTGTTTGTAATTAATTTTTATATATAAATAATAAGTATGTGTTTTTGCAAAATTAATATTTCATTTTGATATAATTTTGAATACAATTTAATTTTTAGCTGCTTGATGCTTTGTTTTATAGAACTGTCAGCCAAGGTAAAACTTCCATTTGGTGTTCGAAGTATTTTCACCCCACAAGGAAGGGACATGATAACTTCACTTGATATGCTGGAAAACAACCAAAGTTACATATGTTCACCTATGCGTGCACAAGCTCGAGGGTTAGATCCTAACAGTGTTTTTCCTCCACCTAGTTGGCATTTTAACAAACCTTCAAGTGGAACTAAAGAGTTGAACCATTTGCTTCAGGTATCATTATTTATCTTCATGACAATGATCATTGCTTCAAAAATATCAATTTTATTCTTAAATGCCTTTATTAAAAGAATAATAATAGTAACAATCTTTATTGTATTAGGAATATGAATTTGAAAACAAAGCCCGGTATATTGGGAGGAATATCCCCCGAGATCAAAGAATGGCAGAAGCATACAACAGAACCCAACCAAAAAAGCTGACAGTGTTAAAAAATGGTGACCCCACAGTGCGGCATGTGGTTTTGATAAACCGGCGGACAGCGCAAACATTTGAGCAGATTTTATCTGACCTTAGTGGGATGTTTGGGCTAGCTGTAAGAAAGTTGTATACCATGGAAGGCAAAGCTGTAAGTTGGTTTTATTTTATATGGTTGTTTATTTAAAATATTTTAACTATAACTGTTGTTTTGATTTCTAATCAGAAATAAATATGCTCATACCTCATATAAAAAAAATCTGGTTTAAATTATCAGATGACAAATCTAGTTTCATATATCAGTTTACAAATCTGGTTTCAATTCTCAGATAACAAATCTGGTTTCAATGATAAATGGTCCAGATGTGTTGATAGCAGCGGGTATGGAGCCATTTAGGGAAATGGTTGGCTATATGTTGGAGCCAACTGGTCGGGAGTCACGTATACATAGCAGGAGGGACATGCAAAGCCGCGTGGATATGCAGAGCAGGGCAGACTTTCAACCAGAGGCACGGAATGATGCCGTTGTGTCCAGAATGAGAAAAAGAAGAGAAAGATTAGGAAAAACAAGTAGGTCTTTCTGTTGCAAAAAGAGATAGTGTATAGTTTTTTAACTCTTTTAAAATATAATAAAATTTGTTTCAAAATTTTAGACATATTGTTGGTTTGTTCAATGAGAAATGTCTATGACTCTTCAGGAGGACACTGGAAGGTTTGGTGTGCCACCAACATGCTCTCCACCTCCGGAACAACTGCACAGGTGACCATCACTGTGTATGGCCACAAGGGGAACTCTGGACCAATACCATTAGGTTTCCCAGACAACTCCTGTTTCTTACCTGGCCAGGTGGATGAATTTGATGTAAGTTTGTAAAATCTTTAAGTGCTATTACTCTGCATCTAAATTCTACTCTCTTTAAAAACAACATTATATGTATATTAGATTTTATTTATTATTTAATATTAGTTATCTTTCCTCTTGATTGTATCCTAGGCTGTTATTTAATTTAATTTTTTTACAAGAAATCTGTACTTTTACTTTCAGATAAATGTTGGTAAAGATATTGGTGAAGTCTATAAAATAAGGCTTTCCCATGATAACTCTGGCGACAGCCCTGGCTGGTTTTGTGATGAAGTACGTCCTTCTTTAATGCTGTTTTTTTTTTCTTTTAATCATTAGTATAAACAGGTTTTCTTTTTTTTGCCTGTTCTAATATAATAAAAACATAAATCATAATCAAGCTGAAAATATTTTTCAGGTTCGTATGCAAGATGTAGATACTGAGGAAGTTCTTGTCTTTCCTTGTCATAAGTGGCTGTCTCGTGATGAGGGGGATCATGAAATTAGCAGGGAGATTCCCTCCCTTAGGAAAGGGGAGCCACATCTTCCAAGTAATTATAAGTCATTATGAGATTTCAGGCTTAAGTTTGAGCCTCGGACTAACATCTGAAGAATGTCCCTGAGTCCATTTAACTCTGATGGGTACCTGACTTCAGGTTAGGGCAAGTAAATGGGGCTAGGCATAGTGCTGAAAACAGTCATTCTTATGCCATATTCAAGAACTGATGAACTCTACTTCATCTGCCTTATGGATCATCAGGTCCGAAAGAAGAACTTTAGGTCATTATGTTGAGTCTTTGCTAAATGGTTTGGAAATGAATTATTCAACTCTTTTTAACTTTATATTTCAATGCTTCATAATAATTTGTATGCCTATATGATCACATTTTTAGATACAAATTTTACTTGATAAAATCTGAATAATCTGTGTTGTTGATGCTTACTTAAAACTTTGCTACATAGTTTAAACACCTCATCATAAAAAATTTTGATCCAGTCATAAGATATGAGGTGACTGCTGTGACTGGAGACCTGTGGAATGGTGGCACAAGATCCAATGTTTACCTAACAATCTACGGGGATCGTGGGGACTCGGGTGTCCGCCAGCTGTACATGCCCAACAAGGAGCTGGCATTCAACAAGGGACAAACCAATCACTTCACCATTGAAGCTGTTTCTCTGGGCCATCTTAAGAGAGTTATAGTGGGGCATGATGGGACGGCTCCAGGTCTGTGAATGTTTATATATATTTCTAGATTTTACATTAAAGTAAACTTTGTTTAATTAAGTTGAAATATAAATATTTTAGAAGTTTAGTTTTAAAGTATACTTGGAAACTGATTTTATATTTGCTGTTTATTTGAAATGAATTAGGTGATGGTTGGTTTTTAGAGAAATTAAGTATACAAGAACCTGATGCAAAACCTCATGAAGTTTATCACTTCTACTGTGGAAGGTGAGTTAAGTATAGTAATATATTATCATTTACTGTGTTGTATTCCATACATGGTAACTATGTTTATAGAGCTTAGTTACGCCTAAGAAACTAATTACAGACAGCTAGATCTAGTTTGTTACATGTGGTTATGTAATGCATAACTTTTCTTTCATATGTGTTTTGTGTTGAGAATTTTGACAGTTTAAATAAAGACCTTTGTTTTCATTAGATGGTTAGATGCTGGGGAAGATGATGGAAAAATTGTCAGAGAACTCAAAGTACAGGATGATTACATGGAGGATATTTTGGAGAAAAGAAATGTAAGTGCTTTTAATTTTTATTCTTAAATTTCATCTTCATAATATATAGATTTAAATGTTATTAATAAATGATAAGATGTATAATCATATAGTGAATGACCATTTTTTTAAACAACATATAAGTAAATAATGTTGGAGACATTAAATTTATGATGTTTCTCATTGTTAAGTTATAATATCATTGCTTTTCTATAAATCTATTTGTTAGTGGGAATATGAAAAGTGGAAGTTTGAGAGCAAGAACCAGATCATGTTGATGTCCATGATGACAGGAAAAGCATTGCGGATAAAGCCTGATGGCACAGTGGATGGCCTGGGAGAAGATTCATTCGCTGGCTGTAAGATATCAGTTTCTCTGTGACAGATTTTTGTTTTTATTTTTTAAAACCATTAACTGACCATAAAATTTATGTTTCTATGTGAAAGATTTTTTTTAAAACTCTTAACCGGATGAAAGATTTAAGTTAAACTTTTGTAGATATTTTGTTTTTATTGTTGTAAATCCTTTATTTCGATGAGTGCACCGTGTTAACTGTATTTTATTGTCTTATAACAGCAACTCTGATTGTGTCTTCAAAGAAGCCAATGGTTAGGGTTTTTGCCAGTTTGTTAAATCCAAATTTTCATTTGGTTGTAGATCAAGGCAAAATCTCTGGCCAGGTAAAGCTTCTTTAACAATTCTGTTTATTTCATATCTGATGTATAAATTTTTCTTTATATTTAGCTGATATTAATTTAGCTATTTAGATATTTAAATAGTAATCATTAAAAAAAAAAATTAACAATAATTAATTAAATTTCGGTGGAAAAACAAGGCATTGTTTTTTTTTTATTGGAGAAATATTTTCCTGGTTATTTGTCACATAATGTTTCAAAGTGGTCATTACAAGATAATTCTAATCCTCTAATCCTCTGTTTTTAACTCTCTGGTCACTTAAAGGGTAGAGGAGGGCCACAGTGTGAGTTCCGCCTTCATGTCCAATCAGATCGCACAGTTATGATAGAAGCCGCCAAATCTCCGTTGCAGTTTATCACAATACAGGAGAATGGGAAGCTGGGTGATCCTAGGTCAACACTCGACAAAGATCCTGCTAAAAGGTTTCATGTGTATGCTAAGGTACTAAACACTAAATAGACTTTTAGGTAGTATAAGTTCTCATGTATATATTACTCTAAACAGACAATTTAAAGTAGACTTAACCTTTATAATTAACATTACCATGAACTATACTCATATACGCTTATATATATATATATATATATATATAAATATATATATATATATATATATATATATATATATATATATATATATATATATATATATATATATATATATATATATATGTATATGTATATATTACTCTAAACAGACAATTTAAAGTAGACTTAACCTTTATAATTAACATTACCATGAACTATACTCATATACGCTTATATATATATATATATATATATATATAAATATATATATATATATATATATATATATATATATATATATAGATAGATATATAGATATATATATATATATATATATATATATATATATATATATATATATATATATATATATATATATATATATATATATATATATATATATATATATATATATATATATTGTGATGGTACGAATAGATCTTTGTTTGAGGTTCTTCTTGTTGCACCAGTTGTGAGGGTGGGGATTTTTAAGAGGGCGTCACGAATCCAATTAACACACAGTTCAAGTTCCAAATACAAAGTTCTTTATTCAAATGTATATAATCAAGTTTCTACCTAACTAGCCTATTCTATACTCTCTACTGTTTACTTGTACTACTAACTGTTCACTATACTTATAACTACGCAATCCCATGACCAATCCTAACACTAACTGACTGTTCTCTACATAACTACGTCTGCTCCATTCTACAACCTAACACCTTCTCAACTCTTCGCTAGCTACCTATCAACTGCCGGCCTATCTCTCTACTGACCCACGCCTCAGTGGTCAGCTGTCCGTCCCACGTGACCGGTCAGTTCCCTTATTTTTATTGGTCTCTCTCTGACCAACTCGCTATAGCCTGTTTCTGCTATCTACCTGAGCTCTCCGACGCAACCTTGCGTCATCACATATATATATATATATATATATGTTATGATAATTATTAATAATTAGATTTTAGTAATAGGGTTTCTTTCTGGTAAGTTCACTTCTCTCCTAGACAAAATTAAAAAATGTATAGTTAATTTAGAAAAATATATATTTTAACCTTTATGACACCATCCCTGGAAGTTTCAAGTGTCTTCCCAAAGAATAAATTTCTGAAAGAAACCCGAGTCATTGATTATTTTAACTGTTCTTTTCTATCTGTTCTAGGGTATTCTGCGTCACAAAGGGATTATCATGCTCCGCACTTCAAACACTCAAGCCATCAGCGTAGATCACGACAAATCTGTCTATGCCACTGGACGCTGCAACCGTGCTGCACATTTCAGGGTTCACAAAGTTGACCAGGGTCGAATACGCATGTTTGAGAGTATGATTTATCCTGGATTTTACCTCAGGATGAAAGATGGGAAATTCGACTGTAATGTAAGTAGGCAGCATTATTAATAGTTGGTCTTAGAGATGCTAGTCTATTAAAATTATTTTTTTATTGCTTATAAATATTATTTTGTCTCCTTATGCTTTATTTTTGATAGGTAACTACAATCTAGTCAAATTTTATTTATAGTATTATAAAAAGTAGAATAACATTAAACAAAACTTTTACTAAATATATTTTCATGACACTAATTTTATTATTACTTTACTTTTATTGGTACAACTTTATTAGTATTTTAAAGATTTTTTTTTTTGCCACAGCTGATGTTAGAACTTAATTTTTATGCTATAAAATAATTGGAATAACATAAATGTTTGGTCTATTTAATTTAGTTCCTATTGTTCTCAGTAGCTTTAATTAATACTTTCTATCTTTGAATTATACTTTTATATTTATTTAATTGATGATGTTTTTATCATTTTGAATATCTCAAATTTAATGTACATATTCGTTTCATGTGTTAACTTTTCAAAAACATCTCATTTTCAAGATTTGCTACAAGGAAATTAACAATTTAAGTCCTACTTTCAGGATTTATTTCAACTAAAAAATAAGAAAACTACCTTTTGGACCTAACAATCCCTAAGGCAGATTAAATACAGTTAATCTATTTTAACTATACAATATATTTAGTTTTATATATGAAGTTTCTAAAAAGATGTGTAATGCTAGTGGTGGTTTTAGCTGTCTCTCATAGATTGGACAAGAAATTTAATTTCTATTTGTGTAAAGTTAATTTTACCTTTGATCTTTTATTTTTGTTACTAATACTTTATTTCTGTATAACCATTATAATTTATTTATTTGATTTGTTTATTTCAACTGTAGGATCTTGTTGTCAACAAGCAACATGGTTGGTTTCTATCAGTTTTAGTTGTCACATTAACACTTTCCTGCATGAGCACTAACTCATTGGCTTTTTTAATTGATTGATGTTGGTTGTAGCTGAAAAATTGTTTCTTGTTGGTTGTTTTTTTTTTTTTTTTTTTTTGTAATTATTGTGTTATACTTTCATACTTTAAGAACTATTTTCATTTTGAAAGCAAGCCTAAACTATCATTTAGATTTTAAGGAACAGTTACTTTATGTACCTGTTTGATAGCTTTTGAAGTTATTAAGTAATGATTTTAATTGTGTCCTTGTTTTTTATTGCACAATATTTGCTACATAATTACATTTAATTTACAGAATTTTTTAAAAATAAATTTGAAAGCACAGAAAAGAATATTTACTGTGCTTTTAAAAATGTACTTTAAATTTACTTTTTAATTTTGTCATGTTTTTATTTGACATCATTTAATGTTCACGAAGAAATTGTGGGCACTCATAGTGAAATAGAGTTATAGTTAAGCATGACTGCTCCTGGATTAGCCTATCCTTTTAAAACCTAAGCTACCTATATTATTTCTTCATATCCTAAGTTTGAATAGATTAATCAAAATTCCACAATGCATGTCCTAGTTCCTCACAAAAAATCTATATAGAAAAACTCAAAGCACTAATTTCTGCATGAATGACTACATTGATTTCTTTTTCAATGGCATTGATTTTTTTTCCATTGACATAAAAGAGCTCTGGTTCTTTACATATTGTATTTATCACAGGTTTTCTCAGTGCAATTTTTTTTCACCTTTCACTTTTGAGAATAATAACATTTTCGTTCAGCCTTTAAATGTGTTTTAATTGAGTGGGGTTGTATACAACAGAAGGACATGAATGGGTTGATCTGGCTTCAAAGGTTAATTGAAATGTTAACCAGCTGTGGTGAATGGGGCTTCTTCTTACCCTGGGGCAGAGATATCTTGCTTTAATAATCTGCCCTTAATGTTTTTGTTACTTACAACTGATTTTTTAAAAAAGATTTACTGAAATTGGGTGATGTGGTTATTTTTTAAAAGATTGTGCATATATTACATAAAAAACATGTTACATTTTTTACCCACCATGCAATCCCATATAATGTTATATAATGTTTCATAAGCCCACAACCCCTGTTATATGACGTATGTTGAAACCAGCTCACCTTTAAAAGTAACTTGACAATTCTGTAAAAACATAAGAAATTATTGAAATAATATCATTAAAGAGAAAACAGCTCATTACATTATTGTTGATAACAGTCTATAAGCATTTTTATGTTTCAAATAAAACATGTAAGACAGTTGTGTCAACCTATTCATCCAACCATTCTAAACAGCAAAAAAAAATTTAAAATTAAAAATAAAGGTCGTGTTACTTCACATGAATCTATGCCACCACCCCACCTTCTTCATATTTAATGATATATGCACAATCACTTAACAATACCAATCCAAATGGTTAGGCAATGAGTTATTTTTTTTACAAGTAATGTAGGTAATTTAAACATTGATGTGGTATTACTCAACTAAGTTTCAGTATTTAATTGAAATGAAAACTCTAATTTCTTAATTTTTAAAACTAATTTAAATTTATCTTGGTTATGAATATTTAATATATTTTTTTAAAAGGATATAATTTATTTATCTTTATTATAGATTGATAATTAGGGAAGGTTTATTAGAATAAAATTGATACTCTAATGGATACCACTCTTGGGTGTCACAAATTTGCCGATCTTAAAACTTAAAATTTAGTATTCTATATCATAGTTAACCAAATAAAATATCAGCAAACTGTAACCTTTCTATCACTACTTTTAGGGATCTCGTAATGAGGACTCCCACTTTCTGGTCGGGAAACACAAAAACAAAGGATATTTCACACTGCAGTCCAACAGACAGCGTGGTATGTTCATGGGATTCACCCCGCGGGGAGACGTCCGTCCAACTGTTGACAGTGGCAACAATAACATTCAGGTCTTCCCTGAGGTCATAGAATGTAAGTGGATCATGTCTGATCTCTCATTTCAATGTTTAATATTTCTACTATGGTTACACATTTAGACTGAAAGAAGATATATTTATTTTTATTTTAATTATGTGGCAGTTTTATCCTCCACTACCAATAAAAAGAGGTTATTTGTATTTTGTAATCATTTTTCCAAATTTAAAAAATATATTCCCATCAGATAATTTCATTATTTGAATTGTATATTTTTAAGTATTATTGTTTTACTAATATTTGTACACATGCCTGGTACCAAAAGGGAATCATGTTGTTGAAATCCATCTTGTTTTGCTGCTGAAACCTTTCATTCTTTACCTTTTTTAACAGATCATATTTTCATAATGTTTAATATAATAAACTAACCCCGATCCAATAAACACAGCTCATTTTATTTGTTGAATCAAGTAGGTTGGCGAGCCAAAGGTTTGAGAGTTCTTTTATGTACATAGATTTTATTCATTTGCAGTTGGAATACCCAAAGAGCAGCTGACTAATGAAAAACTAACTCCAATGTCTGAGAGGCCTGGGTATGAGGATGTACCTGACTCAAGAAGAAAACCCAAACAAGAGGTCGAAGGTTAGTTCTTTTAAAAATGTTGAGTCAAAAAGTCTCTACTTTTTCACTGCTGTATTTTTTTTTACACTTGATTTTTTCCATATGTAATTGAAAATATTCTCAAAGAAAATAAATTTTGTAATTATGTAGTTGAAAATATTCTCAAAGAAAATAAATTTTGTAATTATGTAGTTGAAAATATTCTCAAAGAAAATAAATTTTGTAATTATGTAATTGAAAATATTCTCAAAGAAAATAAAAATTGTTTTCACAGATGGAGATTTCCGTGTTCTGGTCAGTACAGCAGAGAGCCTGGAGCAAGGGATGATCACAGTGGTTGTGTTTGGTGACAGGGGGTCCACTGGACCAATTATGTTAACCAGCCCTCATGAGAATGGGCCCTTATTTAGAACAGGAAGTACAGACGAGTTTAAGGTTATTAATCACTTTATTTTTTTTTCTAATTTTTTGCCAATAACACCTTTGTTTTTGGATGAATGCTGGTCAGTAGTGTCACGATCAGGGGGAGGAGGTGGGTGTGATTCACACCGAGTTACACCTTTCCCGCCATTGAAGTCAGTTTGAAGGAGAAAATAAAATATAACAACAGAGTACTTGCTTAACTGTGAACCTTTTTCAACTCAATTTTTCTTTACAGATTAATCTGTCAAAGATTGGAAAACTTCGTAAACTAAGACTGGAGCTGTTACCTCGTAGTCAAAACAGGGACCCGTCCTGGAAAGTGCAAAAACTCACCCTCACAGACATGAAGACACAGGTAATTTTTTACATGAAGTTTTTATATCTGTGTCTTGTGACTCTGTTTTGAGTGGCTATAAATAACTGTCCCCATGAACTCTCTAACAGGAAAAGTTTAATTTCAACTTTGATCGGTGGTTGTCTAGAGAGAAAGATGACCAGGACCTTGTCCGTGAGCTTCCTGTTGTCTATGAGGGGCGTGAGCAAGATAGTTTGCCAGGTAAGCTTTATCTGTCATCTTTTACCTGTAAGATAACTAGGTTCAATAATAGATTGGCTACGTATAGTTGAGTATAAATATTTGCATGCTTCTGAGTGACATAATGTGCCAATAAAACTTGTGTAGTTTGTATAATTTTTAGCCTTTGTAAATATGACCTATTTTCTTTTACTTTCCAAACTTTTGAACTAATTATTGAAACTAGTATGCACTCATAAAAAAATTGTAAATGTAGTTTTATAAACTTGTTTTTGTTATTTTCTTATACTGTGTATTATCTCTTTATTCTTTAATGTAGTTGTGAAATACTTTATAACATTGTTCATCTAGTTGTGAAGTACTTTGTCACATTATTTGTTCATCTAGTTGTGAAGTACTTTATCACATTATTTGTTCCTCTAGTTGTGAAGTACTTTATTACATTATTTGTTCATCTAGTTGTGAAGTACTTTATTACATTATTTGTTCATCTATTTGTAAAGTACTTTATCACATTATTTGTTCATATAGTAGTGAAGTACTTTGTTACCTTTTTGTTCATCTAGTTGTGAAGTACTTTGTTACATTATTTGTTCATCTAGTTGTGAAGTACTTTGTTACATTATTTGTTCATCTAGTTGTGAAATACTTTGTTTATTATTTGTTCATCTAGTTGTGAAGTACTTTGTTACCTTTTTGTTCATCTAGTTGTGAAGTACTTTGTTACCTTTTTGTTCATCTAGTTGTGAAGTACTTTGTTACATTATTTGTTCATCTAGTTGTGAAGTACTTTGTTACATTTTTTGTTCATCTAGTTGTGAAGTACTTTTTTACATTATTTGTTCATCTAGTTGTGAAGTACTTTGTTACATTATTTGTTCATCTAGTTGTGAAGTACTTTGTTACCTTTCTGTTCATCTAGTTGTGAAGTACTTTGTTACATTATTTGTTCATCTAGTTGTGAAGTACTTTGTTACCTGTTTGTTCATCTAGTTGTGAAGTACTTTTTTACATTATTCGTTCATCTAGTTGTGAAGTACTTTGTTACATTATTCGTTCATCTAGTTGTGAAGTACTTTGTTACATTATTTGTTCATCTAGTTGTGAAGTACTTTATCACATTATTTGTTCCTCTAGTTGTGAAGTACTTTATTACATTATTTGTTCATCTAGTTGTGAAGTACTTTATTACATTATTTGTTCATCTATTTGTAAAGTACTTTATCACATTATTTGTTCATATAGTAGTGAAGTACTTTGTTACCTTTTTGTTCATCTAGTTGTGAAGTACTTTGTTACCTCTTTGTTCATCTAGTTGTGAAGTACTTTGTTACCTTTTTGTTCATCTAGTTGTGAAGTACTTTGTTACATTATTTGTTCATCTAGTTGTGAAGTACTTTGTTACATTATTTGTTCATCTAGTTGTGAAATACTTTGTTTATTATTTGTTCATCTAGTTGTGAAGTACTTTGTTACCTTTTTGTTCATCTAGTTGTGAAGTACTTTGTTACCTTTTTGTTCATCTAGTTGTGAAGTACTTTGTTACATTATTTGTTCATCTAGTTGTGAAGTACTTTGTTACATTTTTTGTTCATCTAGTTGTGAAGTACTTTTTTACATTATTTGTTCATCTAGTTGTGAAGTACTTTGTTACATTATTTGTTCATCTAGTTGTGAAGTACTTTGTTACCTTTTTGTTCATCTAGTTGTGAAGTACTTTGTTACATTTTTTGTTCATCTAGTTGTGAAGTACTTTTTTACATTATTTGTTCATCTAGTTGTGAAGTACTTTGTTACATTATTTGTTCATCTAGTTGTGAAGTACTTTGTTACCTTTTTGTTCATCTAGTTGTGAAGTACTTTGTTACATTATTTGTTCATCTAGTTGTGAAGTACTTTGTAACCTGTTTGTTCATCTAGTTGTGAAGTACTTTTTTACATTATTCGTTCATCTAGTTGTGAAGTACTTTGTTACATTATTTGTTCATCTAGTTGTGAAGTACTTTGTTACATTATTTGTTCATCTAGTTGTGAGATACTTTGTTTATTATTTGTTCATCTAGTTGTGAAGTACTTTGTTACCTTTTTGTTCATCTAGTTGTGAGATACTTTGTTTATTATTTGTTCATCTAGTTGTGAAGTACTTTGTTACCTGTTTGTTCATCTAGTTGTGAAGTACTTTTTTACATTATTCGTTCATCTAGTTGTGAAGTACTTTGTTACATTATTTGTTCATCTAGTTGTGAAGTACTTTGTTACATTATTTGTTCATCTAGTTGTGAGATACTTTGTTTATTATTTGTTCATCTAGTTGTGAAGTACTTTGTTACCTTTTTGTTCATCTAGTTGTGAAGTACTTTGTTACATTATTTGTTCATCTAGTTGTGAAGTACTTTGTTACCTGTTTGTTCATCTAGTTGTGAAGTACTTTATCACATTATTTGTTCATCTAGTTGTGAATTATTTTGTTACATTTTTTGTTCATCTAGTTGTGAAGTACTTTTTTACATTATTTGTTCATCTAGTTGTGAAGTACTTTATCACATTATTTGTTCATCTAGTCGTGAAGTACTTTATCACATTATTTGTTCATCTAGTTGTGAAGTACTTTATCACATTATTTGTTCATCTAGTTGTGAAGTACTTTATCACATTATTTGTTCATCTAGTTGTGAAGTACTTTGTTACTGTCTACACTGGAAAAGACCCTGGCTCTGACACGTCTGCCCAGATTTTCATCAACCTGATGGGGGATCTGGGAGACTCTGGCAAGAGACAGCTGAGGATGTCAAACAGACCAAAACCTTTTCAGTGTGGGCAGGTGAGAAGGGAGTTGATTATATAGTGCAGTCGTCAATAGTGTCCAGGTGGCATCATAGAGTCCACCCAAGTCTACCTGACTTTGATTCTTGAAATAAAAGAGGATGGACATATTGAGACAACCACAAATAATCTTTTCAATATATCAAAGAAAAATTACCAGGTGAACTCTACTTCATCTGCTCCAAGAAGTTGCCAATTACTTTGCTTTTTAACTAAAACATAATGTTAAGAAAAAATGTCACTTAAATTAAAATTTAATTCAGCTAACAGAAAGTGGATAGAATTGCCATTCATTATGCTATTGTGTTGACAGTATTTGATCATGTTAATTTTCACCCTCAGTCTGACACTTTTGAGATCGAGGCGGTGCACCTGGGCAGTTTAAGCAAGGTGCTAATTGGTCATGATGAGACAAGGCCAGGGGATGGCTGGTTCTGTGACAAAGTTGTGGTCAGAGAGGGGAAAACAGCAAACATGGAGTTTGTCTTCCCATGTTCAAGGTCAGTTGGTCATGATTTTTTGTAAATGAAACATTGAAAAAAGTTACAAAAAAATTATAAATTGGAGGTATATTTTTTTTAGTTCTACTGGAAGTAAATTGTTAAAAATAGTGAAGCCAAACTTTTTGGGTTTTTAAAGTAATGAGAATCTAGAAGCAGTTAAAAAAGAGTTGTGGCTTCAAATTCTACTGTAGTGTTCTGTTTTTTCAATAACTGCCTCTAAATTTTTAATTTGTCACTGTGTTGAAATTTGTATTTATTGCCTTCACACACATTCACTGAAATTTATTTTTAGCACAAAACAATTTAATGCACAAAAAAACAATTCCCTAATCTGTGAATGATGCAAAAAGGACTTTTTTTGTTTGCTGATTAAAATTTGAACTCTCTGCAGGTGGTTTGATTCAGGTATGGAGGACAGGAAGTTGGAACGCACCCTCATGGTTCAGGGTATGTGACCTAGTTTTTATGACTAATTCATTTCTTGAACTTTTTTTTTGCATGATTCCATGTATCTGGTTATCCAGTGACAATCATTTCTGGTTACCTGTTTCTGGTTCTGTTCTGTTATGGTGCTGGGTTCGTTTGTAAAGAAAATCATTTATGTTCAACTTCTTGAACATGTTAGGGGCATGCTGTTGTATATGATATTTACTATGTTATGCATGTATTTATAAGCAATATCATGACATGTAAAACATGTTAATTAATTATTTTTAACATTTTTTTACAAGATAATTTTTTTTATAGCTACTTCAGTTATTTAGTTGTTTTTTTTTATATAATGTTATTTATATATATGTAGGCTTATTTAATTATATATTTATTATTTTCGCACCTTTTACATCTACTGCACCATATGAAAAATTTTTTTAATTATTTAAAACAACTTGGAAATTAATAAGGGCTATTTTATCTACTGGGTTTTTTAATGGTGATGTGAATAATAATAATTTTTCGTAGAAAATGTCATCAACATAAAATAAAGTTCTTAAATATTTTATGGATCATTTTATTTTGTTAATTACATTTTGTAACTTTATAAAACAAATTCCATGTTGAAATCCCATCTGCAATGTTTTTGAAACATAAAATGTACACTTGCTTTCCTAGCTCAGATTGTGAAAATGGAAGTTTTCCTACGGTCAGCAATATTTTATTTACTGATTGTTGTTTGTTCTAGAGCACTATCATGGCGTGGATGGAGAAGAAAACAGTCGGTTGCGTTGATTTTGTCACAGTCAAGTTGCTAAAACTCTTTTGTTTTTACAATGTTTTTCTTTGAAACATAACATCTTTTTTTATTTTCATGATTCAACATATTATAATGGCCAGAGCTTATGTCTTCTTTTTTTTTTTAATTATCAAAAGGAACAGATTGAGAGGAAAATTATCAAAATATCTGACTTAAAATTATCTTTGTATTAGGTGAATTGAAAATGTAACTTTTATTGCTGGACTTTTGTCTGATTTGTATACTGTATGTTAAAGATAATAATTCATAATTTAACCATCAATTTACAGATTGTACTACAATCATTATATAAGAAAATAATTAGACAATCATTGTTTAAACAGGTTATTGGACAATCATTATTTTATAAGGTTAAGAGTGGTGAAATTATACATTTTTATGCAAATTGTAAACAAATTACCAATAGAATAGGGTATCTTTTCAATTAATCATTTTTCATGTTCTCTCCTATAATTGTAATATTGATAATAATCATTCATTTGGTTAAGATTGAACTTACACCAAAGAGCATTAATCCAAGGTATTTATGCAACATTTAAAAATACATCTACCTAATTTATTAATTAAAATTAAACTAGGCTTTGTAATAATAACTTTAAAATATGAATGCTTTATGAACTTGCTTTAACAAAAATATATGCATGGCTAGCACTAGATTGATGCTGCAATTTTCTTACATTCTGTTGCCCAACTCTGTTGATCTGAGAAAAAGTGAAACAACCACAAATATTTGATTCTTATTTATTGAACCTTTTTTTGTTAATTTAGAAAGATTTTGTCTCTACCAGATGCATTTTAAAACACTATATTCTATTTTTTCAAATCAACTTATACATTTTGTGTTAATTAAAAAGGTTTTTATTATTTTAATTAAAAATAAAAATTACAAACATACACTTTAAACTAAATTTGAATTTCAGTCTTTTTTCTGTTTAATATATGATTTAATGTGTTATCAATTTTTAGTTTATATTGAGTCTTTGGAATAAGAAACATAACTAGTCAAAAAGTTTGTATAGAATATACACTTTTGAAAAGTAAGCTTTTCTCAACAGTCTTATGAATTAATAATAATTTTAAATGCATTTTGGTATTTTTAATATTCTATATTTTACTTGTTAAATAAGGTTAATAATTATAAATTATAAAAATAATTAAATAAGGTTATAATTGTAAACATAATTAAGTAGCTACTGTAGGAGATAATTTTTGTTTGTTATTCATTCCAAAACCCCCAGATTTTCTCATTTCTTAAAATTTACTTTAATAATAAGATTTTTTCCACATATTTTGACCATTTAAACCAATTTTAAAAGATGTTTTTCAAAATACTTTGAAGCAAAACCGATGTTTGTTTAAATTGGCAAATTTTAATTTATGGTATAAGTTATTGTTCTAATACAATTTTTCTTATTTAAGCCTTAATTTAATTTTGTGCACTTGTTTTCTGTAAGATAGCAGATAGTCAAATTACTACGCAATTCCTAAACTGTATACACCAAATTGTAAACTGTATGCACAGATTGTCACATAAAATAAAATATATATTTTTAAACTTCGTATTGACTTTGTCAACTGTTTTACTTTGGCAACTATATCTCATGGTTGTAGCTTCATGCTTAGAAAATATCTGATAACAGAAATGGTTTTGTATTTGCGTAGTAATTTGGATATTTGTTGTCAGATTTTGAAAAATGAAATTCTTTCACTAAAAACCAGCATCATTATTTTCTAAGCATGGAGTTATCTTCCCTTACTGTTTGTCTCATTGTGTTTGGTTCAACATTCCAGAAATACAAACCATTTGCTCAATGACAGAAGCATGTTATGATCTCTTTCATTATCCATCTAATTAGCATCCTAATAGTTAACTTAAGAAATTGTTATACACTGTAAGAGTGTAGTAAGTTGCATGAATTATATTTTATATAAAACTTTTGGATAAAGAAAACAACAGTAGGTAAAAAGAAATAATTATTTCAGGTTTTAAAAATTTATGAATTAAAAAAATTCTCACTTGATAATTTGAAGCAAAAAGGAGGGTTTGATAAAAGTTAAACCAGAAATTTAATGTGAATTTAACAATATACAATATAATCAAACTACTTTATTATTTATAAAGTAAAACTAAAAACATATAAAGTAATCTACACTTGCCAAGCTGATACTGCAGCAAGATATGTTTTGTAATGTGAGAATTCTAAAAAAAAATGTAAGAGAAACTATTTTGAAAATGTATTTTGTGTTTCAGATTAAAAGCTAAACAGCTAAAAAAAATTAGCTAAAAAGCTAATTATTTTAATTAAGCATACTATTTGAAATAAACATATTTATTTTTATGTACATTTGTACCTTTGCTGAGCCAATCATCAAGGTTCTCATTAGGGAAGAGTATCTAAATTAATCCAGCAGATTCCATTTGTGGTATGGGCAAGATTTTTTATGGGGATGGGGTTGAAAGAACATAAAATTGGGATTTTATGATTGTTGCTATTTTGAAACTAAAATCATTGAAAACAACATGAGGAAGCCAATATCAATTGCTGAAACTTTCCTTCACTTCACCACCTGAAACCCCCTCCCTCCTGCCTACTCCACTGAGTAAAAATGTTTTAACAACAGATGTCTTCATTTTAAATGAACTCGCACCTACTATCGGATTTTTTTAGATTAAAATGAACTTGCATGCAAACCAAATTTGAATTGAATTTGTAAGTAGGCTACAATATGAAGAAATCTTTGGATGTCTGTAAAGAAATTAAGAAAGATTTCAACAAACATCTACGGATTGTGCCCTTTTGTTTTGACTACATACATACTAGATCTAAGTTGTACCTATTAATGATGCATTCAATTGTAAACGAGAAAAAACATTCCAAATTTTAGCATTTTAATTTATTTGAAAAGCAAGTTAATTTTTTACTTTGAAAATGATTAACAGATTCTACTTCCATTACAGATAACAATCTTAGCAAAAGAAATTATAAAGGTAAACATATTCAATAAATCTCATTTAATGCAAATTGTTTTTTTATAATGATTATGACATCATCAGAAAACTATTATGTTAAATCATTTCCTGGGGTCTTTGCTATTTCAGCTTTTAACACTGTGGGTTCTGTCTTCTATTAATGGATTTATAAAATGAAAAAAAAATGTTGATTAGGTCTTTTAACGTAGTTAACATTTTTCTATAATGGCAATTTTTTTTTATTATTCTTCTTGATATTTTAAAAAAAAAATTTCAAATCTTAAAAACATTCATTATTTATCCACATGTCTAATTACAAAAATACAGACATTAAAATGTTTATATTTTACTACAAATAAAATATAAGTTTCACTAAAATTACCTTTTAATACTGATCAACTTGTAAGTTCAAAAATTTATTGGATGACAAAAACTGTTCAATAGAAGACATCCAAGCCTGGGTGAGCACACATCCAAATAGTGGCCCCATGATGGATACGGCAATGATCTATCTGTATGGCAAAGATGGCTGGGTCTCCTCATCAACCCTAGGTAGTGGCAGAGACGGTTTATTTAAACCTAGTGCTGTGGATGAAATTAAGGTGAAATGGAAAATGGTGTATCGATAACTTAATAGATAAATTAAGCATTCTTCTTTAGTAATCTTTAGGGTCATATTGGTAAAAAAATTCTTTTTTAATTTAAACTCCTTTTTTTAAAAATGTGTTTATTTTTGTATTTGAACTCTACCCTTTTTTTCCTGTTCATTTTTCAGTTGTCAATTGATCAAAAATTAGATTCTATTTATAAAGTTCGCATAGGGCTAGCAGAAGATCTTACAGGTAGTGAATGGCATTTGGAGAAAGTAAGTGAATTTTTTGTGTTTCAATTAAATAAAATGCTGTATTTTTGGAAGTGATTCTTTTAAATGTTCAAGATCTTTAATCTGTTAGCAAAATCATGAAAGGCTACTTGTAGTGTTTAATTTTAAAAAAAACGACAATAGTTTCACACAAAAAAAAAAAAATCCGGTGTGGAATATTACACACACAAAAATTAGGTCAAAATATGTAAGTGTTGAAACCTGAAAGTAACCTTACCAAGTTGGTCCAAGAATATTTGCTTTGTCTTTAGCTCAAGTTGAAGAGTTTGAAATCAGGGCAGGAGTTTGAGTTTGAGGTGGGTCGTTGGATGTCCAGGAAGAAAGAAGATTGTGATGTGTGGAGAGAGTTGCCAGTGGCAAGATTCCATGAACCTCCATTGCCAGGTAAATTGTTTTAGCAAGAGTGTCTTTAAAAAACTGGGCTAGGAAGTGGCCAGATTTTTTAAGTGTGTACATTTTTAGTATACATTATCATCTTTCAATTTCCTTTTTTTTTATTTGTGTAATTATAGATTATGGTTTTCAAAAAGTCAGTACTTTTAAAATGAACTTAAATTCTTTCTTTCTTCTTATTAAATGACACTTATCCCTTAAGCCTATTTTTATCTATTTAATTATTTCTAAAATACAAAAGGTAATTATCTCAATTTGTTTGACCATATTTGACAGTGATTGTCTACACAATTGAAGTTCACACATCTGACCTTTCTGGGGCTGACACTGAAGCTCCAATTTATCTCACATTGAATGGTCAGCGAGGGGACACGGGCAAGAGGAGACTTTACATCACACAGACAGAAGGGAAAATGTTTTCTCAGGGAAAGGTGGGGGCTCTGTTTAATCTAGTTGCAAATTAGGTGTAAAATATCTATTATTTCCATAACAAACAGATTTATTGTTGTTAATTATTTAATATTTTCTTTAAATATTTTATTGTACAAATATTTGGTTTAATTTTAAATATGCGTTAATGTTATTTTTATTTTTTGTAAATAAAATCATTTGTTTATTTTGTTTGAAATGTTGAAATTGTATTATTTTACTTTGAAACAGATAGATTCATTTGTTATTGAAGCTGTGTCCCTTGGGGCTCTAAAGTCAGCTGTGATTGGCCACACTGAGAAAAGGCCAGGATTTGGCTGGCACCTGGAATATTTGGCTGTCAAGGAGTTGAATTCCAATGATGAGCAAGTGGAGACTTACTTCCCTTGTGACAAGTAAGTTCATGCTTTGCTGCAAAATACTGTCCACAGAGGGACAGAGTGGTCGGATGGAAGAGCCTATGGCTGCTTACCATAGAACCTCGAGTTTGAATCCCGGGCTCGAGTCTGTAGGAGTTCTCTGAGTACATGCAGTTCTGGTGGGTACCTGGCTTACAAAGGTGGCTGGTATACTGCTAAACTCACTATCCCCTTGTATACCATGGTCATCTGCCCCGTGTTTTGGGCAAGAACAGGAAAAGATAATGATGACTGTTTGCAGTAAAATCTCACATTTTCTAATGTAAAATTTACATAATTAAAACTTTAGTAGATTCCTTATTTATGCCCTCCTCCCTCTCTTTCCAGCTAAAAAAAAATCTACCATTTGTTATCATCACTTCTTACATCTCCCCATGTGCATGAAACTATTGCATAGTTCCTCATAACTGTGACTGTATCAACCACATATTATTATCATCTCATAATATTTACCAGATGGTTTGACACTGGACAAGGAGATGGACTGACTGAAAGAATTCTTGTACCTGGCCAAAGACCAAAAAGAAGAAAAAATTATAGTGAGTTCATATGTAGGGCTTGAACAAACATTAACTGAAATTATAAATAAGAATAATGTTTCTATTACTAAATAGAGAATCACAGGTGCTAAATAAAGTTTTTTATCAGGTGGGGAGTATCACCTCTGGGTGACCACAGCTAAAGATTCCCCACCGTCCTATGGTGGTAAGGCTGTGATGGTCCTGTATGGGGACAAAGGATGCAGCATTGACATTGACCTGTATGCCCCAAACAGTACAGCCAAACTCTTTGAACCAGGGAATTCTGATGAGTTCCAGGTAAACATTAGCTCATCAGGTGATCTGTTGTCTTAAATAGGTAAACATTAGCCCATGTGGTGGTCTCATGACTTAAATAGGTAATTTTTAGCTTTTACTGTGATATATTGTCTTAGCTAGGCAGATCTAAATATTAACTCATACTAAAAATCACCTATGATCTGTTGCCTAAATGCAGTAGAATTGTGGGGGTTGAGAAAATGTTAGAAAGTGAAATTTCACTATAAATTTTGAGCTTTTAAAAAAAAAATTAAAAACAGCGGTCAATTCAATAAATTCATGTAAAACAAATTTTAAAAAATAAAAGTGGCTTTTGTAATATATGTTGTTGTTTTACTAATTTAATTCTAAGTTAATTAAATTGTGTGTGTCTAAGCCTTTTAAAGTATGTATAATTGTGTTTGTAATTTGATAGGTGTCAACTGGTGATATTGGGGAAATCTATAAAATCAGAATAACAAGAGAAGATAAGTCAGAATGGAAAGCTTGGCATCTTTTGGAAGTAAGTTTTTTTATTATTTACTTACTACATTATGATATGGTGCTGAAAATAAAATACATAAGCCTTAACTACAAATGTTTTACAGGTTAAATTGCAGGACAAAATATCTAAGGAGATTTTCATATTCAACTTTGATCAGTGGTTTTCTAAAGATTTGGATAATGGAGATTTGACAAAAGAACTTCCTGTTATTACTGATGAAGTTGAGCCCCTTGCAGGCAATTAAAGTTTTTATTTTTTAATATGTAAAACTTCTATAATTTATGCCTAGTACAATAATATTCTAAATTTTAAACTTAAAATATGTATAGAGGCACCTCTAATTGAATTTCTTTGTAATGTATGGAATGTTGTGTTGTCATCAGTCAAGACTTACAGTATAGCTGTAACAACAGGCGATCACTGGGCAGCTGAAACAGACTCTAATGTATTTATCACCCTTTATGGTTCTAATGGAGATTCTGGCAAGCGGCTGCTCTATAAAACAAAGTCTGGGAATAAAAAATTCCAAAGAGGCATGGTGGGTAATATTATTGCGTTTGCATAGACTATATAGTTTTATGCATTCATTTTTATGTGCTTGTTTCTTAAATATTTAGATCCAGCATAAATGAACAATGTTTTAAAGTACGTTATTACATTTTATGTAATTGTTTCTTGAATTAAAATATGCTATCAAAGTTTATCTAGCTTATTGGAAACTTAATTTAAATAATGCAGAAATTACAGTACATGCCAAACCATCTTATGAAAATAATATTATAAATATATATAATAAATAATATGTATAGAAAGAATATTATATTATATATATATATATATATATATATATATATAATATAATATATATAATATATATAGAAAGAATTTTCTAGAAGAATCCTTATACATTCTAAATAAAATCAGTTCATAAGTTCATACAAAAGGCTTGTATCTAATTTTGGGATTTCTATTATATTTTTAAAAAACTCTCAAGACTGACCTGTTCAGCATCGAGGCTGTGGATCTAAAAACCTTGCACACTCTCCTGGTGACCCATGATGGTGTTGGCCCAGGGGCTGGCTGGTTCCTGAAGCATGTCATAGTCACAGACACCAGCTCACAGAGGCTGGAGAAATATGTTTTCCCATGCGGGAGATGGCTGGACCACGGGGAAGATGACGGAAAAACTGAAAGAAAACTGAGAACCATGGGTAGGGTAGTTTACAAATACTTCAACAGGCTTAGATTTTGTTTTAACATCTGAACGCTGTCATTTTATGCTGCACTACTTAAATTGCTATACACTTAATTTTGACCAGGTTTTTTGGCTCATCTTTGCTTCCTATATGAGGTATAAGATATTTTATAACTTTTTTTTGCTGGTAATGCTGTTTGGGTTAAGGTAGGTTAAGGGCCACAGTAGTCATATCATTGAAAAAAGTCCATTACGGCTAGGTTGTACAAAAAAGCATCAAGCTAATATGATGTAATTGTTTATTAAAAAAAAATTGTATCAATCTTTTTATAGGTCTGTTGAACTTGTCAGATTCTCGTGCTGTACCTGCTGAATGTGGTAAGAAATCACGCTTCATATTAAAAGTTGATTTTTTAATGAACAAACTTTACAACTTTTAACCAAACCAATTTTACACAACAGAGATGTTAAAAGTGTTTAACTAACATTAGCTAAATTTTATTTTGATGACATTAAAAAATGTTTTTCTAAAATATTACTTTAATAACTTAATACAGTGTTTACACTTGTTGCGACTTGTATTCTATACATGTCTAGAAAACAAACTCGCAGTTAGCAAGTTTCATGTGAACATTTTTTTCATATAACATTAACTTGTTGTGAGTAGTTTTTTTTCTAGACATGTATAATATACATTTAGCAAGTGTAAACGCGGTGGAAGCCATATTTATTTTGATAACATTGAAAACTGTGTTTCTAAAATAAAAGTAAAGTAAAGTTTCCCTTTCAAACCTGACGGTCTATGGGGCAAGTGAAGTAGAGTTCACTTGTTTCTGTGACCTCGGCATATGAAGAGATAGTGTGGTCAGCATTATGCCCAGCCGTCTTTACTTTCCCTAACTTGAGTTAGGTACCCATCAGAGTTGGGTGGACTCAGGGACGGTCTACTACTTGAACCCGGATTCGAACTTGAGACTTACGGGATAGCAGTCCAGCTCTCTACCGCTAGACCACTCCGTCCCACTGTGTTTCTAAAATGTTATAGTTATATTTATAAAATTTACAAAACTATTTTGATGATATTGAAAAACGTTTTTATTTTATTTTATAAAACCAGGAGGAAGGTGGAGAGTCAAAGTGAGGACATCAGATATGCCTGGTGCTGAGTGCAAATCCCAAGTTTACCTCACTCTGTTGGGGACCAAGGACATGTCTAAGCCAACTCCATTAGGCACTGGGACTTTGAATTCAGCCATGTTTGATCAAGGGAAGGAAACTGAGTTTGATTTTACTGTTGGAAAAATTGGAGAGCTGACAAAAATTAGGCTAGAGTTAGATAGTAAATACAACAATCCTTCTTGGCATGTGGACTGGGTATGCAGTTTGTTTTTTTGGTGTATGAAGTTAAAACAGTTTTAATTTGAGCTTTATGTACTGCATACTTTTATTACAAACTGGCATAAATTTTATCTGTCAAAGTTTTACAAAACTACTAATTTTTAAATTGTTTAATTATATAAGAGCAATTAGTAATTTAATATATTTATTGACATTGAGAAAAAAAAATATCATGATATTAAAAAATGCATTATACTTTAGAAGTTGAGAGCTGCTAGCATAGTTACAATTGTTATACAAACACTTTAAAATAAGCAGTAGATGAAGTAGTATTTTATCTTTTTCAAGGTGTTGATGAAGCATGTTGAAACAGGATACGACTGCCTATTCACATTTGACCGATGGCTAGCTGAAGACAAAGAAGATGGGCAGAAGTTTAGGGAATGTGCTTTAGAGCCACCAGGTTGGATGCCCTCTCCATGTAAGGAAATGATTACAACTCCAGAGTTATGTTCTCCTAGTTCTTGTTTCTATGCCAGGTTTTTTTCAAATGAGTCTGCATTTTCACCCCACCAATACCTAAGTATCTTTAAATCTAATCAATATGACATTAATTAAGGCATGTAATTAATTTTTGCAATCTAAGATGTGTCTAGTCCTTTATAAAACAGTTGCAATTCTATTATCTTAGTCAAAGATTTTTGCATTGATCAAGATTAATATTATTTTTTTTAAATATATGCAAATAAGATTCAAATGGTATGTTTACTATTCTATAGTTATATGTTACTGAAGCACTATGTAAAACAAAGAATTCTTAATTTCATGTTTTTAGTGTTACGCTATATTGTGATGATCCAAACTGGCAAAAAATCAAACTCTGGAGCACATGGTGGTGTATGCTCCATCAATTTGATTGGTTCTCAAGGGGACACAGGACAGCAGGTGTTGTCCCGCTCCCTGATAACATCAACAGACACCATGAAGGACGGCATTCTAGACGTGTACATGCTGGAGGCTGTTTGTGTGGGTCAGATCAGAAATGTTAGGCTGGCATTTGATGGGAAAGATACTGGTAAAATGTTTTCGGCAAAATTAATTGAGAAAACAAATTGCAGAACATTAAGAATTTTAAATATTTTTTTTTAAAGAAAACACAATTGAAAATTTTCATGACCAAGTCTAATCTTTTAAAATAGTTACAATTTTTCTAAGTATTTTGCCTTTTTTTTTATCTTGGAATTAATTTGCATCTTACAGTAAAGCGCTGGTTTGTTGAATGTGTGCGAGTGATGGAGAGTTTATCTGCCCTTACTGAAAGTGTTTTTATAGCCAACTGTTGGCTGGATGATGAGAAAAATAAAGCTGTTGTCATCCCATGTACAGGTATGTTCATGGTAAATTTCTAATACTCATTATATTTCATTATTTAAGTCTAGTTTTTGTACTTCACCTGACTACAATGAAGAGGAAAAATTTTCATAAAATATTCAAAATCAAGTATCCCTCTTTAAATTACTTTTTTGTCAACCATGCAGACTACTCAATGTATCTATTATAATATTTAAAAACTTTTGTTTCATTTTATATATCATTTTATGAATTTTGTTATTGTAGACTCTGGTGTGTCATCATCCTTACCCACTGGTACAGATCTTGCAATATTGGGACGTGCAATACCTGAGAGCCGAGGTAACAATTTTAACGTTACTTCACTTGCAAAAACATGAAAAATATTATCAAACAAGATGTTTTTAGAAATAATTTTAAAACTTATATGGCAAATAAAATCTCTAAAAAGATAATTGAGCTTAATCAATTAAATATTAATTTTGCCTTAAAGGAAAATGGGATATGTGGCTCTGGACTGGGAGTCAAAAAGATGCAGGAACTCAAGATGTGATAACTCTGGTTTTATTTGGAACAACAGGACCATCATCCCCCATCTTTATCAATAAGAACAGAGAGTTTTATGCTGGTTCTATTGTACATTTGAAAGTAAATAACTATATAACTACTTCAAGCTTTGAGAAACAATTATTTATTTTATGTCACTGTTTAATTTTTATATTTTAATTTTGTTGTACAAAATATATCTTTAAATTATAACTAAACAACTATAGAAAACACATGGAGCAGTTTATGAGTTATATATTTACTCTGTTTAACAGGTTGAAGCCATTAATATTGGTGAACTTTTTAAAATAAGATTTGCATTTGCAAAGAAGGAGCAAAATTCTTCTTGGTATTTAGAAAGGGTGAGTGAAGAGCAAATAGAAAAGATTACTTATTGATATTGTCTACTAGAACTACACTGTTAAAATTCAATTCTTTGTTTATTTACATTTAGTTTTTAATTTAAACATAAGAAGAAAAAAACTTTCTACAAGTTTTATTTTTTAAATTTGCTTTTGGTTTTTATTTAATTCAACAATGATTTTATAATTTGTCATTTATCTCTTTAGTGTATTTGAAATCATTCTGTTTCATTTTATTTCCACACATAAAATTTCATTATAATTTTCTTTTGTTTTGCCATTAAAAACACAAAGATTAAACTCAAAGACAATGACACCAAGCAAGAATTTAACTTTGAATTTAACAATTGGATTCGACCAACAAAAGACAATGAGAGTGGAATGGTAGAGCTTGCAGCAGTCAGACCAGATTTAGTTCCCTTATCACGTCAGTTCATATCACATCTAAAACATTGTTCTTGGTTTTTTACTTTTTTTTCTTTTTTTAAGTTTATTTTGCATTATCATGTTTTTGTTAGAAAATTTTTAATATAATTAATTTAAATATTTTCAATACTAATGCATGGGAAGTAATAGATTCCATAAATGATTTCATAATGGTAGTTAGAGTAGATTTATGAGAAGTCTGTAACACAGAGGTGGTGGTTTTTAAATGATAAAAGTTTAATGAAATTTCAAATTGTAAGTTAGATAACCTCACTGTCAGTTAAAACATAGATTATACCAGAAACATGCATTGGTACTTGCATTGGTAAAAACATGGATTGAACTCGGAAACACAAGTGTTCACATGCTCACATAAAGCATGTGATGTCTCAGGTGTCTTTCTAAATAAAAACAACTGCATTAATATAATGTTGGTGGGGGCTGGGGGTGCAATTTTAGTTCCTTTGTGGCTTGATAAAATAAACACATTTAATAAATTTCTTTCCCATAAAAATAAAAATATTTTATACATGCATTTCTGATTTATATTTTTAAATGATTCTTTAAAATTGCTGATATTTGTTTTCATATTTAGCAAACAGCTACAAGATCAGTGTAACTACTGCAGATATTCCTTGTGCAGAGACAACAGCAGAAGTTTCCTTAATTTTAGTTGGTCAGTGGGGAGATTCAGGTCTGCAGTTCCTCAATAATTCAAAAACCAATAGGATCCCTTTCAGAAGAGGACAGGTGAGTTATTTCTTTTATTGTTTCATTATTTTTTTTATTTCCTTTAGAAAATTGTACTCACACTTTTTTAAAAAACTTGTTTGCCAAATATTTTAAACAGACTGATGAGTTTGAAATGAAGGTGTTGGATCTGGGAAAGATTTCTAAAATTATGATTGGCCACAGTGAATATGGGCGTGGTCATGGCTGGTTTTGCCAGCAAGTTACAGTAACGTCCATTGGAGTCAATGATGACACATCGGAGACTGTTTTTGCCTGCAACAGGTTTGTTGGTCAAACTGTTCAGTTTTTTTTGGTCAATGTTAAAAGTTTTTTTAAAATAGAGTTTAAGTCATTATTTTTAGTCATTATCATTCAATTAAGCAATAAATGCTAAAAGCTGAGATCGTTAGGCAAATGATAAATTAAATGAAAATTAAGGGATTCTGAGGCAGTGTGCATTTTTATTTATCTTTTATTTGTATTTTATCTATTTTTCTGTGTAGTTAAGCATGTAGATATAATGTAACAAACATTTAAATAATAAAGAATGCTGTATGAATGTTATGTGAACACTATAGGGAAGCTATCTAATAAATGAACTTTCTTTATAATATTAACCTAATTCCAGAGGCGTAGCGAGGGGAGGGCGGCCGCCCCGGGCGCCGACCCTAAGGGGGCGCCAAAAGGGGTAGAACAAAAATTTACAAGCTCATTTTAAGCTGCAGTTTTGAATTATAAACAGTCAAAGTAAAGAAATTTAACGGCCCAGAGCCTTTGCATGCTGATTTAACTGTTTTCTACCTTGATTGAGTAACTGTAAAAGGTATATCCTTAAGAAACAGTGACCGGAAACACTGCTTTCCAGCTTTCCTAGATGGAGGGGGGGGGGGGGCGCTTTTTCGAAGACTAAAATCGGAAAAATTAAGGAATAAATAATCCATATCACTCAGAAAAGAACCCATGGAACTAAAGCGTATTTTACGATTGTGTAACATAAAAACAAGAGTTAGTGACATTTAAAATCCGCTCTACCATTTTTGTCCAAGATGGTGGGGAAGGGGGGGGGGGGGCGCTTTTTCACCAACAAAAATCGCAGGATTTGTACTGGATCGGTTACTAGATAACTCTTTTACCACTTAGAAAACAAATGTTTTTTCCTCTAGCTTGATTTATTATACAATCAACGAGTCAATGAAATACCCATATCGTATTCCAATGTGAACAATAATTTGCTATTGTATGTCAATTGTATGACCTTAATCCTTAACGACCTACTGATAGTGTTTTAAAGCAGATATTTTCAGTGGCAGCATTGGTACTGTCGATTTCACAAATTATGAATTACTAATAGGTAGAAAATAAAACAACTAAATAGCAACGTATGATATGCCGCCGGTCGGCTCGTATACTATATCATAAAAGAGACTGTTCCAAAGATAAAACATAAAAAGACTGTCCTAAACGAATTAGCACGCTACAATATTTTTTTTTCTGATATAACTAATCATCATCTTTAAAGGATAATGCATCTTAAGGGGAATTTAATTGACGTTGAGTTAAGTTTTAGGGAACGACAATCATACAGCGTAACTATTAATTTTTTTCAAGACTGTCGCACACACATACACACACACACACACACACATATATATATATATATATATATATATATATATATATATGTATGTATGTATATATATATATATATGGCGGGGCGACAAACTGAATGTTCGCCCCGGGCGCCGGGAGGGGTCACTACGCCTCTGCCTAATTCCCCCCCAAAAAAAAATTGAATTGAAGAATATCTTTTAAAAAAGCATTTGTTTGCTTATAATATAGCTCACAAATGTGCAGGTGACACTGAATTAAACGTTACACTAGTTTCAGTTAACAAAAGCCTACAGGTTAAAAGAAAATTATTTTCATAATCAATCTTTATTAAAATAAGTTTAATTTAGTGAGTTTGTAAAATTGTCATATGAAAATTAAATATCTGATAAAGAAATTTTACATTTTTATCAGATTACAGCTAACTTGTTAAACTTTTTATAACTGCAATATTTAAAAAGTAACTGTTTTCATGACAGATGGCTTGACACAGGAGTTGAGGATAGAAAAACTTCTTGTGAGTTCTTGGCTGTTGGTAGTGTTTCAATGAAGGATGTTATTAGCGCATCTGCTAGATTTGCATCCAGTAAGTCATCTTGAATTAACTGCTATTTCATATCCAATTATTTATTTTAAAAAATCACAGCTAATTGACCATAAACCCTGTAAGTTATAGCCAAAACTATAAACTTTTGCCAGTGTTAACGTCAAGTTGGATTCTTCCAAGACCAAACAATTTAGTTTTAAATTATTTTTTAAATTGATTCTCTACATCAATTCATACATGTGTATATAATAACTAAATTAGATTTTTCTTTTGAGGGTTAAATGTGTAAATAAATCAACTTTCAGATGGTGTGTGGACATGCCTTTTAAAGATGACAGGAATGGACAAGCTGGATGTAAGCAGGATATCACATGGTACCCAACACCAGGTGTCACTAGTGGTCTATGGCACTAAAGGTGTCACACCCCAGCTGGACCTTGGCGAAGGCAAGCTCAGATTTGGTCCAGGACAAACTTATACCTTAAAGGTACTTGGAAGCTTTAATCATGTAGGCCCAGGTGAAACATATACCTTACAGGTACTTAGAAACATTTCTGTACGATGTACACCCAGGACAAACATATACATTAAAGGTGTTTAGGACATTTTCGAATTTCTCTAATCATCCAACATATACCTTAAGGGTGCTTAGAAACTTTTCTGTAGGTCCAGGACAAACATATACCTTGAAGGTACTTTAGGACATTTTCTCTAATCATGTATACCTAGGTGATACATATACCTTACAGGTGCTTAGAAACTTGTCTCTAAACATGTAAGCCCAGTACAAACATACACTTTAAAGATGCGTAGGACATATTCTATAATCATGTAGGCTCAGGACAAATGTATACCTTAAACGTGCTTGGAAGCTTGTCTATCACAATGTACGCCTTGGCATTTTAATGCAGAGCAATCATACAAAAAATGTAGTTACAATTGTGTTTTATTTGTTATGTATGTATTGAAGGTTTTTTATTATTGTTTTATATCTTTAATATCTGAAAACCTGTATCTAGAGAAAATGGAAAGGAATTTCATGTTGTGTATTGTTATTTGTAATTTGTACTTTATTTACACAAAAGTTAACTTTACTGACCTATTACTTTCATATGTGCCCAGAAATGTGTTGCTTGATTGTTTCATTAAATACTTAAGCATAGCTTAATACAAAAAGAAACTAAAATATATTTAATGTACTGGTTTTCTAGGGTCTAATATTTGGAGATATTGGTGATCTAGTCAAGATTAGGGTCAGCTCTGGCAGTGAAGATGATAGTCGCACTGTCTGGATTATAGAAGAGGTAAAAAATATCAACAGCTGCAGCGTTACATTTTCCCTTTATTAAATGAAGATGCAATTGAAAAATTAAAATATGAAAGAAAAACATTAGGCAACACAAGAGTGTGGATCATAAAGATAAATTGTTATTTATAATATTAAAGTTATAAGCAGATGAAATGTTTTTATAATTTTTTAAAAAATGTGTGGTTAGCAATAAGTTTAGTATAATATAATTTGATTTAAAAGTCAAAACAACATATATTCTAAAAAACGAGTATGTTCAACTTATTTTATTATTTAAACCAGATTTTGCTTGAAGATGAAAAGAGTAAGGAGAAATTGCGTTTTGACTTTAGCAGCTATGTTGGTGAGATTGGTGGAGACACCAGAAAGGAGAGGCCAGTCATCAGACCAGGATTGAGAATTTCTCCCAGTTAGTTCCCCTTTCACATCTTAAACATTAATTTGTTGGTTGATAGATATGAGTTTACTAATCAGACATAACATTTTTTGTAAATTATGCAACACTTTTATTATATATGGTGATATGGATTTTGTTTTTTGGTTGATGGAGGCTACATAAAATGATATATATTGATTTTTCACTTTTTTTTTCCCCCAGTTATAAAATATGTTGTGACAGTAATTACTGAAGATGTTCAAGGTGCTGGCACTTCCTCTAAAGTCTACATGAACCTGTATGGCACTAAGGGGGACAGTGGCAGACGTCTGCTCCATACAACAGAGGGTGTAACTCCATACAGACAAGGACAAGTAAATTGTGTTTTATTTTTCTCTTTTCTTGGATATGAATTTTATTTATCTTAGCTTTCAATTTCTGTGAAAATAATAATTTAATACATTACTGTGAATAATGATCTTGCAGCTATTTGAATGTGCTTTACATTTCTTTTATGATAACATCCAACTGTTATTTAAATATTTCTGTTTATTAAAAATAAATGTCGGAAACAACAACACAAAAATGTTTCAGAGAAAAGTGTTTGAAGTTGAAGCTGTTGATGTGGGTTTATGATCACATTCAACTGTTTCTGTTTATTTAATATAAGTGTCTGAAGCAACAAAAATTTTCAGAGAAAAGTGTTTGAAGTTGAAGCTGTTGATGTGGGTTTATGATCACATTCAACTGTTTCTGTTTATTTAATATAAGTGTCTGAAGCAACAAAAATTTTCAGAGAAAAGTGTTTGAAGTTGAAGCTGTTGATGTGGGTTTATGTTTATTTAATAAGTGTCTGAAGCAACAAAAATTTTCAGAGAAAAGTGTTTGAAGTTGAAGCTGTTGATGTGGGTTTATGTTTATTTAATAAGTGTCTGAAGCAACAAAATGTTTCAGAGAAAAGTGTTTGAAGTTGAAGCTGTTGATGTGGGTGAGGTCAAGAAGGTGGTCATCACAAAAGGACCTGGAGATCCGTGGAAGTTAAATCAAGTCCTAGTCAAGGCTGGCGTATTCGGGCCTGTAGATTTTGTATTTATCTTCAAAAAGTATGTTCTTTTATTATTTCTAAAATCAATATTTGTTTCGTATTGAGGAAACTTATGTTGTTTTAAAATTGAATAAGGGTTGCCTTTCTCCAAAGATTTAGCATTTCTAAAGCTGTTAATAAACAGTGTCTCCAACATAAATAAGTGTTATATTCATTAACATATAAAGTTAATTTTTAATACAATTAGTTTTCACTTGTATTCTCCTTTTATTCTAAATTTTTAAAATTTGAATATGCATCTCATATGCTGATAAATATGATGTTTAAAATTAATCTAAAAAATTTATTTTAGTTTTTAAGAATGGTCAGACTGTCTCTTTTTTTTTTTGCTTTTATATGTTCTTGAAAATGTAAAACTGAAATGTCCTCTATTTTATCAGTTGGATTGGTGTGGCGGACAGGAGGGATGAGCAGCTGGACTTTACCATTCCATTGACTTCTGTTAGACCAAGCAATGTGGTCATCCCAACCTCTGAGTTGCCAGATATACCTGTAACAAGTAAAAATATTTGTTTTAAATCTTCAAAATATGGGGATATTTAAAATAGTTTAATTTAGAGTTTTTAATGATAAAATGTTTTTTGAATTAGTATCTAAACCTACATCTAAAATGGTTTTTATATAAAGTAAACTTTAAATAATAGTTATGGTTAAAAATGTTGTCAAGATTTTCTGGCATACAGTCTTTTTTATTGTTTACAAGGAGGTCAGTGGACTGTTGAGACTTTAACTGGACCAAATGGCACCAGTGGAGATGTTAAAGACTTGATTGTTGTGTTCTGTGGCACCAAGGGAGAAAGCAATCCTATTCCTTTCAAGACAAAAAATGGCAATTCTTTTTTGCCTGGGAAGACAGATAAGATAAAAGTAAGTTAATCTAAAAACAAAAGTTATACTGTATTTCTGAAAATATGAAATATAACTTTATTTTCAACTGCATTACACTAAGCATCTACTTTTATATATATATATATATATATATATATATATATATATATATATATATATATATATATATATATATATATATATATATATATATATATATATATATAATCTGCATTATACTAAACATCTAGTTATTAATTGTTTATCAGCTTACAATTTGTTTCCATAAAAACATTGAGAATAAGAGAAACATTCAACGCATACTTTATTTGTAATAATATTTGTTAAGAGTGATCTTATAGTATTTAATTACATGTGTGCATTACACTGATTGGTATTCATATTGTATTGATTGTTATTATTGCCCTAATCAAACTATATGACTCCAGCTGAGTTTGGCTGATGATGTAGGGGAGATAATCAAAATAAGATTAGGATATCAAAACAACAACAAGTCCAAGTCTTGGCATTTACAACAGGTGAGAGGCAGCTGGACAGAAATTGTTTCTAATTTTAGATTTTAAATAGGATGTAGAATTTAGTGGACTTACTTTTTCTTTATTGGATTAAGTTTAAATTATTCATAACGTAAACAATGTATGCATTTTAATCACCAATATATTTTTCTTTAAGTGATAATTTTTAAAAATGTACTGCCTCACTGTTAAGCGAATTTTTGTTGTGATAACTATTTCCAATGCCCTAGATCAAATTTGATGATGCTGACACAAGGGATACCTTCTGGTTTGCCTTCAATGACCAAATAGCTGTGAATGATGTTTCTGATGGTTGGAGGGAATTTCCTGCTATATGGCCAGGAGTTTTCATTTTACCAAGTAATTTTTTAATTTCCTTTATATTATTTCAGCCAAATAATAGTGAATGTCTTGTGTGACACCAGAGTTATGTTTATAGTAGTAGATGTTTTCTATCCATGGTAAAGTAATTACAAAAAATATAAATTAGAACTACTTCAAGTGGAATCACATTAGGCTATAGCACACAAATCATGCATTTATACATACATGATTTGCTCTTACACCTTGAATTGATCACCTATTTGTTATGTTATGGTATTCCAACCATCTAGTTATGAAGTACACATATTTGTAATGTTATGATGTTCCAACCATCTAGTTGTGTGAAATACACAAATTAGTAATAGTCTAGCTGTAAATTCACACATTTGTAATGTTATGATGTTCATCTAGTTGTGAAGTACACAAATTAGTCATCTAGTTATGAAATACACACATTTGTAATGTTTCAACCAACTAGTCATAAAATACAAAAATTTATAGTGTGATGATTTTCCCACCATCTAGTTGTGAAGTTCACAAATTTGTAATGTTATGATGTTCCTATGATGACAGTTGTGAAGTACACCAATTTGTAATGTTATGATGTTCCATTAATGACAGTTGTGAAGTTCACAAATTTGTAATGTTATGATGTTCATATGATGACAGTTGTGAAGTACACAATAACAGTAACAACTGGGGACCAAGATGAGGCTGGCACCGACTCTCAGATACTGATAAAACTTGACGGCCTGACAGGTAGCACTGGCTACAGGGTACTCAAATCTGGGGACAAACAACCCAAGTTTCAACAGGGACAGGTAACACAATTCTGTCCATAAAATGTTTCTTAATCTGTTGTTTTGTTTTATATTCAGCAGTGCTTTTTCTAAAATGACACTGTTTAAAATTCTATTTTATAGTTTATACATGTGATTTGTATGTATGCAATAACTAAAGTTATACACCTTGCAAAAATATATGTGTCTTCCATTGATTGAGAAACATATTTTGTCTCACACAAAGAGTGATAAATTGAACATTTGAATAAATTCCTATTCCAGACAGATAAATTTGTTCTTGAAGCTGTAAGCCTGATGAATCTGAAGAGTGTTACAATTGGTCACCTCAACAATAATCCTGGTAAAAAATAAATAACTAGCTAGTGAAATATCTTTAAGGATTGCATTTCAATAATTCATATTTTAACAAAATTCATGTAAAACATTTTAAACTCATATTGTATACAAATGTTTTTGTTTAATTTTATTTTTACTTATCAAGGAATAATATTTTTTATAGGTGCTGGGTGGTTTTTGGCCAAACTTCTAGTGAAACCTGGCAATGATGACAGGGATTATTTGTTTGTATGCAACAGGTCTGTTTGAAATCATTACACCTTCTCATACATGTCAGGAATAGACACTAAAAATGTAATATTTAAAAAAAAAAATTTCCTTTTTAACCCTGGTCTCTACTGCAACAGATGGTTTGATGCTGGCCAGGATGATGGAGCCACATTGCGAACTTTGAACCTGAATGAAGATGGCAGCACAAGTGTTGTTAATGTCCACAAGTCTGCTAGACCTCCTGCAGCCCCTCCCCAGGAAGAACTGATCATGACAGCAACTGTTGCTAAACCAATGGGTGACAAGGGAAAACCTCCCAGTCCTGAAGTCAAAAAAGGTAAAATAAAATGTTTATTTCCTAACAATATTTTAATAAGTTTCTAATTACTAATGTTTATTAAACTTGTAATATTCTTAATTTATTTTATATTCTAGGTTACACGTACAGTTTGACAACAGTAACAGGCAACGGTTTAGATAACGGCACTGAGACAGCCCTAGTTCTGGTTCTGTATGGAGAAAAAGACAAGTCTGAGCCCTTGATTGTTAAAAATAAACAGAAGCAGCATGCGCTTAGGAAGGGAGAGACCCAATATTTTGAGGTTTCCTTTTTTTATTTCAGTTTTATATCTACATTTTACATTTAAAAAAATAAAACATAAGTCACAATTTCAATTTTAAAAAGAGGGCAATTATTATTTATTTCCCTGTTAAGAAGAAAAGCTAACAACTTATCCCTGATGAACTATTCAGAATGAAAATAATAACTTGAGTTATAATTAAATGCTGTGGTTAACCTGATGATTTAAAACTCCAACATCCACTTTTTATTTGTGTGCATTAAGTAGACTTTTATTAGTTGACAAACTGTATGGAATAAACATACAAACAATCTTGTTGCAGATATTTACAGAAAAAGATGTTGGAAATCTCTTTAAGTTGCGTGTTGGTTTTGATTCCAAAGGGAAAGAACTTCATTGGTACTCAGATTTCAGTTCCTGTCCCTCTTGGTTTGGCGAGATGGTAATAAAAGGACTATTATTTAACTAAATGTATTTTAATAAACAAGAGTTACTTTTCTTGTGGTGTACTGGCACTACATGCAATAAAAATGTTAAAAATTATATTTTTTTTTAAATGTTATAAAATTTAATTATTTATTTTAAAAATTATTGTTTAAAAATAATAATTCCTACTGTAGATCAAATTAAAGGAAATAAAATCAAATAAAGAATATCAATTTACTATCAACCAATGGGTGAGAATGGAGGAAGATCAAGATTTTTGGAGGGAGTTTCCAGTCAATAAAAGAAACCAGGATGAAATGCTGGCAGGTAGCGTAACTAATTTGTAACCCACTGTTGAACTTTATGATGATAAACAGATGTAACCTTTTTTCCTCAAGCACAAAATTAAATTTTGTTTCAGTCCTATAATTGTTACTTTCAGTTTTAAACTACTTTGTTGCTATAAATATGGAAGAAAGTGCTTGGCCAAGCTCCAATGTCTATGTCCAGCTTGTGGGTGAATATGGGGATACAGGATGGAGGCACCTGCATGGCCCTAAGACTTCTGATAAACATGTATGTGTGCCTAACTTTTTGATAACAATTAAATTTGGTTTTATGTACCAATATAATAGGCTAATATATTTCACCATATTAAAAAAAAATGTAAAAATTAAAGTGCAATTTATCTTTAAATGTTTTGATTTATGTACTAAACTACTAATCTAATAGGTTATTACATACACTATATGTGAAAAAAAATTATAATGTTAAAATTAAAGTACACTTTATTTTTGAATGTTTTGATTTATGTAGGCCTACTAATCTAATACATACACCAAATTTTTAAAAAGTTAAATTAAATTGTTAAAATTAAAGTACACTTTATTTTTTAATGCTTTGATTTATGTACTGATCTAATAGGTTAATATAATAGACCTTGTTTGAAAAAAATTAAAATGTTAAAATCAGAGTTAAAATTGTACTTCAGGTAAATGTGTTTAGAGTTGAAGCTGTTGACCTTGGCAACCTAAACACAGTTAAAATCAAACATGATGGCCTTGGTGCTGGGTCAGGCTGGTACCTGAGGAACATTAAAGTCAGAGACTCAATGGATTCCAACTTGGTTTGCTTATTTGAATGTGAAAGGTAAAATATTTTGTTATGAAAAGACAAGTTTTACTTTGTATTGTATGAATCTGTTTGTGTGTACATTGTAAGCTAATATTGGTTCTCTACTCTTGACTACAGCAAACACGGGAACAGGGCATTACCGCTCTCCCCTCTTCAATTACCCCCCGGATATTTCCCCTGACATTACTCCTGGGGTAATTACCCCCTGTCAATTAAGCCCCGCCCAGGTGAACATTACCCCCCCCCCCTCCTCCGTCATAGCTTAAGGTACAGCTAGGGTTAGGGATAGGGCTAGGGTTAAGGTTAGGGTAAGGGATAAGGTTAGGTTTTAGGTTGAGGTGAATGCTTAGGTTCTTAAGGCTAGGATTAAGTAATATAGGTATAGAGTTGGAGTTAGGGTCAGGATTCTAACTTGGTGAGGGAGGGTGGGGGGGATTGCTCCAGGGGTAATGACGGGTGACCGGGGGGGGGGGGGGGGGGGGAATTTCACTACTTTCGATTTAAATTATTTTATTTCTCTGACCTGTCAATGTTTGGCCTAGCTCAAGTTTAAACATTTAAATTCAAAATGCATTGAGGATATTTTGTTCTGTTAAAATTTGATTATGCTGATTAGGAGCCAATTATATTTTCAGATGGCTGGATGAAAGTCAAGATGATGGTGCAGTAAAGCGTGTTTTGCCTCTCACAGCCATCATTACAGAGGCAGAGGATGATGAACCTGAAGAGGATGAAGGGGAGGACAAAGGTCAGGGTTTAATGGCTACATGTTGTAAAATTGGGGTCCCTTTTTTTAACATTTTTTTAAAATGATGGTTGTTATAAATCATGTTTGAATGAAGTTTATCCTTCCAGAATGTTTTATTACTGTGTTTTTTTTTTTACAAATGTCAAACTTTTCTTTATATTTTCCCCATAAAGCTGGAAGCTGGAAAGTCTATACAAAGACAGGAGATGAAAAAGGCAGTGGAACTGATGCTAATGTCACATTGACAGTGTTTGGTAGTAAAGGTGGATCTGGGCCACTTACTTTAGGAACAAATGGACAAGAGAACTTTAGAACCGGGCAGACGGATCAGTTTGATGTCAGTTTGAAATTTAAATTACTTGTGACTTTTAGAGAACTCTTCTATAAAATAGGTTACAGTAGGGGTTAATTTAATAAAATAATAATTACTGTCTCACTGATGTTCTCTAGGCCAAAGCCAAATGCCAGTTGCTTAACTAAATCCTAATCAGAATGTTATGCACACCATAACCATTTCTAATTTCAAGTACAATTCCAAAACAAGCTGTACAATCTGATTGGAAGATGAAGCACATCTTGACATAATACACAACCAACCCACTTATATTTATCACAATAAGTTTGACAATAACACTATAAACCCACAACATAAAATAAAAAATAGGGACATGGAACTGGATTGAAAAGAAATTACTTGTAATAATTTTAAAATTACTTAGTCACAAAAATTTAAATGGTCTGTTGTATATGTAGTATGCCTGCTGTAATTAAATGTTAAATTATAGCCAGGTTTTATGATAGAAGAAATTTCTGTCACCATATATAATCAGCCATTGGTTTAGTCAATTATATTATAGCGTTAAGTGAAAAACAAAACAATCCAATCAAGCTTAGAACCATCAAAGTAATCAATGTGCAACATTTCTTGGTGATGTTTTAAAATTTCTATTTGTAGATTTGGCTAGATCCAGCTGACATAGGAGATATTACAAAGGTCAGACTAGAGCATGATAACACAGGGCGCAGTCCAGGCTGGAAAGTAGACAAAGTCAGTTTGATTTCTTGTTTTGTGTGGGCTATTCTCAGAACTATTTTTTTCAAAGCTATTTGAAGAAAAAATGTAATTAGATGTTTCTATAACATTATTACAGAGTTGAAATTATCATTAAATATAAACCTTTTAATTACCACATATTCAAACATAGAGCATGAAAACACAGCAATAAGGCTTGTAACTTTTGAAATATTTTGAATACTTAAGGAAACCTTAAAAAAATCCTAACAGGTTCCCATTCATATCCTATAACAATAGGGCAGATGAAGTAGAGTTCATCTGTTTCTCTGACCTCTGCAAACAGGGGAATGGTCAGCACTATGTCCAATCATATTGTTTCCCTAAATTGAGTCAGGTACCCATCAGAGGCTGGATGTACTCAGGGACGTTCTACAGACTTGAGTTTGGCTAACAATTTTTAGCATGGCAAAAGCGCATACACTTTTTCCATTAAAATCTGCATTTGAAATAAATTAGACATTCAAGTTTATAAAACTTAATAACCTTACTTCTTCTAAACCAGCTCACACTTGAGAATGACGAGACTGGTGAGAAGCATGAATTCAAAGTGAACAGATGGCTGGATTATAATCAGCCAGACGGGGACGTTGTGTATGAAGGGGCAGCTCAGCAGGCTGATCAAACTTCTCTTCCTGGTATATTTAAGCAAATGAGTTAATTTAGTAAAAAATGTTTCTTTGTTTTAAAAAAAATAAACCCTCTTATGTACCAAATAACAAATTGATTACAAACCTGTTAATAAAGTAAATTTTAGGAATAGAAAATAGATTTAGTAATAATTATAATAACATCCAATTATATTGCAATGAAGTTAGGTTAGGTTAGGTTTGCCTGCCGTCCCTCCTGGGACATAGGCCGCTGACAAGAGTTTTCCAGGCGCCTCTGTCCTGGGCTAGTCTCTCCAACTGTCCCCAGGTGTATCCAATTTTCTTGGTGTCTTCTTCCAGGTCATTGCAATGAAGTAACCAACCAAAAACTTAATAATAAGTCTAAAAATAACCCTACACTTTAAAACCTGCTGGAAAATTAAGAAGGGAACAAAACTAATTTTTCTTCTATTTTAGACCTGGTTGATCAAATATTTGTTTTCTTGCTTAATCAAAAAAAAATTAAAAATATTTTTTGTTACCTATATATTTGTGTATTAAAATGTTTTAATTATTTCAGTGTACAAATACATTATCAAGACAGTTACAGAAGCTGATGAAGGTGCAGGAACAAATGCAAATGTATACATGGATATTGTGGGAACACTTGGCAATTCAGGAAAAAGGCTGCTAAGAAATGAGATGGATGGCAAAGCCAAGTTTGAAAGAGGAAAGGTTTGATCAAATTTACCTTTTTTTTTCAATCTTTGGGTTATTACAGTTTCGAATAAGATTTAAGGATATAATAGGCTAATTTAAAAATTATAATTTTTTACAACTAGCTATCAAGTGTAAACCTATATTTTTTTTGGTAACCAATTTGAATAACCAATAGCAAAATAGGTACTATATATTCTTTCACACCTACTATCAAATTTATAATATGCATACTAATTATCAAATACATTTTTTCCCCAGATCTTCTATTAAAAGTATATTATTCTGACAATATATTTTTCAGACCAACTATTTTAAAATTGAAGCCGTGGATCTTGGAGATCTAGAAAAGATAACAGTAGGCCATGATGGTCAAGGAGCAGCTTCAGCCTGGAAACTACTTTGTGTGATCATCCAAAGAGAAGATTTAATGAACAAACAGAGCTCTGTATTCCCATATGGAAGGTAACATAAGTAGCTTATATAATGAGCATTAAGGCTTCATGATTTTTTTTAGCACTGAATCTAGTTGCGTTCACCTGTTTCTGTGACCTCTGCATACAAAGGAATAGTATGATCTCATTTATGCCCAGCTACCTTTACTTTCCCTAATGTAGTCTGGTAACCATCAGAGCTGGGTGAAGTCAGGGACTTCCTAATCGCTCAAGCCTGGAATCCAAACTCAAGACTTTTAGTAATCATTCACTCCACTGTCTGACCACAATCTTCCATCGATATAAAATACTAATTAATTTTTTTTTAATATATCAATCCCAGAACAATTGAAAGAAATAGATTTGGCAATTAAAAAGGATTTATATATTCTGTAGTCTCATTTTTAAAAGGTCAATTTTATTTTTGTAGCTGAATATATGCAGCTTCCATGCTGGCTTAAATTAAAATTGTTTTCTGTAGGTGGTTGACAGAAGAAAGTAAAGAAGTGACTATCCTGAAAGGAAAAATGCTGGAAGATGATGACTATGAGGAAGATGGCTATGATTTTCTAAAGAGTAAAAAACTTAGAGACAGTGGCTATTATTAGATACGCACTGTAATCTCTTCTTTGATTTATTTTTAATTGGTGAAAAAGAAATTAAAATAATATTGACGCATGTGCAACTAAAACATATGTCATGCAAAAAGTAAATGTAAATATTTTAGTCACACAGTTACATTTTTTTTGAGAGAGCAAAACAAATTGTGTTCTTAAGTATGATCAACGTTTGATTCTATCCTATAATTTATGACGTCTTTTATGCTATGTGGCATAACTGTTAACCATTACATTTTTTTTACTGCTGGTTCTTACTATCTGTAGAACATCTGTCTCATCACAAAGGGTAATATTATGTTATATGATGAACTATCCCTGACTGTTGATGTTTATCATGGTTAGTTATTGTATATTATTCATTAATTTTGTTAAATAGAAGAAAAAAAAAATGTAAATTCTTAAGGAATGTAATGTCTAATATAAAAAGGATGTCCCATATAAAATTTTAAAAAATACTTTTATAAGCCTAGTTATTATATGAATTTATTTGCAATTCCTGTTTGTATTATTGTCTACTGAAGCTAATAACTTTAACTTTTATGCAATGTATGTACATATACATATACTTTATATTAAAGGAAATATTTTAAAATATGCTCAATAAAATAAATATTTTACATCAAAATGTCCATTGTATTTATATATTTTATATATAAGCCTCATTATGTTGCAAAGCTGTTCTCATTGTAAGTTTTAAACTTTAAAGAATAAATAAAAATAATTATGTCCTTTTACAATAGTTTCTATTGCATGTTATTTTTAATTGTTTACTTTTTTCTTCATATTTAAAGCAAATTTATATTTGTTTTCAAATTGCAGTGTTCCTTGTTTCTTCTACTTCGCAGTTTCAAATAAACAATTTCCACAGATAATACTAAGGATTTTAAAAAATAATTTAATGACACAAAGACATGTTTGTCTCCCTTGGCTATGTCAGCAATCGCAATTGTCGTCTCAATCCAGTGACTGAAATTAGTCCGTCTTATCCAATCTCGCCAAACTTTAAAGCATGGTGGTAATTCACTAGATCAGATAAAAATCAGTGCTGTAACCCAGAGCAGTTTCAAAATGTGGGGTGGGGGAAATCTTTCTGACGGGATGGCAAATACAAGGGATATAGGTTGCAGCTGATGTTACATGGTTCATTTTAGCAAGAAACACACTTGAAAGTAACAAGTTATTTTAGAAGTTGTATTGAATAAAAAAATAAAATTAATGTAATTGAAAGCATTTTATTTGGATGAATTAAAATTTAATAAGGAAAAAAGGTGTGTTTAATAGATGTTATTATGACCAAAGTTATGTCCCTTTGTATGTTTATTTTCGCTCCACTTATTATACCTCTACCTACGTAGTTGAATTTAATACGGGATGTTACCCGTCATTGGGGCAGTGGCGCATATAAAGCAGTTACATGTCTAGTAAGGGGGTCATCCATAAAAGACGTCACGCTTTTTTGGGCGATTTTTACCTCCCTCCGTCACACATCGTCACAAAAAGCCAGACCCCCCCCCCCTAAAATGATTCACTCCTCAGCCTACAACCCCCTTCATAATTGCTATTAAATTTTTCTTAAAACATCGATATTTTTCCAAAATCTTGTCTGAACTCAGTCATCATAGAGTATTTTAATCAATTCATATTATAATTTATTAAACCAGTTTTCTAAAACGCGAAATAACGGCTAAAACTCATTTTCTAACATTGCTTTTCTAAAATGCAAAAAGTGTGACCTCACACCTTCTGACCACCCCCCCTCCCCCTCCACATACCGTCACAAAATTACGGAATCCCTCCCCCCCCCCCCCCTTTACGAGTGTGACGTCATTTATGGCCGACCCCTAACACTTAAATTTATGCTATCTATAAATTGTTGGTTTTAGTGAATAAACTGACACAAGTGACCAGAGTTTCTTCCAGGCATTCTACCGCCCCCACCCCCACCCCGAACGAAATGAAATTTATATAAATTATATAGAAAATTTATACTTTTAATAGTGCCCCCCCCCGAAGATAGTCTACCGCCCCCTACCCCCCGAAAATTTCAAGTGCCCCCCCCCCCCCCGGGAAAAAAGTCTGGAAGAAACACTGCAAGTGACTTACACCTGTTTGTTTTAACATTGTAACTCTTTGCAATTATGTAAAAGGCTATTTTCTTTATAACTTATTTTTAAAAATGCATTTTTAGCGCAATTTCCATACGGACAATTGCGATTATTAACTCGTCATTTCTGGATGCATGAATGAATGGATGTGTGTCCGCAGCTTTAAGTCGTATCTCCTCCTCAACGAAGCAATATCGAGGACTAGTTCCAAAAGCAAATATGTTAAGCAAGTTCCGAGGATGATTGTGGGCCAAAAAAAGTCCCGGGTTTCCTTCCTGGATTTCCCGGAAAAGCCAAAAAACCTCGAAAAAATGCACTTAGCGACTTGAAACATTTACCGATCGATTCCTGCCATAATTTTGAACAATATTGCCGAAGAAAGTTTTCAAAAATATCCTTTCGTTCGGTCACAAAAAATTAATTACTACTTTTTTAAACTGAGCATCGTGTAGGCCTAGGATGATATTTTTTTAAACTGAGCATCGTGTAGGCCTACTCGTTAAAATAAATAACATAAGGAAATTGCGCTTAAATTGTCACTAGACTTTTTATTAACTTGTTTTTTTCGTGCAACATCAAGACAGCCCGTGACAAAACGGCCCCTACACAAAAGCCCCAACCACATTTGCACTGGGTAGGTTTGACACCTGGTCATGGAGCTACCGAATCAGGTGACATCCGTGACGCTACTAGATTGAAGGCTTACGTTTTTAAAATGTCAAATTTAATTGCTTGTTTTTAGTAGCAAGAAGTATTTTCTAAAAGTTTACAAAGTACTAAACCCTTTTTAAAAGGAAAAAAAAAAGTTTTTCATAAATCGACGAAATGACCTAGTTATAAACTGCTTTGGCTGGTCTGCACTGGCTACACGTCAATACGGATTGGATAAGAATGGGGGTTGGGTTCCTGGAATCATTTTGATTGGTTAACCTCATTTATATAACCCAAGAAAAAACTAAGAAACAGCATTTTGCCATCGTGCAGCTGACCTAGAATCATTATTTGTGTGTGTGTGATTTGTTAAACGTAGTACATTAGACCAAAGCAGTAAAAGTTGAAAAAATGTACAAATCTGAACGTTTAATTCGGGCTGTGTCTTCGTGCAATATGCAATTTCGAAACAAACATTTAATTGCTTTTGGAAAAAGAAGCATTTTGAGAACTAGCACTTTTCACATCCAGTCAGCTGTCAGTAACAAAAATGTAAACATTCTGGCCAACACGTATTCAACATCAAGTGAGAAAAACGCAACACCGTTAGATAAACTTATCAAGCGATACGATGATTTCTCAAGGAGACATATCGGGCCAAATTCTACCGAAGTTCGAGCTATGCTAGATATAATTGGAGTAAAGGTAAATTTTATAACTTTTCTTAGAGAACTTTGCCTACTTTTGGACTTAACTTAAGTGCCTGTCTGTGACTAGTACTAGACTCTAGTAGATCTAGATTATTCTAGATACTTTGAAGTAGTTACTTGACTTACATAATACTATTAATACATAATAAAATAATGGAAGGGGGCTATGATTTTCGAGTTAGGTTTTTATATTTGTTGGCCCATTACATTACCCATCACAATTAAACTAGGCCTACTCAAGTTGTATTTTTTTTTTTAAATTTGGTGTACTGATTATTTAGGACTTGGAAGAATTAACTCAATCAGCTGTTCCTGAAGACATCCTTCTAAACAGAGATTTGAAGCTGGATGAGCCACTTGGTTAGTATTTCAGAATACCTTCAATCAAACATATGGGGGGGGGGGGGGGTGATCATTTAAAAAATTTCTTATAGCACGGCATTTTTTCTTGTGAAATTTAAAGTGTAGAATGTAGAGCTGTGGGTATGGCCAAAGGGTTCCATAGCTTCATTCAGACTACTAATGTTTAGTATGATGTAATACAACTGTGTCTAGAAATAATCTTTGCCTTTAAGAAGTACATGTGGACAATAACCAGTATAACTATTTTGATGATACATTAGTTTGAAATAGATGGGATTAGTAGATTTATTGGTAAGGTTTATAAAAGCTGTATATTGTAAAACATGGTCTTGGTGGAGGAAATGAAACTTAAGTCTAATCAGCTTATTTAAAGACAATATACTAAGATGTTATATTTCTTATAAGGTTTTTGTAAGTACTATAGCTAATCTAATTGACCTCAAAAACTGTGGGCCACATGTAAATGTGCTAAAACTAGGACTTTACAGTAATGCATACACATTACTGTTTGCCAGCACAGATTATTGTATCATAAGCATGCAATTGATGTAAGCTTCATAAAGGTGAAGGTCATTTTAAAGTAGGTCACCTACATATCTTTAGTTGCTCCAAAAATTGTCTAGTCACTCACCTTTTTATGTAAATCTGTCACTATTGAAAACTTTTTAAAAAGTGGCTTTTGTTTTAAATATTCTTTTTCACCAAATCATTTTCTTTCTTACACAAGCACGCCCTAACAATCACATGTTTTATATCTGTAGGAGAGTTTGAGCTACTGACTCGCCTGAAAGAAATTGCTTCAAAAAATCAGGTGTGGAGAAGCTACATAGGACAAGGCTACCACGGCACATACACTCCAACCCCAATTCTTAGAAACATTTTTGAAAATCCAGGATGGTAATTGCTTTAACCACTTAATTTACATTTTCGATGCTACTGTTATTTTTCCATTGATTTTTTGGTTTATTGCAATTAGCAGTATTCATATTTGGTAAGGCTGTCATTGCTGGTACATTATTTATTTTAATCCTTAATTTTAAAATAGCATTAAAGTATTATTTTATCCATATAAGTATGTGTGTATGGGTAATACCTAAAAGATATTTCATGTTCATTATTTTAAACTTTTAGTTAGTTTAGATAATATTCCTATTATTTTATTATGCTGTTCATTCAAAATCATGTGCTTGATGTTAGGACCACACAGTACACACCTTATCAAGCAGAGCTGGCTCAGGGAAGATTGGAGAGTCTCCTCAACTACCAGACAATGGTCACAGATTTGATGGCCCTGCCCGTGTCCAATGCATCGCTGCTGGATGAAGGCACAGCGGCTGCTGAAGCTGTTTCTCTTTGCCAAAGGTAATTTCACAGATAAAGCAATCCTTTGTTTTTTAGTGAGAGCAATTTTTTCAATTTTTTATCTGCTTTAAATAATCATTTCAATACTAGAGCAATATTTATTAGTAAAATAATTTATGTTTGTTCAGAGTATTTAATATATTATTGTAGTTGTAGCCAACTTTAACTTGTTTTTAAACTTGCATTAAAACCAGGCAGAACAAAAGAAAGAAGTTTTTTGTTGACTCCAAGTGCCATCTGCAGACTATTTCTGTTGTTAAGACAAGAGCTGAGTAAGTGTTTTTATCTGTAATGAGTTTTTTATGTTTTATGATAATCATCGGCGTGGTCGAGTCGGTAAAGCTCATGGTTGCTAAACCGAAAAGTCTCGAGTTCGAACCCTCGGGCAGATGAGGCTCGTTAGCTGGGGACAGTCACTCTTCTAGGAGAGACAACTCCAAAATCAAACAACTGCTGCTTTGTAGTTTGTTCTTGGTTGGACAAAGGCTATGGAAGCAAATCCAAAAAGAAAAGCAGGCTGAAATCGGAGTCAATGGCCTCAATGGTGCATAACCAGTTGACACGTAATCCTTAATTGTGATGGAAGCATGGTCGAGTCGGCAAAGCTCATGGTTGATAAATTTGAAAAAAGTCTTGAGTTCAAACCCTCTGGCAGATAAGGCTCCATCCCTCCCAACACTAAAAATTAAGAACTAAGAAGAAGAAGTTGGTATGATCTACCTGTAAAGTTCCATTTCAAACCTGACGATCTTCTGGGCAAGTGAAGTAGAGTTTACTTATTGCTGTGACCACGGCATATAAAGGGATAGTGTTGTCAACACTATGCCCAGCTGCCTTAACTTAACCTAATGTGAGTTAGTACCCATCAGAGCTGGGTGGACTCATGGACAGTCTACTGACTTGAACCCGGAATCGAACTCAAGACTTACGGGTTAGCAGTCCAGCTCTCTACCGCTAGGCCACTCCATCCCATGGACCACCAGTAAAAGATCGAGTCATAACCACACCTTTTCATTGTACTTGTTTTTTGGTGATAGTTCAAGTTGGGTACATGATTTACCAGCTGTTTGCGCCTCACTAACAACTGATCTCTTCTATTTTTAAAACATTTAATCTAGAACACAAATTAAATTAACAATGTCTTATTTTTAAAAAATGTTTTAATTTTAGAAACAAAATCAATGGTTGTTTTTTGTTTTTGTTTTATTTGTGTAGACCTCAAGGGATGGAAGTTGTAGAAGGATCCTGGCAGGCTGTAGATTTCAGTAAAGGAGATTTTAGCGGTGCTTTAGTTCAGTACCCAGACACTGATGGAACTGTTCACGACTTCTCTTCTTTTGTTGACGCAGCCCACAAACATGGGGTACTGAAATTTTCATTGAAATATTTTTCAGATGTATCCTTGAATTTTAAATTTTGGGTCAATTTATAAATGACTGTTGTGCGAGTTTTATTTAAAACTTTGTTCCAGTGAATCTATTTTTATATTGTAGACACTGGTGGTGGCAGCATCAGACCTGTTGGCTGTAACACTCATGAAACCTCCAGGCGATGTTGGATTTGATATCGCCATAGGAACAAACCAAAGGTTTGGTATTCCAATGGGCTATGGAGGTCCACACGCTGGATTTTTTGCCTGCAGGGAAAAATTCATGCGCATGTTGCCAGGGAGAGTTGTTGGGATAACTAGGTAAATACAATTAATTAATGAACCTCGCTTTCATTAATGTAGGCAAATGTCTTTTAAGATGGTCTGGTGGTTTAGCATTTGACTGCTAATCACAAAGTCAAGTTCAGATCTCATTCTTGAGTCTTCAGGACATCCCCATGTCCACTCTGCCCTGATGGGTGTCACACTCAGTTTAGGGAAAGTAAAAGTGGCTCTGCTTAGTTGCTGACCTTACTATATAGTCTAATGCCATGGTCAAGAAACAGATGAACTTCACTTTATCTACCTTTTGTATTTTCCCTGGGTTTTTTTTACATATTTGATGACAGGTGGTTTTTGTTCTCCTTAATTTTAGAGATGCTGCCGGTAGAAGAGCCCTACGTCTTGCCTTACAAACCAGAGAACAACACATCAGGCGAGATAAAGCTACTAGCAACATCTGTACTGCTCAGGTAAAATTTAGAAAATTACAGCTAAATTCTCTGGTTAAATTATTTAATCTTGAAAGTTCCCCTTGAGCCAAATATTAAAATATTTATCAGAATACAGTTCAAAATATGTTAATTTTTCTGAAGTTTTTGAAGTTAGGCTTGTCTCTAATCTTAAAATTGTTTTGATAAATATACTCCACTGTTAATCTTTAATCTTCAATTCATCTTAAATCTTTAATTGCTAAAATCTGTCACCTTACAAATATTCAATGTATAAATTTGTTAATACAAGCTAAACCAATTTTTCTAGGCACTGCTGGCAAACATGTCTGCTATGTATGCTGTTTATCATGGACCAAAAGGTCTTCATCACTTTGCTCAGAAAGTTCATCACGGAGCTTTACTTCTGAATGAAGGTTTTTTTATCAGTTGTTTTTTTTTTTCAGAATATCTTTCACCATTTTTAGTTGCTTCAACTTGACAATGAAACATGCTTGAGAATCTCTATAAATTTGTTACTTTAATAACTTTGTGAAATAAATGAGCTAACTTGAAGTGTTCTATTTCAGGAGTTAAAAGAAGTGGACATAAAGTAAATTCTGAAGAATTTTTTGACACTGTCAAGTTTCTACCCAAGAACGGACAGGCTGAAATAAAGAAAAGAGCAGAGGAGAAGAAAATAAATTTACGTTACTTTGATGATGGACAGGTAAATAGAGGTTCACCATTCACAAATGGCCTACCTGCAAGTGATACTTTTAAATTGTACCATAATGATTTTTTTATTTTGATGAATATATTATCACAAAATGGTTTAATCCATATTGCCTCGACATATTTAAGCAATGAGAACACAGATAACCATCAGTATAATAGTGTGACCAAGAACTACTTGTAGAGAATCATTAATGTAAACATGATAGACCTATTATATTCTATGAGAAAACAATATTACTCTATTATAAATCTTTGACATTAAGAGTAATTTTAAGTTTTGCTTAAAAGCTATTTACAAATGTTTTTATCCTGCTGTAGGTCTCTGTGTCTTTAGATGAAACTGTAACACAGAAAGACATATCTGATCTTTTGTACATTATTGGTTGCCAAGTTACTGCTGTAAGTATTTTATACAAGTCAAGAAATTTCACAGTTATAAATTTATTAGGCACTCCAAATTGCAGAAAGCTGAGTGTTTTTTTGCAGTGCATTTCATGACCTTTCATTATTTATTTCTTTAATTTAAAAAAAAAAACATCACCACATCAATTTTTGGTGTAAAAAAAAATGACTGGGTTTTGCCCCTGATCTACTCTAAACCTTATGCTTTTGTAGTATGTTAGATATAAACTAAAAAAATAACAATATGCAAAATTGAACTTTTTTATAAACTTTGTCTTCCTGACATTAGTTTAAATGACCAAATTCATACAATTTATGCGAAAAATATTGACATTTTTTAAAGATGAACTGTCATGAACTCATCATTTCATATTTCTACTCTCATGATTGTCCATTACTCTTTTTAAAATTAAAATTGTGCTAATATATTAATTATGGCACAACACAATGGCAGCAAAAATGTTTAGAAATGTTTGTAAAAATGTATTAGTTCTTAACTTAACAACAACGATGATTGTAGGTGTGATTTAAAAAATCAGTTTGGAGCACCAACTTTAACTTAATGGAAAAAAAAACATATTATGTACCATACACTGCAATTTAAATAAGTGTGTTGTTAACCATTTAAATTAGTTTATGATTAGTTTCCCATAAATATAACATTCTGCCCCAAATTAGCGTGACTTTAATATGATTAAAAAAGGCAAGATATTTTCTTAAATAAATCTACTGATTGTTACATCATGAAATGGTTTTAGTGCTATGTAAACTTTCCAACACTTCTATTTTTAGAATGATCTGGCCAAAGAGGTAGGTGAGGCACCTGCCAACAGCCTAGAAAGGGGAAAATTTGCCAGGACATCCAGCTACCTAACACATCCTGTTTTCAACACGTAAGCTTATTTTTATGATGTCAAGTTTGTTTACATTGTTTAGAATTCACTTGTTTCTATTTACTATTTATTCTGGTTTAACATTGTTATTACATATGTTTTTATTATTGATTTAGATATCATTCAGAAACTAGGCTCGTCAGGTACATGAAGAACTTGGAAAATCGTGACTTGTCATTGGCTCATTCGATGATTTCTCTGGGATCCTGCACCATGAAGTTGAATAGTACAACAGAGATGATGGTATGTTTGATTTTACAGTACATTTTGGTGGTTGTTGGGTGGTAAAGTTTGGGTATGTTTGTACTTTACATTTTGGTAGTTTAATGGTATGTTTGATTGTACAGTACATTTTGGTGGTACAGTTTGATGGTATGTTTGATTGTACAGTACATTTTGGTGGTACAGTTTGATTGTACAGTACATTTTGGTGTTACAGTTTGATGGTATGTTTGATTGTACTCTACATTTTGATAGTTTGATAGTATGTTTGATTGTACCATACGTTTAAGTGGTATTGTCGGGTGGTAGTTTAATTGAATGTTTTGTGGTACCATACATTTTGGTGGTACGTTGGATGTTACAGTTCAGTGATATGGTGGACAGCAGGGTTTGATGATTACCATAAAATGTTGAGGTTAAAGTTAAAAGTACCAAAATCACTTGAGCTCTTATTAAGTATTTTAATAAAATACTTAAAAAAAAACTTTTTAAAAAACCACGTTTTTCTTGTGGACTAAAAAGTAGAAAATAAATTTTTCTTTTGTGCTTCCTCGAGCTGTGCAGGTTCTTGTGATGACTGACAAAAAACGTGGGTACGTTCACCATCAAATTTCCCGACCCATCTGCCCGACCCACGTTTTTTGTCAGTCATCACAAGAACCTGCACAGCTCGAGGAAGCACAAAAGAAAAATTTATTTTCTACTTTTTAGTCCACAAGAAAAACGTGGTTTTTTAAAAAGTTTTTTTTTTAAGTATTTTATTTACTCCTTTTTAGTCCGTTGCTACACATGAAAAACGTGGTTTTTAAAAAGTTTGTTATATAGTTTATTTTCTACTTTATCTAATGACTTGATTAAGTATGACTTGACTAGGTGTTTTTAAATACACGGACTAAAAATCTTGAGCGACCGATACGCTTTAAACAGAGAAAGGGCGTAATTTAATTAAGCCTACATGCCATGACCAGGATTCGAACCTGGGTTGTCGCGGCCACAACGCGAAGTACTAACCACTATACGATCACGGCCAGCGCGCTCACATCGATTGGGGCCGAAGTAACTGTGTCAATAGGCCTCCAGTCTTGTCGGTATGTTTAGAAATCATGTCCTCGATTTTATGGTCCTTGGGGCGTAATTTAATTAAGCTAATTTAGGACTCTAATTGCTAGTTTTTATGATTGCATCTGAAATTGTTAGGCGAAAATAGCCTGCATTCCAAATTTCAGATCTCTAGAGCAATCAGAAGTGGGCTAATTTTCGATGTCAATTTTAACAACAAACATCCAAACAAACAAACAAATAAACGCGAAGCTGAGTTAAGAAAAACGTGTTAAAAACCAAAAATGTTAGCCTAACTACTACAACTGTTTCTGTCAGCCTTGCTCCTGGCCAGAGTTTGCAAATCTCCATCCATTTGTCCCTAAAGAACAAGCTAAAGGCTACCAGTTGATGCTGAAAGAGCTAGAACAGGATCTGTGTGAAATCACTGGCTATGATAGAATTTCATTCCAACCTAACAGGTTGGTAAAATTTCTGTCAATTATAAATATCCAGTTATGAGTTAGACATTAATATGAGTTTACTTACTACACGTAATGCATTTTTTAGATTTGCAAATGTTTAGATTGACAGAATAGTTAGACAAGATTGTTTTTTGTGTGTTTAGAAATGCTTTAGGCAAGAGATTTAAAAATCATGCACTATAGATAGCCATTTTAAATAATAGCTTTAGGTAAAAGATAAATGCTTCCACTTTTTTTGTTAGAATTGCTTTAGGTAAAAGAGAAATAATTTTCCATTTGACTAACTAGACAACAATTGTTCTCTTAGTGGTGCCCAGGGAGAGTATGCTGGCCTCAGGGCTATCATGGCCTATCTTAAGTCCATTGATCAGCAACAAAGAAAGGTTTGACTCACAATTATCTTTTTTTTTTTTCATTTAATTTTTTATTTATATCAGTCAGATTAGTCAAAATAAAATAATTTTATAAAAACTTAGGATTTTATAGATTGACAGGTTGGTTAAACTGCTTAAGTAAAATGTGCGTTCTACTTATTGATGAGCAGGTATGCCTGATTCCTGTATCTGCCCATGGCACCAACCCTGCAAGTGCCCAGATGGCAGGCATGAAGATTCAACCCATCAATGTAGACAAAAATGGGGCTGTTGATGTCAGGCACATGAAGGAGAATGTAAGATTGTTTCTTGGATAAATAATGTATCTACTTGTATAAATGTACCACAATATATTGGCACATTTTTTTATTGTGAATTTTAGGTGGAAAAGTACAAGAAGGAGCTGGCATGTTCTATGATTACTTACCCATCAACCCATGGTGTGTTTGACAAAGATATCAGGTAGATTTTTATTTTTTATTTGAGATAAACTGAGCTTGCTTTTTAGCTGAGTTTTTCAACATAATGATTTAAAGTTCTTTAATTCAAATCAGGCAAGTCTGAAGACTGCAGTGAATACTAGTGAAATAATTGCATTAACCAAACAAATTGCTTAATATACATCCCAAACATGTGTACTCTATCAAAATACCACTATAACTTAAATTATCTCGTATTTATCAGGGAAATTTGTGAAATGACTCATGAATTTGGTGGACAAGTTTACCTCGATGGAGCCAACATGAATGCACAGGTACACTCTATTATATTAATTAAACTAGAATCAAAGAACTATGAAAACAGCTTAGACATGTTCTAGTATTGTGCTGTTCATTTTGTTTAAGAGTGGAAGATCTTGAGTTTTTAAAAACTTTAATTCTAAAGGATGGTATCTGCTCTAAGGAATTATGGTTCCCACTTAAATCCCCACAAAACATTTTGTATTCTGTAGGTTGGTATCTGCCGTCCTGGTGATTATGGTGCAGACGTGTCCCACTTGAATCTCCACAAAACTTTTTGTATCCCACACGGAGGTGGTGGCCCTGGCGCAGGACCAATTGGCGTGTGAGTACAAGTTCAAGCACCAGCTTGTGGTTTTGTTTCACTTGCTAAAATATAAGCTACGTTACTTGTTTGAAATATTGGGTAGTAGAATGCTTCCGAGAATCTATAGGATGTCACAGAGTTCACCCAGCTCTGATATATACCTGACTCTTGTTAGGGAAAGTAAAGGCTGAACTTTGTGCTGACCACACTATCCCTTCAAATGAATTGGTTACATCTGCCATATTCACCATCAACTCTGAAAGGTTGACTTGTATTTTAGAAAACTCAATGCAAAAATATGTATTATAATTGGATTTTTAAACCTATTTTGATTTCTTTTGAAACTTTTTCCAGCAAACAACACCTGGCCCCTTTCCTTCCCAGTCACCCAATTGTGCCACTAGAGGGCACTGACTCAACCTCGTTTGGTAGTGTTTCATCTGGGCCGTATGGATCAAGCTCTATCCTACCTATATCCTGGGCCTATATAAAAATGATGGGAGCTAAAGGTCTGAAGAAAGCATCACAAGTGGCCATTTTGAATGCCAACTACATGAGCAAAAGGCTGGCTGGCCATTACAAGACATTGTACACTAATGAAAAAGGTAGTTATTCTAAATCTAGATTACCATTAAAGATCAATTATTTTTGTTTAAGTTCTTGTAAAATAACCATTTGTTTTGTTTTCAGGTTTCTGTGCTCATGAATTTATTATCGACTGCAGAGATTTCAAGAAAACTGCTAATGTAGATGCTACTGATATTGCCAAAAGACTGCAGGATTATGGTATTGAACAGATTTTTTTTAATATTACGAATCTAAACAGGCTAATTTAATTGTTTTTATAAAAATAGAATAAAAATAATAAAATTTTGGTAGCATATCAAATTAAATAGTAAAACTATTTTTCTAGGTTTTCATGCCCCAACATTGTCATGGCCTGTTTCTGGTACCTTGATGATAGAGCCCACAGAGTCTGAGGATAAATTAGAACTGGACAATTTCTGTGATGCTCTTATTAGTAAGTTCCAAGGGTGCTAATTCGTTTTTTCATCAATTCTTTTAAGTTATGATCACAGTAGAAAATATTAAAGATATTTGCCTCTGATAACCAATTGACTAAATTAATCTGACATTTTTCAGTGATTCGAGATGAAATTCGTGCTATTGAGCTTGGGCAATGGGGAAGAGAATGCAACCCAATCAAGGTTTAAAATTATTATTTTTTCATTACTTTTTAAACCCTGGCTTTTTTCTTACATATTTTTTAATCCTTTTGTGTGATTATTTAGTTATCCAATTTTTTTTTCTCATTATATCAGATGGCACCACACTCCCAGGCAGATGTCCTGATGGGTAAATGGGACAGGCCATATTCTCCAGAATCAGCAGTCTTTCCAGCAGTAAGTTTTATTTCTAGCTTTATTAAGAAAATTTATACTTAAAAAAAAAAAAAAATTGGTGCTATAGTTTTAGAACTATGTGAAATAATGTTGATGTGATTTTCAGGCATTTGTTCAACCAAGCACCAAATTTTGGCCGACTGTCTCACGTATAGACGACATCTATGGGGACCAACACCTGATGTGCACCTGCCCAGCAGTGACTGACTATAACTCAGCTGATGAGGACAAAGTGGACTCGTCAACTTTATAAACTTTCTCATTGAAAAAAGTGGTGGAAAATAGACATTTCTCAATTAATCCTTTGATACTTTTAAAATCTCTGAAAACAAGTATGATATTCTCATTATGGTAAATTTACAGTATTGGCTAATATTTTCTGTATGAATTAGTTATTGGTTTATTTTTACAAATAGATTATATTTGAAAGCTAATCTCCTTCCAGGTATTGTATCCATGTTTATTGTTTGATATTCTTTACTTGTGCAATGGTTTACTTTCTGGTTGATGTGTTGATGAATCAGGGCAAACTAAATAAAAGTGCCTTTTTTTACTTACATTTATTGTATTAGCAAACTTTTGTGGAATACTGTACATTTTTATGTTCTAATATTTTGTTAAAGTTTCTAATACTTCTTGGTGCAAAAGTGTACTTTAGCTTGTAAAAAAAAAATGGTAAAAATGGATACACACTTATTCTTCAGTACATTTCTTTTAGATGATTGATGTATGTTTTTTTCTCGAATTAAGCTGAGTATTGTACAGAAGTTGAAGGTGTGAATGTGTGTAAACTGATTTTTTGTAGGATAAAAATCGCTTAATAAAAATACTCTAGTTATTGTAATTGTACATTATTTACTTCAAAATTTAGCATTTACCAAAATTATTTTAAGTTCATATAATTAAAAAATTGGAAATAAATTTGCCAGATAAATCAACTGCTTATTTAAAATATTGTCAATGTTAGAAATTTATTTATTTGTATACATTAGAAGATGAAAGTTTTGATATTATGCAATATATATAAGTATTAACTAAAATACTTCATACCCATTTATTTTAAATGGTGCTATGATCTTTGTCATAAAAATCCACAGAATTGTTTTTGTAAGATATTATGCTCATCTTTTATTTTATTGTGGTATCTCCAATGTTGTTTTCTACATATTTTCATGATGCAAACAATATTGACAACAGACCTGCATAGTTTAGCAAAGTATTCAACTTGAAAAATAAAGTAAAACATTTCAGCAAGTCTTCAGATTCTACAAAATACATTTTTATAAGACATTCCAGTAGAACTAGTTTATTAGTTGAATGAGTTAGGTTAATAGTCGCACCTCATAATTTAACAGTCATAAAACCATTTATATCCGGCAGAATGTTGTATAAAAGCTAAATTTATAACAATTCATTTTTTTGTGTTGGTGGTTACTGGGTCTCAGTAAACAGACTTTACATTTTTATTTCAATTGATATTGAAGCTTAACTTTTATCCACATTTTCCCCCACATTATTATTGTCCACATTTTTCCTTTTTATTATATTACATTTTCAAAGATTGTCTCCATTTTAAAATACCTCATATTCTATATGTTATTGTTATAAAAACATGTTATTTAGAATTAAATACAATGTATAATGGCAAAATGAAACATGTTGCTTTTTATATAGCAAACTATTTTTAAATAAAAACATTTTTTTTAATTATAAGAATGACTTGACCTAGTCAATGGTTTCCCATTCATTATAAAGTTGTTACATTTATGTCAAGACTGGTAATTGCCTGTGTGGAAATTATTACATCTTCAAATAAACTTGGTTCAAATAAACATAATTTTTTTGTTGTACTATTTTACTGTTATTTAAATATTTCTCAACTTAATAGGTTTTTGTTTTAAATTTTAACAATTATTCTCCTTTTATTTTGGGAGTAGGTTACTTTTCATTAATTGATTTAAATATGATAGAACTCCAGTAAGAGAAGTAAAGTCATTTTTAAAACACATTTAGCCAATGTTTATGCCACTTGTGTGATAGTAATTTTATTTACAATTTGCTTTTAATTAAAGCTTAAACTTAGTAAACATAACATTCTGAAAATACTGGTTCATATTGATAAACTATCCGCTTATCTGTATCTTAGAAAGGAAATTACTGCTTAGTAAATCCATTAAAGACTGCTAAGCTTTTGTCCATTAATTAATAAATGTCACACACAACTCTGAGACTGGGGGAGGGGGCGTACTTTTGTGACAACCTGCAGGTAGAGGGGAGAGAGTTTGAATTTAAAACAAGTTAATTAAAAAAGTGACATTTATGCGCAATTTCCTTATGTTATCTAAAAATAGCTCTGACGTATAGTGCTGGGGTGCGTTCAAGCTAGAAGAACGATCGGTTTGTAGGTGTTTATGTAATTTTAAAATTTGTGACCGAACGAGAGGGTATTTTTGAAAACTTTCTTCGGCAATATTGTTCTAAATTATGGCAGGAATCGATTGGTACATGTTTCAAGTCGCTAAGTGGTCTGGTTGCCGAGATATGGGCCAAAAACTGCATTTGTTCGAGGTTTTATGGCTTTTCCGGGAAATACATGAAAGAAACCCGGAATTATTATGGCCTATGCTCATTCGCGTAACTTGCTTAACATAATTGCTTTTGGAACTAGTCATCGATATTGCTTCGTTGAGGAGGAGATACGACTTAAAGCCCGGACACACATTCATCCATACATTCATTCATCCATCCATCCATTCCCAGAAATGACGAGTTAATAAACGCAATTCTCCAGAATGGAAATTGCGCTAAAAAAAAACGCAGTTTTAAAAGACTAACTAAATTATCTAAAAATGACCAACATGAGGACGATTCAATGTTGACAAAGCTCACCAAATAGTCTATTTTTTAGAAAGAGATCGCGTTTTTGTCCGGGGGGGGGGGGGGGAGTAACAGCTGTTTGTGATGATTAGGAGCATCGTCACTCATCATCACAAAAAGCGTGGCTTCGTTCAAAGAAGACTCCTGCCACATAGCCTACTGTGTCGTCTATATTTTCCCCCTCCCACCACAAATACAATTTTAACAAAGATCTCCCACCACCTACAATTTTTAAAAAGATAAACAGTTTTTTTTTTGTCAATTAGGACCGCCCCCATTCCCGTCTTTTGGTAGTTTATCGTTACAAATAAAAACCATTGGCACTTGACGTTAGTTATTTTAAAATAATATTGTAATTTTTTTTAACATTTGATAACTGCACCAATTTTAAATAAAAAGAACTTAATAAGTTAATAAACCTAACTACTAGGAATCTATAAGCGCGAGTGTCACTACTCATAAAACCAATAGAAAGGGTAATATAAAAGAATGTAGATCTAGACATTTTTTTATTTTGACTCTAGATCTAGATCCAATTTCTTATATTAGAATTTATTATATATAGATCTAGAATCCAGATCTAAAACAGTGTTTCTTGCAGACTTCTTTCTCCGGGGGGGGGGGGGGGGCACTTGAAATTTTCGGGACTAAAATTTCCGGGGGGGGGGGGGGGCGGACACTGTTAAAAGTATATATTTCCTATATAAATTCCATTTCGTTCGTGGGGGCGGTAGACTTTTTTTTCGGGGGCTCCCCCCCCCCCCCCCCCCCCCCCCCCCCCCCCCCGAAGAGATACCTGGAAGAAACTGATCTAAAATCATTTTTGAAGTTAATTTTCATAGAGATTCCTATTTTTAACTACGCAACCAATCACGTGATTGATCCGGAAGAACTTTTGTGGGTGGAGGAAAATAGAATAGGTTCTATCAACAACAAAATACAGAGACTGCTGTAGACCGTGGACACGGTTCGTGTCAAGATGTCCAAATATTTTTAAACTGAACCTTATTTTCAGCTTTTCTTCTGCAAAATCAAGTAGTTTCTTGCTTTCGTCATGAGTGCCGAAAGTATAGCAGAGAACCACATTCGACAAAATCATTCTTGGGCTAAACTGCCAGCAAATGTTCGACAAGTAAAGTAACATTTTTATTTTTATATTATAGAAGTTTAGTTAACACTAACAGTAACACTAACACAACACAGTGAACTTTTACTAGACTTTTAGCCTCCCCTCTTCCCCCCCCCCCCTCCGGTTATGTTTCATAGTTTCACGCTACAATACATTTATGATTGAACATTAGTGAAGAAACGATGTAGGTAGATGTATTAAATTAAATTTAATTAAAATCTTTAGGCCCTATTCTTTAGGCCTACAATTTCTTATGAGTCCATCAATTGTTATTAAATTAATTATTAGCTAGTCTTAGTCTAGTTTAAGAAATAAGGGCAGTTTTCAGTTTAAGGCTAAGGGACTAAGGGGGTTAAGCATAAGCCTAAGCACTGTAAGCAGCTTAGACTGGCTTAGAGGCAAAGCTAGATACTAGATCTACTTGATAATGAACTGATAGTTATAGTCAATAGTGACACTGACAGTGACTGATACTTGATGGCACTTGATTGGACTTGATGCTCTGAAGTGAAATCTAAATCTAGAAATTGCTATTGTTTAATAATACTAGATCTACTACTAGCTAGATCTAGAATCTAGATCATGTATTCTACACCTAGAAGAGAACTACTAGAATTATTAATTCAATTTAATCATAACAATAGTTTGGTACTAGATCTAGGTTTCGTAAACTAGTAACTAGGCCTAAAGTTAAAGGTATAGATTAAATAATAAAGACAAACTGTGGGTATAACTTCATAGTAATTTCTTAAATATTAAATATTCATTTGTAGCTTGCACTAATTTCATTAGCAAATAACATTTACATATTACTCCTAGGTCTTTATAAAAAAATAATAAAAGCTTTTTGTTAGAATAGTAGAATTTGATCATTTATTAGGTTGCATGCCTGTTTGCAGTAAAAGATTTAGGTCTAGTTAAACTCATCTTAAGCTATTTGCAATATTTGATGGCACAACTTACCTTCAGCTAATACCAATGGAATTTATGTTTACTTTCAGAGCTATGGAAACTCTCAAAGGGAATATGAAAAGGCTGTAGTAAATTTTAGTGTTAAAAATCAGCTCCGCCACAAAGGAAACTTAGGTAAGAAAACCGTTAATACAAATGAAAACAAAAGCTTGCATCCTATATTCTATACAAATACTAACTATCTGTTCAACTGTAGTGTGAATTTGGATGTAAACAATCAGTTTTCATTATTTATGCTAAGTTAGAATAACTGCAATATATTGATAAGTAAGTAAACTGCACATCAGAATAACCGCATCATAAGTATAATTATAATGATTAAAAACTAAAACTGCCTGCTATTTCAAAAGTTCTCTATTTGTTTCTGCAGTGCGCAACATTAGAAAGGATGAGCAAAGGTATTATGAAGAGGTGCTACAATACAGTAGAGAGCATCTCATGCTTTATCCTTACCACCTGTCAGATATTTTTGTCAAAGGCCTGAGAATGACACCCTTCTCTTACTACTGCAACATGATGCAAGATATCATGAGCCAGGAGAAAAGTTATGATTCACTGCCCAACTTTACTGCTGCTGATTGTGAGTTGACTAGATCTACCAGATTTAAGACTACTCCTACTGTACTACTTTACAAGCTTCTCAAATTTATTTTGTTGCCTAATTTAAATAATCTTTTATAAGTGATTTTTTTTTTTAAATTTCAGGTCTTAGATTATTGGGCATAGGGCGCAATCAATATATTGATCTGATGAATCAGTGCAGATCTTCAAAGGTAAACTTTTAACTACAAACTAATTACATACAATTATTGCTACACACTCTAAATTAAATCAAATGTTATTCCTTGTTCAACACTTGAGACTTTAATTTGGTCATCATTTGCATTTAGTTGTATTAATAGATTAATTAGTAAAGTAGAAACTTTTTTTAGAAATTTTTTAGAAAACGACCCGTCAAAGAATTACTGCCAAGTCAGCCAATAGAAGGAGTTTCAATTGATGCTTGGTGGATTGTCCAAGTTGGCTACATTACAGAGGACGATATCAGGGTATAACTTTTTCTCAGACTCTTGTATCAATGTCAGAGACTCAAAATCTCAATACAAAACAAACATTTACACAGCAAATCAAAACTTCCTAATGACTTTTGGTCATGCATGAATGCAGTGTCTTGTGTGCTATTTCCTTATTTATTCACCTATGTAAAATTTGTTTCCACACTTTTCTAGATGTGCACAACAGCAGAAAAGAAAGTCATTGACACTGTGATAGATGCTGGGCCACAGATAGCTGGAGAAATGGACAAGGAAGTTGTTAACAGTAAGAAAAATAGTCTGTTTCTTTTTGGGGTGCCTAGAAGTCAACATGGCATGGCTTAGCGGTAGAGCCCGAAAGTCCCCAGTAGAATGTCCCCATATCTACCCAGCTCTGATGGGTACCTAACTCACATTAAGGAAAGTAAAGGCGGCTGGGCATAATGCTGACCACACTATCCCTAGGTCACATATGCCAAGGTCACATAAACAGATGCACTCTACCTCACATGCCCCATGGACCTTCAGGTTCTAAAAGGGAACTTTACTTTTAGAAGGCCACATAAACAAAGTAATGTTTCTTTGTTGGGTGTTGACAGTCGAGATTAAGCAGAGCAGTCTGTTTCTTTATTGCGTGTGTCGCAGTTAAGAGTTAACACAGTAATGTGTTTCTTGGGTGTATAGAAATAAATACCTAGATGTTTATTGACACAAGTCCTGTATATATTTATTTTGCCACTGTATATACAAATAAAGTTGTAACATTTTTTATTTCTCAAACTCAGGTCTCTACAGAAAAGGATTGATTTACCTTGAGGTGCCCATTGGAGATGATGATTGTATCAGTGGTATGTACCTTGATTTCTTTAGCTCTGTGTTAATCTTAATTTTAATTTGTCCTATGTACAGTTGAGCTATAAGAGTAAGGCTTGTTTTAATGATAGCAGTAGAACAATTTCTCTAAAATTTAAAAAAAAAAATTATTTCACAATGTCAGATGTCTTAACTTGGAAATAAATGTTGAAATATAGTTCAACAATGCTCTCAATGTTAATGCATTATGAAATGTATTAGTGGCTTTGATAAAGTCCACAAGTTTCTACAGAAGTTATGAAAACAATGTGGAAGCTCATCAGGGTTTGTTTTTCAGTGCCCCCTTTGGAAGGTTTTGTGATGAATCGGGTGTTGGGAGATTACTTTGAGACCCTACTCTACAAGATATTTGTTTCAATTGATGAGCAGACACCAATTGCTGAGGTCAGTTTTAATGGTTGAAACATGTTGCCATTGTGTACATTGTTTACTGAGGTTTTGAATTGTTAAAATTATTTTTGAAAACTAGACTTTAGAAATACCAACTGTAAATATTGTAAGTACTGCTTATTGTAGAGGAAATTAATTTTCATCAGCCAAATCTTATAATTTGTATTAAATGCAGGTAAATGAAGCATTTCAAATAACAATAAAGTGGTTTATTTGAATTATGATGTGCTATATTTATTCAAGCTATTTTAAGAATGCTGTATTGTTATTTTTGCCCCCCAGCTTGCCAATGTCCTACAGATTGATCTCTCTCTTGTCAAGGTAAATCTGTTTTATGGCAATTTTTGTCAGTCATTTACTGTTATTTATTGACTTGCTTGCATTTATAACATTTCTGTGTTATTAAAAACAAGCTCTTCTAGCTGTAAAGTTTTCTAGTTATAGTTTCATAAATATTTAAATTAATTCCTAGCTTTATGCCACAAGCATTTGAAACACATTATTTTCTCATGAAATGTGGATTTTCTTATTAGTAAAGCTTGTTAAACCAGGACAGACACTTATTTCAACAAATTACTTGAGTTGGATTAGAATCAATAATATTTCACTCAACTGTGATTAAGATTGTTTTAGTATCTTGTTTGACTATTAAGCCAGATTTACACAATACCTAGCAACTAGAGATGTAACAGTATTTACTTTGTAAAAGTTCCCTTTTTGAACCTAACAGTACAGTCCATGAAGTAGAGTTCACCTGTTTCTCTGACCTCTGCATTGGAAGGGATAATGTGGTTAGCACTATGCTTAGCCGCCTTTTGTTCACTAACTAGAGTTAGGTATCTATCAGGGACGTTTCACTGACTTGAACCTGGATTTGAACTAGTTACTCTCAGGTTAGCAGTCTAGCTGTACCGCTAGGCCACATCATCCCTATTTAGTATGTACCATCAAGTAAACTAGATGCCACTTGCACCCATACACGTTCCCTAACAAACCTGTTTCTATCAACAGAATGCAGTATCAATGTATTGCCGGCTGGGCTTTGCTAAGAAAAAGTCAACAGACTTTGACCTCTCTGACCTCCATCCATCATGGTGCATCAACCAGGAGTCCCCAACCTCAGGCCCTCTGTCTAAAAACAGCAAGTATGTTTTTCTTTGAAAAATTGGTCTAAAACAGCAAGTATGTTTTTCATTGAGAACTGCATCCAAAAACAGCATTATTTAAAAAAAAAAAACTCATGTTTGGTTACAACTGAAGATTTTTTTTTTACCTCAAACCATCAAGTAGCTCTTTCTCTTAGAAGTAATTTCATGTTTCATAGTTATTTTTTTAGCTGGGTGCATATTTTTTAAGACAGGCTTTTTTTTTTTTTTTGGAAATCCTTATTTAATCTTTGGTTAAATAGATTTATAAACGTGAACTGTACTCATAATATAAATATATTTACTGCAGTGAACCGTACTCATAAGTTTATTCTATAAATGCTAACATTGTTCTTTATTTGAAAACTTGTGATAGTATTAGTTTTTTTTATTTTACCAGTGTTAAATACTGAAGTGTCAAATGTGTTTTCTCGTTGCAGGTCAAATGAAGAGCGCACACTTTTGATTGATGACCTCAGTAGCTCAGTACACCTAGATGCAGGAGGGGAGATCACCAAGTCAAATTCAATTATTGATGAAAGAGGACTTGGAATGGCTGTCGGATTAGATCAATTAGGCAAGCAGAAATCAGCTGTTATTCTAAGGTCACTTCATGAATGTATGCAGGGTTGTAGGAGAAGAATATTGTCCTTATAATTTTGCTCTATTTTTTTATTTGGTAGTTATTCCCTGTATTTGTTAATTATTTTGACCAGTCATTTTGGGTGTTCTGACTAAAAAAAAGTATGAAGTGGGTACATGGTAGATAGCTGAATTTAAACCATTGCCAGAAACTAAGTTTCTACTATTTGTGATGGTTGTTAATAAAATGACAATGCGGGGGCAGTAAATGCTGCTCCTTCATTGACTTAATGTGTGTATTCTCCTTAGAATTGAACAAATCTTTTTTCCCTAGTCTGTTGCGGTACTTGAAGCATTTGTTTAAACTTTTTTTTTTCTTGTAGATTTTAAATATTATTTATGGTAGTCATGCTATTTTATCTAAGTTTTTTTCTCTCTTTAACAGATATGATTTCCCACACATCCAGCCAAACTAAGAGGATAGCCTTCTTGTTTGATTCAACTCTCACAGCATTTCTTATGATGGGAAATTTATCTCCGGTACATACACTGTTACTTTCAAACTCGTTAGATTTTTCTTTCTTTTTTTTATCTGGTTAATGTAAGTTTGTATCCAGTTGAGGTACTTTTGTTGTATCATTGACAGCAGGGTTTAAAAAGTTATGCTATCCCTATGCTTGACGCTAGTTGTAAATAAATTTTATTGTACAATTAACCATAGGAAAATAACTCATTGTATAAGTGACCATAGGAAAATAATTCTATTGTATCATTGATTGCAGGGTTTAAAAAGTCATGCTGTCACCATGTTTGAAGTTGGGAAGCTGAGTGATGAATCTATGGAGAGTTTTCTCTCAGAGTTGGAGAAGGTAGGCCTATAGACACATTGAATATCAGAACAAATAGAATTAGAACTTGCCAAAGTAGGGCTATAGACACATTGATCAAAAGAATAATCAGAATTAGAAGTTGTGTGAATAGTGAATGTTAGGCATTGATTATGGGAGCAAATCTGAATTTGAAGTTGTCAGAGTGGAGAAGGTATAGCCATAAACACATTGATTAACTATTAGAAGTTTTGAAAGTTGTAGTTTGTAAAAATGAATATTGCAGGTAGGCTCAGATGCTGAAGGTGAGGCCAGGCGTTATTTTGACCATGCACTGACCCTGCGGGACACGGTCAGGTTTTTGAGGTACAACAAGGAGTTGGTGGACGAGGCAGACTCCGGGGTTGTCCACAATGGTCAAGGGATTGACCTCCTGCGCTGTGAAAGTCTACTTGGACTTGATCCTGAGACAAGGTCAAGAGTCCTCAACAAAAATTACAGGTAGCTGTCAACATTTTTTTACCTGGATAAATGAGATTCATCTTTAAAACATGGCTAGTTACTTTTTTATAAGGCCTTCCGGCAGTTTTTTTAGCTGGTAGCTTTCGATTTAAGTTAAATGACGTTAGCTTTATAAATGAGAAATGTTAATTATTATAGCGCTTGTTATTTGAATTTTTCTATTCCAGTCTTTTAGTGTCTATGGCCCCACTCAGTAAGGAGATTCGGCCTGTGAGTAGTTGTGTGCCTCAACATATTGGGCCTGCAATTCCTGAGGTAAGACTATCTTCTTCTTCTTTGTTCTTAATTGTAGTGTTGGAAGGGATCACCTCCAGCTCAATTAAGGATGCCTGTCAACTGGTTATGCGCCAAACAGGCCATTGACTCTGATTTCAGCCTGCTTTTCTTTTTGGATTTGCTTCCATAGCCTTTGTCCAACCAAGTACAAACTACAAGGCAGCAGTTGTTTGATTTTTGAGTTGTCTCTCCTAGAAGAGTGGCTGTCCCCAGCTAATTAGCCTCATTTGCCCAAGGGTTCGAACGTGAGACCTTTTGGTTTAGCAACCATGAGCTTTACCACGCTGACCCCCTCATCTAAAGCCTGCAGTTTTTAGATTAGACTAAAGCTCACTTTTTTGTCATTGCAATATTTTTTAATCAAAATGAATAAATGGACACATGTATATTGTGTTGTTTGTTCCAGGTAAGCTCTGTGTGGTTTAAGCTGTTCATCTATCACATCACTGGCTGTGGACCACCCTCACTGTTGTTGATGAAAGGGACCAGGCTGCACCGTTTGCCTCGTGTTTTTAAAGTGAGTATCAAGTGGCAGTTTACACATTGCTCTAAGTAGTAGCCTACCTCAAATTTATTCTTCCTCCAGTTTTGTCTTGTTTTACTTTTATAGGTGACAATCTGTGTACATTTTAAGCAACATTTTAAAATATTCTGTGTACATGTTTCAGGCCTATGACCGTCTTCTTGTAACAACATGGGGTCACGACCCAGGTGTGATAGCAGCATCAAACATCCTCTTGACGCTGAATGACGCACTCAGCCACTCGGCCGTGTTTGTACAGGGTCATGGTGTCCACGCTGAAGGCATGACCGTACACGTCCCTTTCCCATTTGATGAAGCATTAGGTAAATACGCAATTGTTTTAATGATTTTCACCATCTTGTACTCTATCCCATGCAAAATCTAAAGGTCAGACACAGTACTTGTTACACAAGTTGGGAAAGATTTCTTTTATCTCTATAGTGATAAGTGTTTTGTAGATTACTTAAACATAAAATAAATGTCTAATATTTAAAGAATAGGTCTTATACATTATTTTTTTTTCCAGGATCATCCACAGATGGCTACAGTACTTTAAATCTGTCTTTTGAATTTTGTTTTTTTCAAGAACATTCACAGATTTAAACAGGTCTTAAAAATACAAGTTTTTTTTTCTTTTTCAGAAACATTCATAATGGCTATAAAACTTGAAATGTGTCTTTTAAATTTGTGTTTGTTTATTTCAGGAACATTTGCAGGTGGCTATAAAATACTTAATATGTGTCATCTAAATGTGTTGTGTTTTTTTTTGTTTTTTTTGAGGTGCATTTGTGTAATAAATATGTATTTCTTTTTCTCTCAGGTACATTCACAGATGGCTACCATCAGTGCCACCAGGCCATAAACAAGCTGAGCCAGACACTAGATCTGGTCCACACTTGTGGCTATGTGACCCTCCTCAACCCTCACAAGGAGGAGATCCACGAGGACGGCCTTGAACCTGACCTGCCAGAAGCTCACATGGCCACAGAGATGAGCCCAGGAAGTGTGGAAACATCTTCCCAGCCCAGTGGCAGCACCACGTCTGCTGCTGAACAAGATGCGGCACTCCTGCCGTGCAATGGTTTCAAGGACCAGCACTCCGAGGAGGTTTTGCTCTCAGAGCTAGACAACTTGGAAAACAATGTCTTCTCTGAAAACCCTGACACTCTGCAAGAGACAAAACATAACCTTCATTTAGACGTAAAGAGGCCAGATTGTAAGTCTGTGTTACCTGGCACTGGCATTAAGTCACCTGAGAGTCTACAAGAAAGTGAGTGGTTGCTCTTGGATCTCTGCTATGGCCTGCCTTTGTTCAACACAAGTCTCAACAAGGAAGTCTGCTCAAGGATTTCTAGACTGAAACTCTTCAAGCAAGAAAGGTAAAATAGTTTTTTTATACACATATTTTCTTGAATTAATTAAATAGATTCTGACACAAATTAGAAGTACTTTTGAGAATTTATAGACCCCAAAGTTAGACTGAACATGTAAATGTTGATTTTATTGGAACCTATTTAAGGACATGTGAGAGAAAGTCACAGAGCTTAAGCCATACAATGAAAATAAAACAAATAACGCAAAAAATTTATTTAAAAAATGTAGCCCCATTAACACAAAATATACAATATACACTAAGTACTATTTCAAAATTTTTAACACTTTTAAAAATTTTTACTTGTGTAAAGCCAGCTTAACAAAGGCACCTGAATAAATCTAAGTTTTGGGGTTGTTTTATTTCATGCCTATTTTCATCTATTTGAACAGTTTGCAAGAGCTGCTCCAGTCTAGCCGCATGCTGTCTCTAAAACTGTTAGAATTCATCATGGCCTGGCAGGTACCACTGACTTTCTCCATATCTTTCATTTTATGGGTGCTTGATTGGATTATAAGATTTTGTATTAGTAATTTTTTAATTATAACTCTTCAGTTAAATTAATTATAGTGAAAAATTAATCATTTTTCTTTTTGGTCCAAAATAGGTTCCAAACATAGTTGCAGACGTGGACAATCAAGGCATCCCACAGAACAAGGATGAGCACTGCTCACTTTTCCCATCTCAGAATCTGTTTTTTGATGGAACAAATATTCTTGTATGGAAGGGGCATTAGTAGGTTGTTTTTTCTGGTTAGGAATCATCGAGGACAATATTTTGAAGATGAAAATCTAATGGCCATTAGCAGCCTTCAACTCTGGTATGACCAGCACATGCTACAGGTGTACACCTGTTCTGACCACGAACTGTTGCTACACTTATGTAGCATCTGTGACTGCCTACCTAACATTTTTGAAAGATTTCAAATCATTTCCACAACTTCATGTTTTTGTTTTTTTTTAAAACACAGAAGTCTCAGTTTTCTTAATTTTTGTAAATTAAAAATAAAATCCTTTAAAGTAAGGATATAGTCTCAAACTTGTACCTCAGTTTTATGAAAAGTTGTTAGGTGTATGAGCAGATGTAGCAGCTAAGTAAAGAAATGTGTGATATCTTTTCTTATGAGTCAAATAAGTTTGTTAGAAAATTGTGGAGCTGCATGATTAAGGTCTCTTTGTTATGCCTCTTCTTCGATCAGCTTTTGGAATCGTAACAATGCCTTATCAGGTTCAAAAGATTGTTCACAAGGAAATAAAATACAATTTTTTTTTGTCTTGTGAGATCACAGAATTTTGTTTTAGTTTAATTTTTTTGCTTTACACACAGAAATCATTCCTTCTATGTGACAAGTCATACATTTACTAGTCAAGCTTTAAGAATTAGTTTATTAGTGTTGTATTAAGATGACAGTTATTCAGCTTTAATGAACAGTTTCCTCTCCTTCAGGTTTAACTGTTTCTAAAAATGTCCTTTCACTGGTTCAAACAAATAGTGTGTGGTTAGCTTGTTTATGAAGAGACTATTTCAACATTTGTATGGATAAAGATGTACAGCTTGCTGTTTTATTGATGTTTGTTTATGTTATCCAATTGTTTATATGTAACAAAATATTTGTTAATGGGTAATTCTGTATATAGTTCTAATTATTTAAGATGTAAATAAAATGAATGTTGGATGGGAACATGCACTACATAACATTTATTATGCATTCACCTTCTTTGAAACATCTTGTATGGAAAGGCCCCAATGTTTTTTGTTTTTGAATGTACAACCACATGACAGGCATAACCAACAGTTTGAGATATCTTTTGTAAGGGCTTGTCTATTTATGACATGCAATTTGATCTTTTTTTTTTAAATGATGGCATCAAGTTCCAACTCCCAGCATAAATGTCCATCCCCCCCCCCCCCCCCCATATGTTCAACTCACTACCTATGTATCACTCTGTATGTTGTTGGATTTATTCAATACGTCGTTTGACTCAGATTCTACCAAGAGTTTATTAAAACATACACATATGGAACAAATATTTTTAATTTAAAAATGTCACCAGTAGTATTGTTAAAATGAATGGTGCATCTGTTTTTTTGTTGATGCGTTCATTTTATTGAGCATTATAACTGGTTATTTCTATTTTATAAAACACAGTTTGTTGTAAAGTAAACTGTTAGAATTATTTTCCACACAATGTCACTGTGGGTTGTTAGTTTGAATGTTCATGGAGATCTGTTCTCAACATGCCTGATTATTTTTCATTCCATCACACAATCCAATCCACGTATAAGCATTTTGATTTGTTCTCAAGATGTCTTGCTGTATAGAGAGCTAGCTGTTGCTTTAATTCAATGTGATATACAAAACCCTATGTTATTACAGGGAATTTAAATAAAAAAAACAACTAATATTTACCTGCAGTATGTTTATCAGATTTAAAAAAAAAACTATTTAGTTTTTTAAACATGTTTCAGTTTAGTTTGGTTTATAAAGACTATTTCCCACAGGATAGCTGCAATATATGACTTTGCCAGTTGCAATACATGACTTTGCCAGTTGCAATAAAATTTAGCCAAAAAAGTCATACATTGCTGAGTGAGTCATGAAACACAATAATTTTTTTTTTGTTTTAGCAAAACTGTGTCTTCCTGTCAGATTTTCTTTAAATACCAGAGATATTTTATCATTTAGTAAAGAAATAATTAATTGAAATAAACATGCTTGAATAATAGGACTTGTTTGACTATATTTGTATATCAGTGATATTTTTTTGGTATGGATGATGTATTGTTGAAATTGTTTTATCTGGGTCACGTGTGCTTCTGATAATAATTTAACAATTGGTGCTGTTGAAATCTTCAGGCGTTTTTACTTTGTATGGTGGGGGAGGGAATAAAAGGAAGGATGAAGAGAATAAAATAATATTACTTGTCTAAGATTACTTATTACTTTTTTTCCACCTTTAGTAATGAACATCTAAATATTTTTAATAAGGCCAGCTGATGTGTTAAAACAATTTATTTTCAAAGTAATATTTTTGTGCAAACAAGGTGAATTATGTTCTAATAATTAATTTGTGATCATTATCAGTTTATGATTACTTATTTAAGTATCCACTGTAATGCTGAGTTAGACTTTCAACACACTTCGCCCACCAGTTACAATAACAATGAAAGGAAGACCAGTTACATTAACAATCAAAGGGAGACAACTCTTTCAACAACATCAGTAATGACAACAAAAAAAACAGCCAACTTTTACTGTAAATTATTTATTGTAACATTGGCTTCAGGGGGAGCCAGATAAAATAACCACAGGTCCTGTTAAAACCTTTTTACAGGGCCTAGCCAAAAAAAAATATCAAAAGCATATGTTAAAACAAGGACAAGTCTGCCAGACGGTGGCGTTAAGGGGCAAGATAATGTCCAGTTACCAGAGTGACCATCAACCAGTTGTGTGTCCAGCGGCTTGTGACAACAATGTCCATTTAGCAGACTGAACCATCAACCAGTTGTGGCTAGTGACAACAATGTCCAGTTGCCACTATCAAGGATGACCATCAACAAGTTGTAACTGGTGGCAGCAATGTCCTGTAGCCAGTAAACAATCTGAGCCTACTGTACAGAGAGCCATAACAAATTTACACTAAACCCTCAGAATCAGCTCTAGAATGTGGAAAGTGGTTCTCTCCTATATATGATTGGAAGAGTTGTATCCCTTGTAATATAGGCAAAAATTCAAGAAAAAGTGATGCCTATATTTTTATGTAGGGACAAGTGCTTTGTATTATTTATTTGGTGATTATTGGAAGTTTAATTTGACATGTTGATAATATTGGTAAATGTGGTACCAACTTTTACAAATAATTAGCATAACAAACTGGCAAGTGTGTAAAATGCATCTCATTCATTCTCAGAATGAAACCACCTAGCGAGTATTGAAAGGGAGGAAAGATGGAAAACAAGATGAGCAAAAGAGCTTTACATGTATAGAGAGGGGGGAAAAAAAGTGGTTGTGAAGTATCACACCAGCTCCTAGCTCAAGCAAAAAGTTTTACAGAAACAAAAAATGTGAAAATAAAGTACATGAGATTGATACAACAAAATAAAATCTAAAACAGCTTGCTGTTAATATCTACAGTAACAAAACAAAACAAAAGATTTAAAAAAAAAAATTAATCTGAACACCACTTTTATATCACAATATTTTTTTTTAAGTCACAGCATATATTATTTTAATAACATATAGCAGGTAATAATTTTTTAAAAAGTTATAGTAAGGAAAGTAGCCCAATTTACCACAGTGCTTCAAAAAATTCAAATGTAGCAGTAATGAGGGTACAATGGTTAAGATAGCCTTTGTCAGGTTGGAAAAAAAAAATGTGTCTAAAATTAAATATGGAATAAAGAGCGGTTTATACTTTATAACACTGATTATGCTTTGGCAATATACACAATAATAGGTTAATAAAGAGAAAGTGTATGGCACCACTAGATTACACAGTAGTACATTTAGCAGGTGCAGAAGTTCTACAATTTGGTTAAAAACGTAAGTTACAGAAAATAAAATTAACTTGCATACCAATGAAATCTGGCATATGGAAAATAAATAGGAACTACATCAAACTTAAATATGCAGCTCGTCCATAAAATAAAAATAAAACCTTCAAAGGCACGATCTTTGACTGCAATATCCATAGCAACATTATGCAAAGGATGGACCAACTACAATGTTCAGAAAATATAATTCTTAACCAAGCTAGAATAGAGGTTTTGTGGAAAAGCTTGATTAATATTTTTTGGTGTTAAAGCCAGCTGTAGTTCCATTATCCGCTGTAAAAATAACCAGCTTAGCCAATAACCAGTATTTATATTAAAAATGGACCCACCACCATTGTATGTAAGTTGTTATAACACATTTAATAAAATCTAAAAACAAAAATAAAATAGTTTTAGACAATAAATTTAAAACAAAAAAAAAATGCTAGTTAATACCATCACTGATAAGATTAAATATTTTTTAAAAGTATCGCCAATACCCTATTAATACAACAAATTCTGTTATTTTTTTAAAGCAAGAGCTTCTGCAAGGAGATAAGAAAGCTTTAAAGGCAAGCCTGTCAATATTTAGTGACTACAACATATCACTTCTTTGTTTTAAAAGAACTTAAACAATTTGCAGGTACAGCTAGCTAAATTTTAAAAAATCATTTTTATCTTACTGACACCACCTAATAGGTAAATATTTAAAAAAAAAAAACAACCTACTGAATTTTAAAAGGAATACAAAAGTTGCTTAATTAAGCACTAGTATAGATAACAGATCAGTGATTACACAATTTTTTTTTTGAGACTTTGCCACTATTTTCCTCCATTACAGAGCAAATGACAATATAAATATATTTTAAACAAAAGGTTTTTAAGTACTTGGGTTCTACAACAGCTGTAACTATTTAATGGCGCTTCTTCTTATTCCGCCTCCCCTTCTGTTTGGCAGCAGCAGCAGCAGCGGCAGAGCCACTGTGGCCCCAGCTTGTGTCCTCCCCTGAGTGGGGTGACCCCCATGAAGCAGACTGACCATCCCCTGCACTGGCATTGGACTTGAATAAACGGTTGATGAAATCTTCTAGGCTTGGTTCTCTATAGGGAGTGTGAACAAGGTAACTTTTACGGCTTTTAAAAAAAAAAAATTCCATGTTTTTCATTACAAACTGCAAATGGTATACATTTCTTTTTCATAGTTTATTGATTTTGTGCATGAACATTAATATTTTAAAACACCTGGTTAAAAAAAATTCACAGAAGAATTCCAAAAATATTACACTGTTTTAAACTATAAAAAGAAGTGATACTTTTAAAAATCTTTAAAAAAAACAACCCCAAAAACTTCTTAACAAAACAAAAGAACAAACATTACCCAGATTGTTGTCGCTTGTTTCTCTTACTACCATCAGTTGCTATACGATACATTACACCATGTACATTAGCTTTCATATGTTTGAAATGTTCTTTCTATGGAATAAAGACAAACGCACCATTAAAACTCATGTTTGTTCTTTCTATAGAATAGAGATAAATGCACCATTAATAAACATTTAAAATCATAGTTTTGGGTTATTTTAAGATAGAAATGTATTCAATCCTTACATGGCAGGCCATCCATTCGGTTATATCAAAAACATTGCCCTCCATCAAAGCAAAGTAATGCCATCGAAATCCTAGCATGGTAGACTCAGCCCATACATCTCCCTGTAGGAAATTCATGTTATCATTAGTCAAATAATACCTTACACAATTCTACCGAAGTTTTATAATTTAGTTAGTCAAATTTATATTTGTGCAGTCATTTAAAAAGTGGTGGAAGAGGAGTGCTGAATGAAATGCTCTAGTTAAATAAATAAATGACCTCTTTGGCAGCATGTCTGGTGTTGCATCTTTGACAAAATCTGGCACTATAAAATGGTCGATCTACAGGAAACCTTTGATGCTTGCCTGCACAGTTATCACATCTCATAATGTTGGCAGCCTAAACATTGTAAGACAAAAAATTGAACAGTGTTTCATAGTGACAACTAATTTAAAATAATCTGAATTTAAAACTGATAGCTAAACTATAAATTTGTAAGTTAATGATGAGATGTTTGAATGACATGCCAGGAAAAAGATTTTTTTTTTTAACAACAGTACAGACCTCTTGAATTTTAGTTTGCAGTTTTGATAACATTTCAGCAAATTCTCTCTGTAACAAAAGAAAAAAAAAGATTTTACATTATTATTGAACATATTTGAAAAGATGAATTAAAACTTTGTCCATCTTTTTAAAAGATCTATACATTTATATTTAAACCAAAAATAAAGTTTATAATTCACCATAGCATCTGCCTCATTAGCCTCCTGAGTGTGACTGTCATATTGCTTTCTTCTACTCTGAAATTTCAAAATTTTAATAAAATGCTGAAAAACAGAATTTTAACTGCATCTTACAGAATGCTTTTTTACTTTCTCGTATATACGAAGTATAGAGAAAGTCTTGTAATCGTGCAAAAAAAAAAAAACGATATTTTTACAAATCTCGACGTTTTACACCTCACTGATACGGAAAAACATAATTTTGCAATCTTGTCCGTATGTCTGTCTGTGTGACTGTCTGTCTGTCCGTCTGTAAACACTATAACTTGAGTACCGTCACAGCTAGGTTGATGAAATTTCATACATAAGTATTTTATCAAAATCGTAGATCCGTATCAACTTTTGAGCGATTTCCGAAAAACGGAAGTGGTACTTTTCCTACTTTGAATTTTTCAAAAGCCTATAACCTGAGTACTATTTCAGATAGATAAATGAAATTTCACATGTAAGTAAAAGATCTAATTCTCTACCTTCTGTTAAATTTTGAGTAATTTCCGTTGACTGGAAGTACTACTTTACGCTACTTCCGATTTCTCAAAAAACTAATGTAAATTTTTAAAGTACTAATAATATTGCGCACTATTATGCGGTTTTTTATTTGGCGTTCACTTGGTGTGCAATTAATTTGTCTACGAGATTTTATTCTATTTTTAAAACTTTAAGTATTTAAAATGGATTAAAAATCATGTCTATAGCCCGAGTTCCCATCCCCTGTTATTTTATATAAGAATATTCGAGAAAGTTTAGGGGAGATCACTCCCGGTTCATTATTTTTTAAAATTTGAATTAAACTGGTTAATTTCAGTTATATTTTTTTTGTTAATGTAAAAAGTATTTAAACAGTTCAAAATAACCTACGCAACTAGGTTGACTTATAAGTATTATATCCAAACACAAATTAAATGAAAACTTACAGAATCTCCTATCATTTCAAATGCATGGCCTAATATTTTAAATGCTTCTTCAGCTCCAGGTTCTTGGTTCTAATAAATGAAAAAACAACAACAATATTGTGTTTTCTCACTAAACCTTGATCAAATATGTCTGATATTATAATATTGTTATTCTAAAACAATAGCAACAATCCATTTTGCTTGTATAATAGAATTTCTTGACAGAATTCTAGACTAGTCTGATAGACTAAACAGTAAAACTAACATGTAAAGTCTGCAATGCTTTGAATATTAAAGATTGCACCAATGATTCTAAAAACAAAATACTAAAATTCTCAACCAATTAAAAAATGTAGCATTACAGAAAAACCCTACCTTGTCAGGGTGTACTAAAACAGCTTGTTTCCTGTAATATTTCTTTATATCTTCATCACTAGAATCTGCCCTTAATCCAAGTATACTGAAAACAATAGTTACAAGTTGGTCTATAAAGTGGAGACAATCATATACAAATATTGATCTTTACTTCTTTATTTAACTGTATAAATAATTTATAATAAAAGTATGTTTCATTTATTAATTATAAAATTTTTAACATTTTACCTGTAGGGATCTTTTCCTTTACAAGCCAGCAAGCGTTTCATAGCTTCTTCACCTAAAAATTAAAATTAAATCTCAATACTTTTATAACATACAGAAATTGAAAAGGAAGAATATAAAATCTGCTACCATTAAACAAGAATTTGAATGGCTGTCTTAATGAGTAAATACATATTTATCACTTTTACATAATTTTAAAAAATAACATTTGATTAAGTTTCAAATCAAGTCACGAAAATAATGTTAGAATTTCAGAACACCCTAGTAAAAAAAATATCAATGAACATAAAAAATAGTCTTACCTGTCGCAGGTAGGCTTATATTTTCTTCTAGTCCCACACGGCGTCGCAAGTATTCTCTAGAGTTCCAGCTGTTTCCTTCTTTTGTGTCAAACTGGCCCTTGCCAAGTTTTTCTTTCACCATGTTCCACCCTTTACCCAGCAGCATCAAGAAGAGATGAACACTGCCCACAGCACTGAGACCAAACAAAAGTTTTATTTAACTATAGCTTTAAAGACACTACACTCATTATTTATATTACATAGGCTATAAAGCTTAGAAATTTTCAATTTTTAAGTGTTTAATATGTTAATCTCAAATGAAATATGTGCTTACATGTACAAGACTAAGCCAAACAAATAAATTAAAAGGTTTATCAATGAGGAGATGAATGTATTTCCCCATTGGCTGAACTTCTCCCAACAGACATAACACCACTCTTCTGTTAATGAATACAAGAAATCAAGGTGTTATTTGATCAATGACAAGAATATTATCAAGATGTACATACTTTAAAACTCTTCAGCAAAGGAAGAAATGAAAATATGCAGGCTGATCCTTAACAATACATTTAGGCAAAATGTAAAATAATTACATAAATAGTTAAAATAAATAAACATAATAGCTTATGAAAGTGAAAAAAACAAGCAAAGACAGTAAAAAAGAGCTAGAACATACCAATTTTATCTTTATCAAAATAGTCAGACAAGAATCCATTTCCTGCCTCCTGATGTACACCATCAGCTTGATCCACATCAGTGTGAGAGTTATCTGAATTCCTGTTGCGTCTTTCACGCCTATACAATCCATTTGTTGGCTGTAAACCATCATGAAAGCTATTTAAACCCTCAGAATAAACTATAAACATATCCGTCTAAGACTATATTAAATAAATGAAAATTTTCATTAATGTAATCTATGCATTGAAGTACATTAACCCACAGCTAAAGTTTCTACAGCCACTTTATTTTGTTTAGAAATGTAACAAATTTTCACAAACCTTTCCACTTGAGCGTTTTTCTGTCCTTGATTCCTTTTCTTTGGGCAGGTCGTCCAACTTTCCTGATTTCCCTTGACCACTTCCAGCTGCTGTTTGATTGGTCAGCTTGCTGTCACGCAAAACATTATTTATATAATCATGCTGTCTTGCGCTAGATGACAGTTTTGATGTGTTGTTGGCTGTTGGTTTACCATTATTCAAAACTGTATCACTAGGGGGCGACGCTTTTCCTGGCTCGTTGTGGCTCAAGTTTTCCTTTGACTTGCCTTGGACTGAAGAGGACTTTGGCTTGGTGTTTTTAGTTTGAAAAATTCGACGAGGATCAAAAAACAATTTCTGAGTCTCCGCAGGTGAGTGGTTAGCCGGTTTCTGATCTTGATTTGTATCAAGGTAGGTGGCGCTGCTGGAAGGCGACGCCAGATCTTCAGCATTTCCTGTGGAGCTGCCCCCACTGCTTCCGCTTCCCCTGCGGCTCCTGGCCACTTGGGATATGCTTTCAGAACTACTGCTGTGGCTTCCAGGAAAAAGGACGCCATCGTTAAAGTTGTCCAGTCCGTAGCGGTTAGGGTGGGGTTGGTTCGTATCTCCAGTCTGAGGTGATTTCGGCCAAAACTTTGAGCCAGATGAGGTCCTTTTCACTTGAGGTCGTAACGGCTTCACATCTTTTTTCAACTGTCGAGTCACTTGACCTCGACTGCTTAGATCCAGGCTGGGCTGATCATTCTTTCCAGCAGGGCCGAGCTTTGGTGTTTTAGCGATGTCTGAATAAGTGGGCTTCGAGGTGTCAGATACCCCCTGTTCTGGTACGACATCAGGACTAGGAGGATGAGCCAACCTTGAACTTTGATCAAACGAATTGGACTTTTTGCCAAAACTATTTTCAGCACTACCCACAGCTTTAGGGGTAACTTCAGAGTATATGTGACTTCCTCTGTCTACGCTGATACCTAAATCTAAGTTGATGTTGACTTTACTGCGAGGTCGTAGCTGGTCCCTAGCCCCATCGTCTCCAGAAAGGGGCGGGCTGGGGGAACTTCCTGTAAGGTGCTTAGCACCTGGAAATATAGGAGGAGGAGAGCTTGGGTCAAACAGAGGAGGTGAGTACATCTGATGTACATTCTCACTAGGCATTCCAAATGATAAATGCTCGGCCCCTTCTGGAAGTGTGTTCTCGTCTAACGTACTATAATTATGAAATACTGGGTGTGTAGCGTCAGATTTTAAAAAATTGCTGGAAATTTCAGTTCCTAAGTTATTAGCAGCAGCAGATGTATAGAAATCATGTCTATGGAGAGAGGGCAGACTGTAGTCGACAGGCTCGTAACCAAAGCCATGTTCAGGTAGTGGCGACTCCTCTTGGAATAGGTAGTTCTGGTGTGAGAAGTTATTTCTTCCTGTGGGAACTAAACCATGTCCAGAGATGGGGTACTGAGGAGTGGTACTCTCCGAATACCATTCAAATTGGTTCTTGCTTGCGAATTCATTCTGCCCAAAGCTTGCTGGGGGCGTGGTTAGTTGGTGAGCTGAGGGTGATTGATGCTGGTGATTAGGGTGCACATCATGTTTAGGGGGTGAAAGTGGCTTAAAATCTGGAAGGTCCATGGGGTTCCATGTGTAGAGATTTCTATGCTGGGGCATGCCAGAAAACTGCGTCCAGCGTATGCCATCGTTTAATGGGTCAGGTGAGCCTCCGGTCACAGGCGTAGCGGCCAGCTCTGATAGCTGTCTAGAGAGTTTCCCCAAGGCATCTTCAGTATCATCCATTTTAACCTAGGGCAAACTTAACATCTGAAAGAAGAGTGTTGTAAAGTTGCATTGAAATACAAATAGTAGATATATAAAACTTAAATATACTTAACCAACAGTTTTTTTTAATTAGTTGACTTAATTTATTTTTATGGAATAACTAATATTGGTTAATGAAGGTAATATTTATTTTCACCATACATTCCTTAGATGATCATGTAATACAATTTTAAACATTTCTATAAATACTATTGACACATGTTTGAAACATGGTTCATTTTGAAAAGGTTTTAGAACTATGCATAGCTATAATTTACTGAAAAGTAGATTTATTTTTATATAAATTAACCTACAGTGTGGGGGTGATATTTCTAAAGAGTTTGCACCTCAGCAAAGTAACTGTATAATAAAATGAGTCAATCCTTTTAAGTGCTAATACAGAACATATAAGAAGTAGTCAAGTCTAGCTAAATAAATTTAAAAAGTGATTCAAGTTAAATGCAGGACTTAATGTTTGAATATTATATCTTATCACTAAATAGATAAAAATCTAGGCCTAACTACCAAATCTTTCTAAGTAAGTTAAAGTTTGTTTTCTTACTAAAACATCTAGCTTAATCTAAACAACTACAGACAAAGAAATGACAAGATATTTCAAGCTAAAAAACTGTCAGATCTAGTTTATCTATCATACCATTATTATAATGAGCTATTCTTTTATTTTATTCATTGTGTTGTCTTCATTTTAATCAGTTTATTTTGTAATGAACTAAGTTAAGAGTAAAAATAACCACCTTTTCAATCACAATTTCATTGGTTAACTTTTTAACACCTTTACAAAAAATATTCCCATACACAATTAAAGTTAAAAAAAAAAAAAATCTAGTATACATAAACTGAGAGACTTACAAGGATACAAAGTTGTGTAAAATTTAAACTTGTTTGTTGCGGTATAGGTTGGGGAAGAAAGTAACTTTGTGTTCTAGTAAACCTTCATGTAGCAGCAGCACGTAGGACACAAGAAGTTTTAACTGTTGCAAGTTATGAATATATATAAAACCAATGGGACATAAAAATGTATTGCTATTTTTTATCTAGCAGTGGTTAGCATAACATTTCAGAACTGCAAACTTAGATATTTCTATGAAACCTTTTTTAGTTTGTTTAATTGTGGCTGCTCATATTTAAACAAGACAGAATTATAACTGGTCCTGTAAGAATATCATCTTGGTGTCAGAAAAAAAATATATTTTACATTTAGAAGCTAATTAAGATTTTTCTCAGAAACCATGTTGATACCCTGCAACATGAACAAGTGAATCCATAACACAATTATCATCAACCACAAGTAGCATACTATCACTTGACAATCACTTCTCATGTGATGGAAGAACTTTAATTTATAAAGTGTCAATTACATTCCTGTCGTATAGTGTCACCAATCAAGCAACCCTTGTCATAACAGCAACCAAGACCCCTGTCACATGAGCAACCAAGACCCCTGACACATGAGCAACCAAGACCCGACACATGAGCAACCAAGACCTGACACATGAGCAACCAAGACCCGACACATGAGCAACCAAGACCCCTGTCACATGAGCAACCAAGACCCCTGACACATGAGCAACCAAGACCCCTGACACATGAGCAACCAAGACCCCTGACACATGAGCAACCAAGACCCGACACATGAGCAACCAAGACCCCCGTCACATGAGCAACCAAGACCCCTGACACATGAGCAACCAAGACCCCTGACACATGAGCAACCAAGACCCCTGACACATGAGCAACCAAGTCCCATGTCATATAAGCAACAAAGATCCATATGTAATAATAGTGTATGAACAAACTACCTCAGTGTATGAACAAACTACCTCATAGCATCAAAAAACTACCTCAGCATATGAACAAACTACCTCAGTGAATGAACAAACTACCTCAGTGTATGAGTGTATGAACAAACTACCTCAGTGAATGAACAAACTACCTCTCTAATGAACAAACTACCTCAGTGTATGAGTGTATGAACAAACTACCTCAGTGTATGAACAAACTACCTCAGTGTATGAGTGTATGAACAAACTACCTCAGTGAATGAACAAACTACCTCTCTAATGAACAAACTACCTCAGTGTATGAGTGTATGAACAAACTACCTCTCTAATGAACAAACTACCTCAGGGTATGAACAAACTACCTCAGTGAATGAACAAACTACCTCTCTAATGAACAAACTACCTCAGTGTATGAGTGTATGAACAAACTACCTCAGGGTATGAACAAACTACCTCAGTGAATGAACAAACTACCTCTCTAATGAACAAACTACCTCTCTAATGAACAAACTACCTCAGTGTATGAGTGTATGAACAAACTACCTCAGGGTATGAACAAACTACCTCAGTGAATGAACAAACTACCTCTCTAATGAACAAACTACCTCAGTGTATGAGTGTATGAACAAACTACCTCTCTAATGAACAAACTACCTCAGGGTATGAACAAACTACCTCAGTGAATGAACAAACTACCTCTCTAATGAACAAACTACCTCAGTGTATGAGTGTATGAACAAACTACCTCAGTGAATGAACAAACTACCTCTCTAATGAACAAACTACCTCAGTGTATGAGTGTATGAACAAACTACCTCAGTGTATGAACAAACTACCTCAGTGTATGAACAAACTACCTCAGTGTATGAACAAACTACCTCATGGCATCAAAAAACTACCTCAGCATGTGAACAAACTACCTCAGTGAATGAACAAACTACCTCAGAAAATTATCTTAGCCTATGAACAAGCTATCTCAGATCGTGAACAAACTACCTCTGCGCATGAATAAAAGACCTCAGTGAATAAACTACCTCAGTGTATAAACAAACTAAGACCCCTGTTGTTTGACCAACCAAGACCCATGTCATGTCAACAACAAAGATCCATATCATGTAATAAAGGCAATTAAGATCCCTTTGATGTTAGCAGAGAAACCAAGATTCTGAGGTTTTTTATTGATAGGGGGAAAGTGTAATTATTCAACCCTATTGCCCATCCACCCCCACAACACCTAGTTTAACTGCTGAGCTCCCCACTTCATTTTCTTTCAGACATCTTTTGGAAGGGCACTCCCCCCCCCCATTATCAAATATATACTTTGTGTTGAAATATATAACTAGCTAGTTGTCCCCCCCCCCCCCCCCTGAGAAAAATGTGATAGAAACCTTGATTCTGAAAGCAGAGACAAAGAAACAAAACAAAATAATATGTATATCTAGTATGTAGCACTCCAAATCAACCTTTTATAATCACAATATAATATAATTAAAAGTATGATGCAAATCTTACAGACAAGGAACTTAGTAAACATTTTTGGCCCTTCTAAATTCTAAACTACATTATGCCTACCTTTTTAAATTACCTTTTAAATAATTATGTGTGCCCTAGCTTTTTTTAAAATAATGTAATTACTAGATCTAGTTAGGGTCTAGGCTATATTTGTTATTTTTTAATATTACTAGAATCTAGATCTATTAGGCCTATTAAAATATTTTTAATTTTAAGATAAACGGATCCAGGCAATATGCCAGAACGTGAAACTAGGGCAGGCAAATAAAACCAGCTCAACTGTTAAATGAAACACGTCAAATCACCCACAGCTACCCATTAGGATTGAGACCTGGTATTAAATTAGGCATTTGTGTATAACACAAACAAATAGAGAAGTAATATTGTTACATGGCAGTTGCTAACAACCAGTGACTCGGTGTTGTCTTCTCGGTCTCATGATTCATGCAGATTTTTTTTTTTTTAGAATCTGGGTCCTGCAGTTTTATAAAAAAAATTTTACATAGCTATTCGAATGTCAAACATTTCTAGAAATGAAAAAAATAAATAAATATGTTTGCAAATAATTTTTCTCTGTTACTGACACTAACAAGGCGTAAACAAACGGCAGTGTTTGCAACAACTTAGATACTCGCCACCTCGGTAAACCCTCTGTTATTCTCGGTAGCACTGCAACTCGAAAGTATCGTTAGAGCTCGTGTAAAACGAGATTTCACTGGGTTTTATGTGGTTTGGATATTTTGTTTGCATTTTTAATAATTTTTCAACCTAAACAAATGTCGTGACAATTCTAGATTGCTGTAGCCTCCTTTTCTGTATAAAATATAACCATCATAATAGAATCTAGATCTATTAAAAAAAAAACAAGAAGAAAACTACTCGATAATTACATCGATTTGTAAAAAAAAATGTTGCCGATAATTTATTTATCGACCCCCCCCCCCCCCTCCCCGGTGTTGGAATAAAAAGTCAAGAATGCTTATGGTAGGCAAATTCTAAAAAAAATGTTAAAATGTTATCACTACACAATAATCAGAGTCGTAGCGTCAGATTAAAGATCAGCACTGTTAGCAATATGGTGATTCTAAACCAGTGGTCCTTAATCTGTTTGGAGGTACTGCACCCCACCAGTATCACATGCGCATACACCGAACATTTTTTTATAGTTCTATCGTCCGCACTGACAAAATCCGATATGACTCATGTGTTTTGACCTCCGCCGAACTCATGAGACTCATTCACCGAACCACAGAGGCGTAGCGACCCTTCCCGGCGCCCGGGGACATACTTTCAATTTGGCGCCCCCTTGGGAGCAAATTTTCGATTTGCACCCCCCCCTCGAACTTTTCATTTGCACCCCCCCCCCCCTCAAACTTTCGATTTGCACCCCCCCCCCCCTCGAACTTTCAATTTGGCGCCCCCCCCCTAAGGTCGGCGCCCGGGGACATATGTCCCCCCCCCCCCCGCTACGCTACTGCCGAACCACTAGGGTTCGATCGAACTCGGGTTAAGAACCACTGTTCTAAACTGTTTTAGCCTTATCAACAGTTGCAATAATATTTTCAACTGGGGGGGGGGGGAATATTCCTACTTAGAGTTTTGGCGTTGGTCACTCAAGAATTTTTTCATCACATTTTGATTTTAGGCTTGCGTTTTTATGGGTTAACTTAGCATACTAGTTTAGATTATATGGACTCTAGATCTAGATTATAATGTTCTAGATCTAGACTTGTTTTATAAATATAAATTCGCGTCATTAATTCATTAGGTTGGTTACTAAAATAAAAATATAAAATACCACACCAGTCAACAATAAATTATAAAGCAAAAGCTTCATTTACTTATTTATTTCATATTTTGTGATTGAACACTAAAATAAATTTAGTTATTTTACGGAACGTTACAAATCATAAAGATCTAGAAAATCTAGATAATATATGTCTAGATTCTAATTTTGCGAATTTTCCCCTGTTTATTTAAATTTTCTAGATTCTAGATCAAGAATCTAGATCTAGATTAGATCTAGTTCTAGACTCTTAGATCTAGATCTAGATAAGATCTAGATTTGGATTCCATTCATATTTTAACACTTACACTACTTTCATAGTACTTTCACATGGCTTGTTTGCTTCGATGTTTTAGGCCTAACTTCTAACTAATAAATAAAGTAGTTCTTTGATCTGCATATGTGAAATATTGTATACATTTTGTTACAACGTCAACCATAAAATAACGATAAATACGATATGATTTTTAAAATATTGGCTTTTTTCATTTACTTACAATTTTTTTAGCTTATTTATTAGATTAGGTCTATTTCAAAATCAATGGGAATGTTAGTGAATGCGCCAGCGCTTTTATCAATTTGAAATGTTTTCAAATTTATAACATTTTTAGCATTTTTAATAATACTTTAAGTGGTAATTTCTTTAAAATTGACTTTTTCTAGAAAATCTGTTTAGAATTTTAACTTAAGCGGTAAACAGACATGCATTAATCAATAAACAATAATAAACACATTATAAAATTTGGTTATCAAGCTCAGGAAACTGTTCTATCTGGCAATTCGGGTCAAAATTCAAAGGTCAAACAGCACATGCACTTTTCCGAGAAACCGCAGTGGCCTAGTCCTCGTTTTGTTTACGATAATAAACATAAACAACATGGAGCACGAAAGCATTCTCAAAAAGCTACGGGCATCTTATTCACATTTAGGCTTGGAAGTTTACCCGTTTAAGGTAAATTAAACGTATCTTTTTCATTTAAATTTGAAGTAGACCTTGAAATCTTAGAATAAATAAAATATTTATGTAAAAAAGTAAAAGTTTTTAATAATTTAATTAATTTTAATTTTAAACTTAAACAATGAATAAAAATAAAAGAATTTAATTTATTTAATTTATACTTTATAGATAGACTAGTTAAGATAGGCTATTTAAAATTTAAATAAAAGACATAATATAAAAAAAGTTGTATAAACTTAAACAAAAGAGGCTTTAAACTTTAAATAAATAAATAGATTAAATACTATATATAGTAAATTGGCTGCAGAGTTTGCACCCCCCCCTCAAGATTTTGATTTGCACCCCCCCCCCAAACTTTCGATTTGCACCCTCCCCCGCCCCCCAAACTTTCGATTTGCACCCCCCCTCAAACTTTCGATTTGCACCCCCCTCGACCGTTCAATTTATTTTTCCAACTCATTTTGGCGCCCTCTAAGGTCGGCGCCCGTTGACATATGTCATCGCCCCCCTCTCGCTACGCTACTGATTGGCTGTTAGGCTGTTACTATTGTTACTGTTAGTGTTGGCATGTTGGCCTATTGCCTATTCCCAGTCAGCACACATATATTGGCCCAATATTGGCTAAACATTGGTTACCAATATTGGCTACATCTTGGTGCAACATTGGCTTAACCTTGGCCAAACATTGGTAGTGAAACTCGGCATGATGTTGGCGCAATGTTGGCACAATATTGGCTATATCCCGGCTACATATTGGCCCAACATTGGCTAGATCTTGGCCAAATATTGGCTATATCTTGGCCCAATATTGGCTATATCCCGGCTACATATTGGCCCAACATTGGCTATATCTTGGCCAAATATTGGCTATATCTTGGCCCAATATTGGCTACATCTTGGCAGAATAATGGCAATATCTTGGCCCAATAATGGCTATATCTTGGCCCAATAATGGCTATATCTTGGCTATACCTTGGCTCATTGTGTATTTTATCCTGGCTACATCTTGGCCCAATATTTGCTATATCTTGGCCCAATAATGGCTATATTTTGGCTGTACCTTGGCTCAACCTTTTTTTATATCCTGGCCTAAAATAGGCTCAAATTATGATTTTTTACATACAAAAAGCTCCATTCTCATATCAGTCATAATATTTACAAAGTTAATTTCAAAATGTGAAAGAAACTTTAATCAAAATGTAATAAAGCAGCAATACATTCACAAAAAACTGTTCATCTATTAAAATATGTATTATACAATTCATTCAAATGTAAGAAAACTATAACTATATTATAAAGTACTGATAGAAAATGAATATGTAAATAGTAGTCTAGTAGCTTTCATGTTGACTTTTAATTTTATACAAACAAATTAAAAACAAATATACAAAAATGTTCATATAATGTAACAGCTGTTAAGTACAGTTTAAATTAAACTAATGTAAAAACTTAATTTACTGTACAAGAATACAGAAGCTGTCGTGTACTATGGTAAGTAAAAATAACATTCAAACAAAATAGGCCTACTTAATTTATACATTTAAATAACAGGGGTAATAGTATTTGTTAAAAAATTTCAGCATTTTCACAGATTTACAATGTAGTAAACACTATCACTAAGGCATTTATGTTATTTTGAATAAACTTGTACTTCTATTAAAAAAATGATTTTTTAAAAATACCATTAATGAAGGTAAGCAATTTTGTTTTACTTGGGATTGGGGGGGGGGGGGGGGGGGGCTGATGCTTAAAATAATCACTCAGCCTCTTTATGATTATGTAGCTGTTTGTTGGGGCCCTCACTTCTTTTTCTCCCCCCTGCACGGTCACCAGACATGGCAAGCCATTCACTTGTCCCCTTTTCCAGTTCTTTTATAGTAGAATTTTTAAAAGATCTTAGTATAGAATCTGAAAAAAAATAGTAAAACTTATCAGCATCTTGCCTTGTCAATTCTTCTGTCCATATATCTGTCATTTACCTCATCTTTGTCTTTCTGTATAGGCAGACAGCTCTAGATATATACAAATAGGCCTATATAATTTTAAGTTATTGGAAGCAAAGAAGCCATTTTCATTTTACCAAAAATTGTCATCTTGAGGTTCCGGAGGTCATTGAATTTCAGTTTTCCTTTTTTGCCTTCAAATGAGTAAAGAGTCGACAATTGAGGACATATTAATTCTTTTAAAACCCTGAACAGACCATGTCGAGCATTTTTACCTCCATAGTTGCTGAGGTAAAGACTCTGTTGAACAAAAAGTATTCAGTTAATACAAAGTATTGAAAGAAATATAATACACTCTAGTTTCTAATTTAACAGTAATTTTGTTATAACATTGCTTACCATCCTCTTCTGTACTGCAGTGTCATTCAGACAACTATCCAGGCTGACCATTTGCTCCACTGTCTCTAAAGGAAAGGTGTACCCTTCTGGCAAGCTCTGGATAGTTTCTGGCATATCCTCCCCCATACCATTTAACTTAGCCTCAAGCCTATCCACTTTTCTATGCAGGCGCCGGATTTCTTCAAGCAGCTCTGCGTTGTTTTCCATAATCTTTTTAAAAAATGGCATCAGCTGATCTGTACTTTGCTGGGTGACTAGAAAATAAATAGTTTATGTCAAATCTTTACTAAATTTTTTTACAAACAAAAGCAAGAATGCTAACAAAGTAATGATTTATTTTTAAAAAATACAATACACTTACAGCCAGAAAAACTAGGGGACGCTGAAAACTGTGCATATGATACAGGGGGTTTTGGAACAGCTTTGGAAGCTTCAGGTGGTTGTGGCAAATATTTTATGGAAGGTATAGGTGACCTTGACCTCCGCCTCACCCGACTCTGCACTGCTTCTTCCTGGCAGGTGATGATTCTGATGATTCAGAATCATCATTGGGACTCCTAATGCAAAATTTTTATTTTCATTATTTATACAAACATAACAAACTTAAATGAGGCTATATATTTAGATCAAGATCTAAATTAGAGATTGTAATATATACCATCTAATTGTTGGCCGTGACTGCCGATGTGGCTCTGATCCTGAGCTCTCAACATCACTCTTATCTAGAGCCTTTCTCTCGAGTGATTTTATTTTTTCATAGGAAACTGTAATGTGATAAAAATGTCTAAATGTTATAATAAAACATTAAAAAACAATAATATAATTGTATTATAATAAGTATATGTTACTTTTAATATTTAAAATTTTTAATATAAGTAATTGTTGGTAATTTAAAAATATATTAATTCTTACCATTGCTGTGCAGAATTTTCTCATATGTAAAAATCTGCCAGCTCTCACATGGCTGCTTGGCATTGCGCACCCATGCATCTCCAGCAGTTGGTGTGCTTGGCCAGTAACATTGGTTTTTGCCAGGCAGCAGCCACACATCTGGCACCACCATCACCATCCTTACATTGTCCTCAACAGTTTCCAGAAGGTGGTACATTCTTTAACTTTAATACAGACTTAAATACATAAACTATACTAATTGCAACAAATATGAATACACAGTATTTACATAAAAATTAAAGCCTTAAATGGATTAGATAAAACAAATTCTAATATTTTTGTTCTTTGTGATTCAGAGGAAGCAGCACATATCTCTTTTTGTATGGTAAGAGAACACATTTCTGTTCAATTTTTGATACATTGAATGTCTCTAATTTACCTGAAAGATTTGACACCTCAAAAATGCTCAATTTTGAGGACAATAATGGATATTGAAAAAAATCATAACATGTTAGAAATCGCTCAACAACAAGTACTGGTTCAGAAGACAAATCCATAATGAGAATGTTTCTAAGCAAAAAGAAAGTGTCTTCAATTTTAACACAGTTGTCTCCATTATCTATGGAAAAAAAGATACCTTTAAAATTAATTTGAGCAAATTGATCACATCTAACTCCATTTGGCAATGGCCCAAGACAATGTTTTTTTTTTGGAAAAGGATAAGGCTTGTCAGTTACAAAATCTTGAGATGAAAATAATCCTTTATCTGAGACTGCTCTTTCCGATAACCTCTTGACAACTTGTTCTAATGGTGTCTGTGGTTTACGAACAAGTTTCTTCAACATACCCAAAAAATTTTCGAATGGAAAAGCACTGAAAGAATCTAGTGGTCCAAAATTCTTAACATCTGCTGCCAAATGTGTGAGCCCATGCACATTATAAACCAGAAATTCTTTACCATAAAGTTCTTTAGCTTCTTCTACAAACATACACAACAGTTCATGTGCATAATCAACATGACTGTAACATAAAGTAGGACTAGTAAGGCAATAAATACCAACAAAGAATAAAAGGTAATGACTATAATGTACTTTGTCTATATTTCCTTTCAATGCAACTATACCACTGTATAACAAAAACTGCCTAAACTCTGTAGCTTTCCACCTTTCTATATCATGCAGAGAACGGCATTTTCTAGAGAATTCACGTGGAATATATTCTTTGAAGAGTAGTAGACGGTTTGATATCTGCTGGACAGCCTGATTTCCTATTCTAAGGCCTTTTGAAACTGGACTCTTAAGCCAGAGTAAAAGAATTCTTCTTGTAACCCCTAAGCACACTAAATGCATGTAATCTAAAGGAAACTGAGTGACCATGCCAACTGACAAACTAGTCAAGGGAGATAATCCATGAAATTGATGATTTTCATCTTCAATTAAATCGAAAGCTTCATCTGAACGTAATGTTGCATTTATTTCAGGAAAGATGACTTTTTCAGCCCACTCCCCTTTTTGACAACATTTATCACAGCCCCAGTAACCTGAATGCCCTTTTGTTTTCTTAACAAAAGACCGCGCTGGAGCATCACATATAAAACAAGATATACACAGTTTAATAGGAAAAATAGAATCTTCGTTGTCTTCAAATCTGAGTGAAGTGGCACCTTTCTCGAGTACTTGCATTTCATTCACAAAATCCGTTAAATATTCTTCAATGCTAACTGGTTTGCTACCTCCATAATACAAACCAATAAGGAATGGATCAGATTCAAATGGTTTACAAATTCTTCCAAGAATTGGCCAAAATTGACTGCATGAGGATTTAAATAAAGGCAAACCATCAAAATTAATTTGCAAATGGATAACTGGAGTCTCATTTGGATGAGAATGTAGAAATTTAAATAAATGTTTCGATTTTGTTAAGCAATTTTCAATTCCAAAATGGTAGTATGCACCACCTGTAATAGCTTTAACATTTATTTTTCTAGGAGTTTTCAGCAAAGTTCTTGAATCCTTTGGTAATGAAGGGTGGTAGGTGCACAATAAGCACAGTAAGGCACTAAGTGCATCATTTTTTATTTGAAAATCAATAGCCCACTTTCTGACTTCCTCTTGTAAATTATTTTCATAGTTGTCTTCTGGCGATGAGTCTGCATCTGTCTCACAATCTACATCCGACAGAATATCATTTAAATCTGTATAATCATAATTGCTAGTATTATCATACATGTGTTGCTCAGCGCCAGTCTGTTGATGGTGAGCTTCGTTTCTAACTTCTGAATAACATGCTTGGTGACCAGTTACTGTGACTGGTGTTGATGAATAATTTACACTGTCAAACTCATTGAGAATAGGCTTCTGATTACTACTTTTATCAATAGGCCTATCATACTCATAATCATAATTCCTGGGCCTGCCTCTGACAGAAACGTCATGTACTGCCCTTATACAGTCAGCTAAATCATTACTAACCCTTTTTCGGGTAGCTCTCCAAATAGAACTTTTAGATGGTTCTTTCGTTGAAAACATATTTATTATTTAAAACAATCACCTAGACTGTTACTGTAATGCCTAACTATGTAAATAGACTTCCTCTTATTTAATGACAGAAAGTGTTTTCTACACCGCAATATGAATTTATGTACATTATTCTCCTCACTGTTGAAAAAAAAGTCAATAATTGGTGCAATACCTGTTGATGCGACAAGCTCACCTGTTGTCGGATAATCTGTTATCAATAAAAATTGACGATGTTACCTGTTGATTAAGTGGTTTTAAGTCCTTGAAAGGATTATTAACAGAATCCAAACGTCGGTAGATTAAGCGATGATAAAGACGAGGTCTTAGTGCCGCTGGCTTGATACAACAAAGGCTCTGTTGTTGAGGAAAATGGCGAGCGAAGAATGGCAAGCAAAGACCAGCGGGATGCTGGCTTGATAACAATAGAAAGGAATGTGGACATAGAATTTAGGCCGAGATGCGATGGACCAGCGTGACGCTGGACGGGTAGCCACGCACACAATTTTAAAAATATTAAACAAAATGTTTAAAACACGCAACATAGATTGTAGTTAAATCTAATTTTAAACTGAAGTATTATATTTGATTTTTAACGTATTTCATGGAACATATATTAAGTTTAACAAACCTATTTAAATAAAATTGCTGCAGTAAATACATAAATCATTGTAATCTTGGCAAGCCAGGGTAAAAACGGTTAAATATCAAGGTATCAAGGGAAGCTATTCAAAACAAAGGGATGCAAGCACGTACAAATCTTGGCCGTATCCTGGCATAAGCATGGCGGGACCTTGGCCAATTTATCGCCAAGATAGCGATATTGGGCCAACCTTGGAACGACATTGGGTTGATAAATTGTGTTAGCTGGGTTAGTATTAAATTATTGTATTCAATTCTACTCCCCCCCCCCTCCCCTCCATTCCCCCATTCAGTATCAGTATGTATGTATTCATTCAGTGATTCACACTTTCACTTTTTACTAATGTCACTAATGTGTGTGTTGACCATGGTCACTATAGTATAAGTATAGGACGCTATATATATATAGTATATAGGTGATCGATGGCATATTGATTATTGATATTAAATTATTAATTAATGATATAAATAAAATGGATGATAACATATATAAGTAAACTAAAAGACAGAATGCTAATACTAGGCCTTTTGCCTTTTATAGTTATACTATTATTATTATAGTAAAATAGTATTAGGCTAGGTAGCCTAACTAGCAACTACCTCCCGAGGCCTAATAATTTTAATTTAAAGCGTAGGTAATTTTAACTCATTAAAATTTTAATTTAATTTATTAGACTGTAGTTTGTAGTTGGGGTAACATAACACTTTTTTAAGAAGTTTTGATTATTATGGTGGTATTATCAAGCACAGATTAACCCCTCCGACCTATGCCAATCTAAAACAAATATGTAAGCTCATCTGAATAATGAATGAAATGACTTGAATTTCCTGGACATGCCTTGAACAGATACTTGTGCTAGAAAATCCAGGGAGTTGGCTTATTTATTATTATTTAATAATCAGCCTGAAAGATAGGCCTAACTAATTTTTTTTTCTATTTTATTTATCAGATAGGCTGGTACAATCCAGAAGTAGATCCAGCTTTTCGATTTGATCTTAATGACGATACATTTGCCGTTTTGATTGCCAGCACACCTGACATGTTTGAGAAATTGTTTTTACCATTTATCAGCGTTGAACATCCTGATGGCTTTATGGATTTGCTTGACAGATGCATGAAGACATACTTTGCTAAAGTCCATGAGGTATTTTTCTAGAAGTGAAAACTGACGCAAAAATATATTGACAAATTAAATTTAGTACATATACACTTATCTTGGCTACTTTCCACTATAACCAATAGACAGGGCTATTGTAAGTTATGGGTTTAAAAAAAGGTTTATGGAGCAAGTGAAGTAGAGTTTATTTGTTTCAGTGACATTGGCATATGCCCAGTTTTACACATTACTTTCCCTAATGTAAGTCTTGTATCCATCAAAGTTGGCTGGATTCTGCTACAATAAGAATATATGGCATGGTTGCTCAACATATGCTGAAGATTGTTATCATTATTTGAGTAAGAAATGTTTTTAAATATTTTATTTAAGAAAACTGAATTAGTGTTTTTATCAAAATATTTAGATGTTTCCTGAAGATGAAGTAGAAATAATTCATGACTTTGAAATGACGCCTTCAAGACGCCCCAAAATTCTGGTCCAGCCTGCTTCACATGTTTCTGGTGCTGCCTACTACTACACAACAAAGTCTCTTGACCCAAATCCTTTTGATAAGGTAAAATACTTTAAGACCACTTAGTATTATTTTTTTAATTAATTAAAAAAAATAGCAATATGCTCGATCTTTTTACCGATCTTTGTAAAATTTGTATTTTTTCCATTTTAGTACAATGTGTTTTACCTACTGTTTTTTTTTAAATTTGTTTGCATTATTAAAGTTTTATTTTTAAAAGTGTATACTTTTGTTTTTAGAAAATGTATGGTGTTTGCATTCATCCAAAATTTGGAGGCTGGTTTGCTCTGCGCGGAGTTTTTATCTTCAAAAATATTTTGTGCCCCAACCTTCCTCGAGTTGAACCTGTGGACTGTGTTCCAGATCAGGAAAGTAAGGTTAAGCTTTTGAAGTTGTTCAATGAGCAGTGGAAGGATTGGACTTACAGAGATATCATTCCAGTTGAGAAAAAATATTCAGAGGACCAGAAGGAATATTTTGGCACAGAACCTAAAGATCGTAAGCCACTGATTACAAAGTTGAGAGAGAATTATTTGAGAGAAATTCAAAACAATCCCAACTCATCATCACTGGCAGACGGAGACACTGCTGAAAATGGTGATGCAAACAAAATTGCCTGTGAATCTTAAGGTTTTTTTTTTTTTGATGAATTGGTTTTTATTAAAAATAAAAACTTTGACTGATGTCGAAACTTTGTTTTGTTGGTGGTTGGTTACCATTTCATTAATTTTTGCAAACTGATGACTACCGCATTAATTTCTTGCAAACAAATTACTATCACATAAATTTCTTGCCAACTAATGACTGCTACATTATTATTTTTTTGCAAAGAAATCACTACCACATTAATTTTTGCAAACAACTTCCAGATACATTTTTTGCAAACATGTTGCGAATTATTTGTTGGTTGGGTTTTTTGGGGACACTTTTTTTCTTGATATTTATTTAATGACTTTATGTTTACAATTATTTTTACATAAATCAAATTACACTTTTATAAATAATAAGTTTTATATTTTTATAAATTGTTACTCAAAAAATGATTCAAATTTGTAAAAGGAACTCCTAAGTTACTGATACATATCTTTACAATTTGCTTACATATATTATTTTTATCAACTTATAAGTTGATTAAGATCTGTAAAATGGAGCACCAAATCTTGTATTACAGAAATAAAAATAATTATTGTGTATTGACGTACTCTCACTTTGAGTTATTGTTACAGTACTTTGTGATAACTTCATGCATAATTTTTTAAAGTGATATTAATTGCAGCTGAACTGGGTTTTTGTTTTTGTAAATCATTATTATTGTTAAGCTGGGATGCTTCATTGCAATATTGTTATGTAATATATTAGTTCATTTTATGATTTTTTTTTAATGTTAAATATCTTAAGGGGATTGTGGAAAAAAATAATTTTTTTTTTTTTTAAAAACAATTCTCATAAAGAAAACCATTTTCAATGAGTTATTTTCAGTCAGGTGCTTTATTAATGTAAAATTTCTTTAATGTTTTATACTTGAAACGTCTAGTTTAAATATACTCTTCTCCACCAATTAAGGTCTTTGTTTAGTGTCTCCACTTTTATTGTTCAAAAACTTTTTCAATATTCTTTATTTTAGTAATCAAAACAACTGCGTCCAAATTTTTTAATCCATTTTTTAAGTGATCTATGCATCTCCTGTCATTATAAGTAATGAAAACTGCTAATGAAATAATGACAGCTTTTGAATTATAACAATAAAAACCACATTAGCATTTGATCTAATATTTTTTGTGTTTTTTCCCCCAAATATTGCATTGTGACTTGACATTAAACCGAGACAAATCTGTGCATTCTACCAAATTAATTAGTCATAAGTTTATGCTAATAATTGTGGTGCGGTGGACCATATGGGACTGTTGTTTTACTTATTTGGTTAGGGCAGTTGTCAAATAGTTCACCAAGGACACTGAACCACAATATTTCCCCCTCTAATGGACGTTTCTTCTCCTGGATAGATTTACTCTGTTATCCAGCCAATCAGTAAAATACATAAGACAATAACCACACAGACATTCAAGGTATTTTAAAATGCAGTGGTTAAAATTTTAATAACCAGAGTTTTATATATATTATGTATTTATTATTGTTTTAAATGGTATTGATGCTTTTTGATTATTACTATGCTGCTAAGCTGATTTTCAAAAACTGCTTACAACTAATAAGCAATACCAGATTTTGAAAAGTATATATTGTACAGTTTTGATATTTTAAAATTAAACTTTATGGATTGAGTTTTATTTATTTTCATGATTGTAATGATGGTCGTGAATGTAGTAATTTCTAACAAGTCTAGGGTGCAATTATTAATTATAGAAATAATTTGAAGATAGAGTATTCTGGAAAGTTCATGTTTTATTATTGATATTAATACTAGTCATTGAATTGCACATGGTAACTTTTTCATCATAATTAGAATTATTTTAAATTTTCCTTCTTTAACTAAAACACTGCATGATTTATCTATCTAAAACATTGTCAGACTCCATGATGACATAGGACAAACCAAATTTCTTTAAGTAAAAGAAATATTCATTTTTCACAATAAAACAAATAAGAACTTCAAAAGAATTAACTATTAAAAAAATAGTTTATTCCAATGCATGTGGTTAAAAACAAATAAAGATCTATTATGCTTTGTATCATTAAATGTAAACATAAAAGTATAATAAAAAAATAGAAACACATTACAACTAGAAACTTTTACTGTGGACTCACAATTAGTAGTCACCGCCCTGTTAAAGCTAATACTGATTGAACAGCTAGTTTGTGAATGCACGGTTAGGACTTCTATTTTGCCATTAAATCATTCACAGCCCACTGTTTGAATTATGATTAGGAAGCAAATAATAAATCAATGAGATTATGTGATCCAACATACATTTTTTACAAACAACTAAAAATTTTCACAGAAAAAACAACATAGAAGATGAAAACATGTAAATCAGTAGGAATTTAAGATTAAGACTGCCATAAACAAGTTGATTTTCTTAACATTAAAAGATCAAAGCTTCCTAAAATAAAGATACATTTTTGAGACACTGAATTGTGTTTAACTTTAAGAATTATATAGATCTATGATTTTGTTCAAATTGTACTTGTACGGTATCCTAGACATGATCTATAATTTTGTTCAATACAACTTAGCTGATGAAAAGTAGCAAAAATAAACTGTTTCAAGAATGATAAATGTATTAGGAAAAACTTGTGAATAAACATTATAAATGTTACACACCCACATTAATAATGAAACCCTGGGAATGAATACAATGGTAAACAACCATATGTGAATTCGATGTTGCATAAAACCATATGGGAACTTGATGTCAAGTAGGCTACGGTAAAATTAAATACATACTTGAAATTCATATTACTGTAAAATGATGTTCATAAACATAAAGGCAACCAAACAATATAAATAGAACCCACTATAATTAAAATTGACAAAGTTTTTCAAAAGTGATGATAAATTCTTTATAGTATGGATCATGAATATAAGCAATGAATATAAAACTTAGTGCACCATAGGCGATAAATTGAAAAAAATTACTGCTTTCAGTTAATTTGATATCACATTTATATAAAATCATGGAATACAAATTCAAACAATACCACAAATCTAAACGAGCTGTGACACCTATGGCATTTAACTTCCTACTAATCATAACTAAAGAGTTTACCAACATAAACTAGTAGATATGGATATTTTTCAGCAATTAGCTTATATAATTTAAGGCTTTAAATTTTCTACTGGCACACTAAAAATGATTGTGCTTAACGAATGAAAATTCTTCAAATACAGTGTAGGAATTGCACTTCTAGAAATGAACAGCTAGGAAAGAGACCAGATAAAATTGTGTTAACTTATACCGCAAAGTTAAACATAAATTGAACCAAATAAATTTAAAAAAAAAATATTTGCACTACATAAAAAATAGGCAGCCCACTTTTGATGTAAAATTTAGTATACATATAGATATTGACAACTGCCTCTTATAATATTGTCAAGTTCAGTTCATATAATGACAAACTATGATATAAGTTATGCACTTTCATACGGTATACGACTCAATCATTAATGAAACAAAGATTGATACAACTTAAATTAAGCTACATATCAATTTTTTTCAACCATACTAGCGAAGATTAGTTAATGAAATGAATTCTGTACAAATAAATTAACGATGATTAAGTTATATGTAAGTTTCTTAATATGGGTCCATATATGGTAACATCCTAGATTCATAGGATAGCAGTTTATATTGCAACAACTAAACCAGTTTTTAATGCTTTGCAATAAATAAAGCACATAACTTTGACACTAACAAATTGTTTTAGAATGGAATTTTTATAATCTACTTTCATTCAATCAATTTGCTCTAATCCTTACATCTTGATACAACTTATACAAACAACAACCTTGCATTATAATTTGTTTTCTTCAACTTCAACTAGAATCTGTAAACATTAACTGGCAGAAGAATAGCCATTAGGGTTGTCTGACTGCCATCTCCATAGATCCTCACCTGAAAATTAAAGGTGATATTTTTTTTATAATTCTTTAACAGGATATACAAACTTAAAATAATTAAATAATTTTTGTTGTAAAAAACTCTGTAGAACAAGAGTTCTCTGCCAGTATGACTATTGAGGTTAGAGGGTTTTTAAAGGGCTGGGTGGTGATTTTAAATAAATCACTACTAAATTTAATCCAAGGTTTAAATATGTTCATGAAAAGTTAAAAATTGTAAATGAAGCTATCACATACACATTTCATCTAGGTCCTTAGATGTACTCCACCCAAGTTCTTTTTCAGCTTTCTCAGGATTTGCATAGACTGTAGCAATATCACCAGGTCTCCTTGGTGCTATTTTATAAGGGATCTAAACACAAAAGCAAAAAAACCTACTTCAACACTTATATCATGAAGCAAACTTAACTTGCTACCAAAATACTAGATTTCTTTTTCAAACTAATCCATAATTAATTATGCGGAACAACCTACAGTTTTTCCTGATGCTTTTTCAAAAGCTTTGACCATGTCTAAAACAGAATATCCTTTCCCAGTGCCTAAGTTGTAAACCTGTTAAACAAAACAACATAGTTAAATATAGGTAACTTGTTATCAAGTCATGGGTAAACATAAATCAACTGCTAAAAATAAAATATTACCACACATCCACATTGACTTGTTAATTTCTTAATGGCTGCGACATGGCCCAGAGCAAGATCAACTATATGGATATAGTCACGTACACCTGTGGGGAATAAATTACACAAGATGAAAAGAAAATCTGGATTTTTTCATAACCTTTCACTTAACGGATGATACTTAAACCAATGCTCTCTATAAACTAGGGGACAACATGGTAGAGAGCTTAACTGCTAGCTCAAAGGTCTCTTTTTTTAAAATCTTGAATCATACAAGACTGCAGGATGTCTCAAAGTCATCCCAGATCTGATGGGTCGCTGACTATAGGAAAAGTAAAGGGGGCTGGACATAGTGCTGACCACACTATTCCTTCATATACTGAGGTCAAGAAACATGAGCTACTTCACCTGCCCTGTGGATTATTAGATCTGAAAAGGTAACTTTATGCAAACCATCTTTAAAACTGAAAACGTTACAAAACAGTAGAAGCTAACTCAACATTCTTCAGTGTAATCCATCAAACTTACCAGTTCCATCTGGTGTGTTGTAATCATTCCCATAAATAGTTAAAAACTCCCTCTTTCCAACAGCCACCTGAGCAACATAGGGCATCAAATTGTTGGGTACACCCTGTGGGTTTTCACCTATCTTTCCTGATGAATGAGCTCCAACTGGGTTAAAGTAACGCAAGAGGACAGCGTTCCAAGTCTTAAGAAGACATGAACAAACATTATAAACTGCATCTAATTAATTTTGTAATGACTATGAAAACAAAAGCTAATTATTTAATATTCTTTTTTATTATTTACTACTGGGTCCCTGGAAATTACTGTCTGCATATTATGTAAACACATCAGTAGATAGAGGCAACTCACTTTGTCTGCGTTACACACATCTTTGATGATTTCCTCAATGAAGAACTTTGTCTTGCCATAGGCATTGGTACATCCACCAACAGGGTGTGCCTCATCCACTGGCAGGTATACAGGACTGCCATACACTGTAGCAGAGCTGGAGAAGATGATGTTCTTGACATCAAACTTTTTCATCACCTGCTCAGACACATTTAAAGAAACATACAGTACACAAGGCATCAAAGTTTAAACAACTAAATTATTTTCCCTTTTTTCTTCATTTTTCTTTGTAAAAGATTACATATTATCATGAGCATAATATGGCTGTATTATTCTAGAAAAAAAGTTTTGAACAACAAAGCCGTTTGAATGTATATATGGGATATTGTAAATAATAATTTGTCTACCCTTGGCGTTGAAATAACACTTTCTGTTTACATTGCTATTTGTAAATAATAGTGTAACTCTAAAGTAGAACTCTTGTTCTTTATATGTATTAACCTGCAAAACTGTGTCTTGTATGAAAAGTAAATAATTGTATACAATTCCTGTAGCATAGTAACTATTGGGAGGGAAGTGACATGCATGGGAGTAAAAACTTAAAGATTACATAGGGTATAAAAAGCAGGGCTGGGAAAGATTGGGAGCCCATTCCTTGATTGCTAGCTGTAACTGATACATGTTGTATGCAAAGATCAATTTAAAAAACCCAGGAAACATCTAAGGACTTAGTGTTGATTAATTGGTACTATGTTATCATGTATCATCGACCCTGTACTTACATCTCGGCACCATAAAAATAGCTTAACTTATGCAATTTATCAAACACAAGTGTAACACCCACCTCTAATAAGTTAACAGTGCCACCTATGTTGGTGTGATAATACAAGAGAGGTAACTCAACAGATTCTCCTACAGCTTTCAACCCAGCAAAATGCATGACAATAGAGATCTTGTACTGAAAAAGTAAATAAAAGTGCACGTTAAAAATTAACTGGAATATACATTTTTAAATACCTGTACTTAGCAGAATCTTGTTATTACTAGCTATCTATTTCACACCAAGTATTTTATAACAGCCTAACTAAATCAAGCTTTGAAGCACAAACCTTTTCAAATATATCAATGATAGCATTCTTATCTAGTAAATCAACTTGATGAGTTGGCACTTTCTTCCCTGTGATCTCCTCCACTCTGCTGATACTCTCTGGAACCAAAGGATATTTCATCAGTTTTAGAGTGGATAAGTATATAACCACAGAAACAGACAGCTGAATTTGTATGCATTATATTGCTTCTAATTAGTTCTTTAAATCTTTAAACTCCAATACAATCAGTCTTACAGTATTCAGCAAACCAGTGAAGTGAAGTTCTATAATTTACAAACATTTTAATGCAATATACAAATATGAATTGTTGAGAATGATGTACTGTTAACAAATTAAAACCATAATCGTGCCGGCCTACTCACCCATGCTGGCGTTGACTAAGTTATCAATCACCACCACATTGTAGTCAGCATTCAGCAGCTGCACCACTGTATGACTACCAATATAACCTGCACCTCCAGTCACTAGAATGTACTCCTCTGCCATGATGGGTGTGGCTACTGTCAAATACAAAGTTAAAGAGTGGTTAAACTAACTTAAGTATAACAGTTTCTCATCAACAAGCATAACTGTACAACCATTTCAATAGACAGGCCTACAAATACAAAGTTAAAGAGTGGTTAAACTAACTTAAGTATAACAGTTTCTCATCAACAAGCATAACTGTACAACCATTTCAATAGACAGGCCTACAAATACAAAGTTAAAGAGTGGTTAAACTAACTTAAGTATAACAGTTTCTCATCAACAAGTATAACTGTACAACCATATCAATAGATAGGCCCACATATTAAAAATAACTCATTCACATATCAACACTGTTGATGAAAATAAAAAATTAGAACAGTGTTTTCAAAATAATTTTTGAACAGCACTTGATTACATGTTAACTGAGATGTGGCTGATAGCAATAATTCCACCTAACTTAATCCTTTCCTACCTCTAACCCTGTGATTAATGTATCATAATAAACTATACCAGCACAATGAATGTGGGGGTAACAGAAAATACCTAAGCATACACCTGAATGTTTTACCTGAACTGTGTTGGACCAACCTCTAAGAGCTGTGTGAACAACTACTGATACTGAGGTCTGACAGACTGATATCACACATTTACCATGCCACGTAACAGGCTGGCTGTGTAAACCAGTGTACACTCTTTACATAAACACACATACACCCCCCCCCCCCCCAGATATCGGGGTATTAAGGGCCTTAATACCAACCAGAGATAATGTACCGGCAACAACTCTGACGAGCTTGTTTGTACGACACTGAGACAAGTATAGCCAGTAGTTGTGTAGAGAATTGATTTCACTATTAATACACTATATTGTTTAGTTTACACTGTATTGTTTTAAAGGTTTGCGCAACAGATGGTGTTTCTGTTACATCCGCGAGGACAAGGATGTGAACAGGGGAGACTATTCAATCATGAACGACAACCCTTTGTCGAACAATATCACTCGATATTGAATTATTAAAAAACGTGATCACGGTACCTAAAACTTTTTAATAAATAGGTTAGATATCATCAGATACATACCAAAATGTGTTGGGGAAAGCTACACACTCGATAATAATTTAAAATGTAAAAAACACATCGAGCTACACTGAACACATATCCACACACCACCAAGAGCACAACTTACGTGTGACTTTCATTGTGTATCCCAGACACGAAGATACGAATGATGTAATATGTTTGAACAGTCCAAAACACGTCCCCTCTTCCGCTCTCTCAGCTAATAAACCCAGGTACACACGGACAGGATATGCTTATATAGACTCGGAACTAACCAACGGAGTAGCAGGGACGGCCGGGCGACACACCCTGCGTGGTTGAATTCCTTCTCGGCACACATTCAATAACAATACACCGCCGTGATGCAGTTTTTAAAAAATAAACTATAAATAGACGTTTGACGTCACAAGATGACGTATTGACGCGTCCATGCGAGACAAATAAATTGTTTAGACCGACACCGTGTAGGGTGTCAACAACTGGAAGTGACAACAATACAGGGCGGGGGTAGCCTAGTTAGGAGACATTTTTTTTTAAGGAAATGAAATACAAGTTTAAAATAGGAATGGGACAAAGAAACTTGCAAGTACAGCGTTAACATAATCTGTACCTGCAGTGCTGTGACTACAGGTTCGGACCCAGACTTTTCTCTTACATATGCTTGATTAGCTTTACAGATAGATCTAGTAAAATGTGATTTATTTAAAAAAGGAACACATTTCACCATATTGCTGCCGGTGTATTGCAACAACTGCAACTAAACACCGGGGCGCATGTAGCACTTAACCTGACACATAGATCAACGTTAAACCCATGTGTCTCACTGGTAAGCTAATATAACATATAGGCGTTCATGACAAGAGCCGATGTATAGAGTATAGGTATGACAGTGTAGGCCTACCACGCTACATAACAATGAACTACACACAGTGTGACACAGACTACATTACAAACCTCTTTAAAAGACTATTTGTATAGCCTACACACTCGAGAGGTTTGCGTTCTGTGGCAACTTGCGTGCAAGAACAAGAAAGGCATTAATAGTAATGTATGTGGACAGTAGTTAATAACTCACCCTGTAGCTATCAAGTGACAAAGATTTAGCCTCCGCCTCTCTGCGTGCTCCCACGGTACTGGTTCAGGCTACACTGACCAACCGTTTGTGACTCGACCACTGACCGACCTTAGGTGCGAAGGTCAGGTTGCCGGTACTGAAATCTGACCTGAGCAATTATCTTAAGGTCAAACCCACGTTCACCTATGTCGAAGAAGGACAAGGCTGTGCCGCTGCGCTCCCCTCCCCCCACTTCCGTTACGCCCTGATTCCGGGCTACATTTACCAAGGCACGTAGGTGAAATCTCCCCCTCCCCGTTGAAGCGAATGAAGGTTTGGTTAGACGCTACGCTCTGATAAAGTTCTATTAAAATCATCAAACAGGGTGGGGTCAGGAAAAAGTTGGCTATCGGGGATGGTTGTAAAATTGAACATCAACGTCGGTTTGAAAACGTAATGCATGCAAACAAAATAGATAATATAAATTCCAAAACAACCACAGCAGCTTCGATATCTTTGCAGCTAGGCCTAACTTTGCATATGAAAACATGAACAATAACTTTTTACATTTTTAAAAGCATCTCATTATTCTGGACACAGTCTAGATTCGTACATGTAATATTTAAAAACAAACTTATAGATCGATATCAAGTCTTACCACACCAAGCTGTTACTGTTAAGATTTTTGTAGATGGGAAGGATGGGGGGGGGGGGGGGGGGTGCTTAAAATCCCAAGATATTTGTGGACGTTACAAATGGATGAAACCAAATAAGAAGCATTTTAAACACATTATATTTATACAGATCTATCGACATATTACCGAGCAGACTAACAATCAAACGTTCACGCTGAATTAATAAAACAAGTCCATTCCACATCACAATCGACGATCTTAAGCATTATTATTATTTAGTGAATAAAGTAAAAAGAGAAAGCAATGCTCTTTTATCAGATGTAGGATTAAGGCTATCCCAGTGATGTGCACACATGTTGATACCACGTGACAACATACCCTCCCCACCCCCGCTATGTGCCACAGGTTGCAGCTCACTAATCTATAACAACTTGTTTGTGCTCGAACCTAAAAAGCTGGTTACATCACACTGTCCACGTGGATACATAGGCCTACATGACTACATTTCACCTTTGTCTATACGAATACGATTATCTTCTTCTTTGGTTTTCTTTTCAATAAACGTGTCTGCCTAGTAAGCACATAGATCTATAATATCAAAAAACGTACGACTAAGCCAACAACGCATACGAAATGAAACGGCCCTTAAAAGAAGTATATTACTTTGCAGAGATGGTCTTTAAAAGAATAGTATTTCTTTGCAGAGATGGTCTTTAAAAGAATAGTATTTCTTTGCAGAGATGGTCCTTAAAAGAATAGTATTTCTTTGCAGAGATGGTCCTTAAAAGAAGAATAGTCTACTATAGAGTTGGTAGCCTTATAACATAACGGCGACAACAAGAGACTTAAAAACTGCCTGTATCAATAACGTGCACTTTAAACTGGCGAGCTTCGAGACAAAAAAAAAAAAAACCAGCAATAAAATGTCCCCACACACGCCCATAAAACTAGCCCAGGTGAGTGAAATCAATCAATTCACGTAACCATCAGGTGAGACAGGTGTGGGGTGGAGGCTGGGTATCAAACCTCACAGCTCAGGGTGACGTCTCACACAGTTCAAGTGATGGTTCAATGTGAGGGGCAAGTCAATAACATGTTACATAACACGTCACACGTCTCGAACTATAAAATAAAAACAGATCGATCTCAACAAGCACTAGGCCACCAGCCCTCTTATAAACAATACAGATTAAACGATACGAATACACTCCCCACCACCACCACTCCCAATTTTTATACAGCACCCAGAAATACGACCCAGTAGGACATTTACGACACTATACGGATCACAATTGCTTGGAGTGCTATCATGCATTACATTAAGGACAAAAAATATATATCTTTTTTTAATAGTTTTTTTTACATATATATCTAAAGATTTTTTCCCCAGAAATATTAAGACGTGGGTTGATACCCCGCTCCCCCATACCAACAAGTAGCCAAGTAACAGAGAGTCTTGAATGTCACACAGACGCCCTGTGGCATATATGTAAGGGTCTGTTGGATCAGTTGTGTTAATTGAAACGGTGTTGTCACAGGTCATGAACTTTTGTCAAAAGGACCAGCCGAGGGCACCTTTGCCCTCTGAGGGCATACCATGTACATTTGTATTCTGGTTGTTGTATCAAAATACTTCTGGTACCAGCTTGCTTTTTTTTAAATATTACTACCAAGTTATATTTTTATTTTTATAAATGTTAGCAATAGGTAATGAACAATATAGAAAGACAATAAATAAATCTTGTACGGCTTCTCCCTGCCTTCTCCCTGCCAGGCGTAGCCAGGAATTGGTCATGGGAGGTGTTCAAACATTTTTCCATGTATACAATCCTATATATATATATATATATATATATATATATATATATATATATATATATATATAGAGAGAGAGAGAGAGAGAGAGAGAGAGAGAGAGATCCATGGGAGGGGTTATAACCCCCCCCCCCAGCCTACTCCACTGCTCCCTGCTTGTTTTCATATAGATCACACAGCCCTGTACATGATGGCTAACAGATACTGTCTTCTTTAACATAGCTAATCAAAGGATCTCAAACTAGAGTGCTTTTCATGAGCAGCAGAAACCCAAAGGGCTTTACATAAGATCAACTCAACAAACAAGAAAAATGTGTGTGTCATTAATGATGTATAGATATGTGATGCATGCAGTTGCCTCAGGTTAAAGAAAAATACAATAGACCATCCTGTTATTTAGTTAGAAAATGGACAGCTTTGTGTAAGCTTTTATCAGATTATAGGTTAATCTGATTTAATCACTAAGATTATGAACTAATCTGAATTAATCCTGGAGACAAGCCTGTACTAGCTTTAAAAAAGACATAATAAAAACTTAATATTAAAGAACTGAAGTCCAACGTGCAATACTTTACATACAGATATTATCAATGCTGCTTCACATTGTTCATTGTTCTACACCATTTATTACATTTCTGGCGTGTTAAAGTATGTGATAGCCCTAGGGCCCCAAAGTCCTTGGCTCAGGTAGCCATGAATTCATCTCATGAATGGCTAAATCTTAGGTTATATATGTTGTAAGCTGAAAGTAAATTACTAGTAACTATGTTAATAATATTGTTATACCTATCTCAGCACAGTTGATGAAATATTATGAATGTTTAGAATTTATTGTTGTATTGGTTTATATCAATTTAAATAAAAATGGTGATATCCTGTTACCGGAATATGCCCTGAGTGCTCAGATTTAATTTATAGATAAATTGAAGTTTTAGGCAAGTATTGTAGTACTATATATAGATTTGGGTAAGATTTAGCTTTTTAATATAGATGCAACATATGAGTATTATATTTCACTAAAGTATACAAAAAAAGAACAACTGTTCTTATATTGTTTAGAGCTAGGGTAGGCTATTCAGTTGTGGCTTAAAAGAAATGTATCAAAGTAAAAAAAAAGTGATTTGGATAAGGACAAATATACAACTAAGCATGTCTACTTGTAAAAATGCTAGTAAAATGTATTAAAGCCATTTAGTGAATTTTGAAACTGTAGCTATACTAACCATACTAACAAAGCCGCAGGTAAAAATAAAACATCACTCAAAATACTAATTTAAAATTAAAGTGAGAAGTCTTTTAATACACTTATCTGTGATAATGTTTAAGAAGAATAATAAAAAACTTGGAATGATACTTAACAGCCAGCTTTCATATAATAATTTTCTATTTAAAAATAATATTTATTAAATTTAGGACTATTTTTTAATATAAAGTTATTTATTTAGGCATGAATCATTGATTGAACACTAAAAAATTACCATAAAAGTTACTACATAAATTATTTTATCAGAATCATTAGGCAATTTTTTTTTACTTAGTTACCAGAGTAAGGGTGAATAATAAATTATTTTACTAAATCTGTTTAAAGCCTCATAATAAATATGTGTTTATTAGTCCTAAGTTAGGATAAACAACTCAAATCAAGGTTTAATTAATACGAGTCGACCCGCGGCGTATCATTCGCCGCTATTTAGTTTTTTTTCCCTACTTTTCAGTAATTCATAATTTGTGAATTCGACAGTACCTAACACTAACCCCCCCCCCCCCCCCCAGAGAAAGCAGCCTCCTCTTAGTTACCTCTCTAAGTTTAAAATCGTTTCAAACTAAATTATCTG